ACTTATGTTTGTTTGCTCCTGGATCGTGGGCACCCAGAAAAAAATGCTGTTATTAATCAGGCAGATAATGTTACTTGAAAATTAGAATGCCAGATAAATCTAGACTCACAAGGGTTTACAACAAGTAAAACTGTAGACCAGCCATTCTAAACAACTTTTCTAATAATCTGTTCCACATCACTACATCCCACTGTGATTGATTTTTACTGATTCCTGATGAATGTTTCTTCCTCGGAATTATCGAGTGAAACTGCAGCACATGGAAGAAATGAAAGTCAGAGACGGGGCTCTCCAGTGTGCATAGAAGGTAGCACACCTAAAAACTACAGTTTTGAAGGTGTTTCTGCTCCTGTGTCTGCGCGAGGGGTGGCAGCGGGAGGCCAGTGCTTGATCCCACGTGTCTCGACTCCCCGGTCACCGTCCGCTGCCGATCCGTGCTGCTTCCATGGTTCAGGGACCTGATGGCTGTGTGGGGATGCTCCTTGGCCAGCCTTTCAGTTGCTCGTACATGTTGCAGTTCTTCCCAGAGCGTGCCAGCTCCACGTGCAGATATTCCACAGCCCACTACGCTGCCACGATTGCCACCTTAGGGGCTGTCTGTCTGCTCAAGTGCAATTATGTTGTTTGAGCTTGAATTGTAGCCTCTCATCAGTGGGCTGCCCGCATGCCTCCAGCCCGTTGCCATTGCAAAAGAAAAATGTGCTAGCAAGAATCCTAGGCAACTCCCTAGTTAAAAATAATGCCTTTTACTAATACATGCAATGGGATAGTAGAACTCACATAATTACTGCACTGTGGTTCAGCTGGCAAGTGATAACTTATTGCTGTTTAACAGCGGTATTGCTGCTAATACACTGACCGCTTTCTTCTACCTCCATAACATTTATTTTGTTTACCAGCAGTTCCGATTTCAAAGGTTCCTTATGGATAGCAACAGAAGCCTACCATTCGATAAGGGATAGTAATATGCAAAATACCATTCAGTGATGCTGCTGGGCCTTAGTTCATGACACCTTGTTCTATTTATGGACTAGAGTGAGTGTGTGTGAAAAACAGGGGCTTAAGTTCTCAGGGTTTCATACAACTCTTTTTTTCTCATTTTGATTTGTGAGATTTCACACCCCCTGTTTGGGTTTTAAAGCTCCACTCAGATAAAACCACGGAGTTTCAGGTGACTCCTAGCTAAGAGAGGAGCTCATTCTGAAGCAGAGCTGTCGAGCCCTGTGCAGGGACCCTGCAAAACAGTTGGTGAATTTGAGCTGAATTCTGGGTTTTCCCAGAGCTATCTGAGTGTCTTCAACCAAACAATTCTAGAATATGAAAGAGGGTATCTGTAAGGCACAGCTATGAAATAAAATAGACTATTTGTGTAGTCCTGGAGTTTGCCATGTTGTATTTACAGGGTGACTTAACTTCACTGATTGCTGCTGTATAAATTAATGGTCCTGGGAGGTTAGTGGGCTGCTGCTTATTCAAACCATTGAAAATGATACGCTGTGTACCCAAACTGTTCAGTGGCTTCAAATCCACAGCTGAACATTGACAATTCATCTCAGTTTTGTTTTCCAAATGATTTCCATGGAAGCTGTTACTGCTTTCTGTCTAGGTGTGTCCTTCCTCCTCCCCCTCAAGGGGCTGGCTTGGCTATTCGACTTCGTTAGCTAATTTGGGGTCAGTAAGGCCAAGACAAGGACTTCAATCTCAACAACAGTCAACAGCTTTAGACAACCTCCATGTTCCTAGAGGTTCCCTGAGATAAAACAGAAGTTTTTGTTATTTTAGCTTGAGTAAACTCAGTAGAATTTTTCAACCCATGTTAAGAACACATCTTTTTCTGTTTCTTCTTGCAAAGTCCCAACTACCTTAAATTGGCTTCCTGTGACACTGCTGCCATATATCAGGCCTCCACTATTACAAGTGGAGCTCAAAGGGAGGTAAACAAGGACATCTATAAAGCACCAGTTATTGAGAAAAAGTCTTGTTAGGGAAGAGCAGGGACTTTGGTGAGGGTCTCGCTTCCCCTCCCGTTCACTGAAGAGTAAATTCACCATCTTCAGGTGGTTGTTTTAAATACATCAGGTCCCTGAATAAATGTAACCAGTGTTGAGGGGGATATCTACAGTAAAAAAAAAAAAGCAATCAAACACCCTCTCCAAAGTCCCTTTGCATGTGATATGCCTTCGATTTGATTAATGTGTATTTAACTTTTGACATGAATTGATGGTTCCTGACTGGGTTTTCACATCACCCTTTGGCATGAGACCCTTGTACTGGGGCAAGACAAGGAAAAGATGCTGGGGTTGATGGACAAGGGACCTGGGATTTGGAGAAAAAAATCTGAGTCCTGAAAGTTAGGGCTGCCTGGCAAAATGCTTGGGGCTAGGGTTCAGAGGCAGGGCTGGATAACATGGGATTAACTAGGTGGCATGGCGTGAAGTTCATGGAAATAGGCAAAAGATTTGTGTTTACTGCCCCGCAGTCCTCTGGAGTGCCTGAATATACATCGTTTACCCTCTCCTCTACCGCGGAGTCTCTGCAGGGACTTGCTGCTGCCGCTGCACGTTGCTGAGGTGCATCACGAAACCTTCTACAGCCAGGAGCCACGTGCCTGACATCTGAAAACACGAGGAGGGATTGCTGCTGTCAGAGTTTGCTTTAAAAACCAACCGAACAAGACAAAACAAGTGACTCAGAACTAGATCACATAAAGCAGAATTTGCTAATATAATTTTAACAAGTTTGTCAGCAGAAAATGTCTCACCAATGCAGTTTTTGACATGTGAATTACATATTGGTTTGGAGAGGGCAGCTCTCTTTCATTTACCAAACCTGAGTAGATAGAGCTGCTCCAGAAACTAACTGGGGCAGTGTGGCAAAGGACATTACCTATGCAACTCCTGTTTTATTTACTCAGAAAGCTGGAATGCAAGGCGTGAACAAGGCAGGGTTTTTCTCTAAGAGGAAGTATGATGTTTTGTGGCCAAGACCGTTGAATTGAACACTAAGCTCCATCACTGCTTCTGCTGCTGCATTCTGAGGAAGTCATCGAAGCCAAACTTGCCTGAAGTGGCCACTAACTGTGTGTTCCTCATTATCTTTGAATGCCCAACTTGAGACCTGGGTCTAATCCGCAGAGCTGCCGCAGAATCCACTGGGGCTCTGCGCCGGGTACCGCGCGCCACCCGTGACCTGCAAACACAGGGACATGCAGGAACACACCAGGTGTTTAGTGTCCTTTTCTTTGTCTTATTTCTTGAGCTGTAAAGGGAGTTTATTAGGAATTCCTCACAAGTGCGTGATAAAACTAAAGGACAGTTTGGGTGCACGGTGTCGCCGCATGTAGTTTTTGTTTAAAATAATTCTGTGCATCATTTTAATGCAGATCTTTGACCTTCTGCGCTTTACTGATCCTAGCGACAAGGCCTAGCCATTGAGCTAGATCTGGTGAAGTGTAATTGGTAAGCAACTGCTAGAGTATTCCCAAACAGGGGATAATGAAGCTGAACACAGGGAGGGTTGTTTCTCTCACCAGTTCTGTCCCAAACACAGGCGTATTCTGGGAGAAAACGCAGTATTTCCCTGCAGCTTCGTTGCTGTATTTTGATTAGGAAGGAAGAAGTCAAATGCCGGTGGCATGATTTTCCCTTTGTCCATTTTAATACACCTAGCTCGCCCCCGAAATGGTGAGTGCTGGCCGCGAGAGGCCGGGGGCCGGGCGTGGGGCCGATGGCCTGCGCTCCGCGGGTGTTCGGAGCCGGCCGGCGAGAGGCTCGGCTGACAGCGTCGCTCCAGGATTTCTCAGCCTGACCTTATACTTGATTTGTTGCTGTCATCGCTGTGTTTTAATTTTTCCTTTCCTTTGTTCCTACCTTTGCTTTTTTCTCTGTCTCAAAATAGATGGGAAAGTATTATCGTATCCCATGAGATTTTGAGAGAATTAATTGCTAGTAAAAGCATGTTAAGAGCTTTTGATGACTGAAGTAATTTGCAATGACACAGGGTCTGGTAGGGGTAGAGGGAAATCTAAGTCTAGGGAAAAAAGAAGTTTCTGTAATAAGGAGGCCCACTTGTGAGCAGAATTCAGTCTTGCCATACTCAGGACTCAGAGGGCTTTTCCTCATTTTGGTGGTGTCCCTGTGTCATTTTTAAAATGTGCTTTTGAGTGAGTTGCGAAAGGGATCATCACAAACCTTGGTATGGAATGCTGAGCATCTTTTCTGTTTCTGTGTCATCGAACTTGCTGTCTTAAGAAAGAAAAAGTGCTAAGTCTCTTCCTGGTAAAACAGCAGTTTCTTTAGACCACAATCCCTTAATTAACCCTTTTTTTTTTCACACCTGGACTTTAAGTATTTGAGGGTTTTATTTGGAAGTATTCCTCTTTTGCACACTAGTCAAATTTTATCTCGCCTTCAACCACACAGATCCTCTACTGTCAGTGAATTTCTAGTGTAGTAATTATATAAATGAAAGCATCATTTGTTATAGCTTTTTTTTAAAAAATACAGTTTCGCAGCACTGTGGAAAGTGGCCTGTTTTGAAAGTTTACTAAAAAACGGAATGTTGTTTTTTATTTATAATAACAAAATGATCCTTCATGAAAGGATAAAATAGATAATGTGAAGATGGAGCCATTAAGGATCTTGTCATTAAAATCAATACAGTTTGGAGAAGTTATCTGCTTTGATTACTTCAGGTGCTGTGGATGCCAGAACTGTGTGTTTGTGTCTGTAACAATTGTAATGCTGAGCCTGTTACTCGTGGACAACTCTGACGTATGTCCTGGGGGATTCTGCTAACCAGGAACTTCGGAGTAGGACTAAGACCTGATTTTAGCCTCGTCATATGTCCCTTTATTAATTATATATACCATCCAGCTTTCTCCTTCCCATTTCTTGCTCAGAATCCTGCATTGCAAATAATTCTCCTTTCGTTCTTCCTTCTGTAGCTATCATTTGATATCAGATGACCCATGTATTTCTTCTTTTCCTGTTCTTCTGCAGATTGCTGATGACCTGGGAAATGAAAAATTCTGCATTGATGCCAGCCAGAGCGGAGCTGGGAACTGGCTGAAGTACATCCGCGTGGCCTGCTCCTGCGACGAACAGAATCTAGCCGTGTGCCACGTTAACGACCAGGTAATGACTCCGGCAGTTACTGGGTTGCTGTGCTCACCCTGCCACGTCCACAGATGCTGGGGTGGGTTGCCCAGAGGACAGTGCGTAGTGGCAGCACTGAATGGAAGAAACCAAGGGATTCATCCGCTCAGCAGCTCTGCTGCAGCGTCCCCGAAGTGATCCAAAACCCCTGGATTCATGTGATCGTCCAGTCCCTGACCTCCTTTTGTGGCGGGGAAGGTCGTGTGAAACGGTAACACCTGGTGTGAAACACAGGTTATCTTAACAAAACACAATGAGACAAATGGAAACCAGTGCTGGGTATTTCGTTGCCATCAAAACCATAGAAAATTTATGTTACCAGTTGACAGTGGTGGGTAAGGAGCGTGATTCCAAGCTGTAAACTCAGTTGTCTATGTTTAAGAGGGGAGTGAGAGTGGGAGATGGTTTGGGAGTCTGCTAAGGAGGAAGAGAAGTAAAAACCTAGTAGGCGTATTACAGAAATGCTGGTAGAGCAGTGTCTGGGTGTGGGTGAGGGATATTACATGGAATTAATAGGATTTTGATAATGTTAGCTAATGTTTGTAAAATTCTTTGAAGCTTAAACCCAAAAATGGATTCAAGATGAACAATTCAAGTTGGGAGTTTCACAAACCTCAGACTGAGTACAATTCAAATCTAAGTTACTGTTTCAGACCTAAGTTAAATGAGAAATGCAGTCTTAATGTTCTTACCAGATAGCAAACAGGAGGTATATCTGGATGCACACAAAAATGAGCCAAGAATGGAAGAATACACTTCTAACAAAAACATTTAAAAATTTGTAGCTGACAGGGAAGCTAGAGTGAATCTGAAGTAAGCCAGCTCATGTAAAATGAGAATAGCTCAGGGTGTGCCAAAATGTCAGCCCACTTTGTGAACTTAGTTCCCGTTTTAAAATGCTTTTAAATAACTTAACCTTGGATGTGGGGAAAAACAAAACCAAACCAAAACAAACACAAACAAAAATATCACAAATGTTCGTGATTTAAGCAATCTAGAAGAGATTGAAGCACAAAGCTCTAAATTTCAGCCTGCTCAGTTAAAATGAGCTGCTGATTGCTTCAGTGCCCACTCACCACTACTCACAAGTGCTCTTACAACAAGGAGCCTCCTAACCAAGAGCCAACATTTATCATCAGCTCCTTGTCTTACACTCTGAGCTGCTCGGTGCTTTCTGTGACACACACAGGGCTGCTCCTGCGTCTCGGTTTCGCAGAATGACAGGGTAAGTATCTTCAGGGCCATGACAGGATAAATATCTTCGGGGCCGTTACATTTTCCCTCACCTGTTCCTTAGGTCTTTCACCATCCTTATTCTGCACAGACAATACGGGTTTGCAGGAGTCTGCGCCTGACCCAGCTTTCCTCCTGTGCATCCTCCGGCTCATCCGAGCGCAAGCGGGGACCGAGGGGTAACTCTGGGGGCTCCCGGAGGATTCAGTGGGCCCGATGCGGCTGCATACGCTGTCTAATACTTTCCAGAGCTTTGCATGTAACTGTAGCTTCAGCCAGCTAGATACGTTCACTTAACTGTATGGCTTTGCTCAGCCATCTGTGCAGATGAATTCTTCCCAGCATTCATCCTTGCAAAAGGGTGGTGAAGCTGTGACTGAGAATTTTTATCAGCAGCAGTAGAAAGGTACAAATATTAAAGGAAGAGAAAAATCAAATATTTTGAATTTGGGTTTCTTAAAAAAAGTCTTAGACTGGGGAAAGAAACTGAGTTCATACATGAATACACATTTCTTCTTTTTAAAATGTTAACTTGTACACTGCTGGCTTTTCCCAGGTTCTTAAAAACGCTTAGATATATATATATATATATATATATATATATATATATCTATATCTATATCTATATCTATCTATCTATCTATCTATATATATATATATATATATACACACAAAATTTGCCAGAAACCTGAAGGCTGTATCACATTTTATTCTAAGCCCAGTCCACTGCGTGTTCTTCTATCCTTGTCCCTCTTCTGGAGATTTTGTGTTGTGCATGCTTTTGGTGCCTGCAGCAATCTGATTGGAAGGAACAGCTGCTTATCATACACACTCATCTTCTTTATTTTCTCTCTGTAATGACCATTCTTTTACAACTTCTTAATAAAGAAATTTGCTAAAAGTCACATAAAAGGGGGGGGGGGGGGGGGGGGGGTAGCAAGAAAATGCTTCTTCAGGAGGAAGAAAAAAAAAAGGTGCAGAATATAATGAAACAGTAGCAAACCAAAATGTTTTCTCCTCCTCAGCCTTCATTCCTGAAAGATTGAAGAGTCTTACATCAGGCCAGCTGGTAGGAATGAAAAAATCCAGTGTAAAAAGCAGCAGATGATGGTGATTGATAACTAGAGGCACTGGATGCTCGGGGGGGAGGAGTAAAATCAGAGTAAGGATCTACTGTTTCCTAAGGTATTGATTATGACAGCCTATGGACTCATCTGAGTGGCGGCAGTATTTGGAGCAATCAGCAGCACATTAAAATCTTTGTGGATTTTTGTATTCTTATTTGTAGAGGAGACAATCTGACCATGTTTGTTCTGGAATTTCCTATCCATTCCAAGTTTTCTCTCACACCGCTGCTACACAAAACCGAGTCTCACTACTTTCTCTCCTGGAAGGATGTTGGTGTTAGTTGGTGGTTACTTCTTTTATTGAAGCTGATAGTAATTCGTCTGGATTATGCAGCTTCAAAGAACAGAGATGGCTGTGAGTGCATTTGGTTGTCATGAAAACTACGAGAGTATGATGCAAATATAAATAGAAAAGAAAAATGTCAAACAGTCCGTAAGCATGTCTGTCTGGGAGCTGATACGTGCTTTCGTCAAACTCAGTGAGCACAGTTTGCAAGCAGCCCAGGTGCCCTTTGGATAAAAGGCCCCTGTAAGTGAACTCTTTAGGACTCAAAATAAAATGACTAGATTGCAAAAACTACTAAATACCAAAGCAAAAGGAGCATACGTTTTCACAGATACTGTAGCTAGATCTAGTTGGAGGGTACAGAATGCTTTTACATGTAATTACTTTTGATTTAGCTGATCATCAATGTGAGTTCCGTGCTAATAAAAAGGGTGGGTGTGTGTGTGGGGGTGTTACAGATCGTCTTCCTGCCGATACCCCCGAGTGAAGAATCTTGCTCGTGTGACTGCTTCACTGAAGTCAAGGGCATGGAGCTGGATTCCTTGCAGAAGTGTGTATGCGTGGCCAGGGCCATTGGATGCTTTTAAAATGAATCCCCTCGTTTTCCCTGTGGGATTTATTTAGAAAACTAAATTTGCGTCGACTTCAAACTTCCTTTCTTGAGCACAAAACCCCACACACCGTTCGTTCCAGGGGGGGTTCTGCCGGGTGCTGGTGCTCTGAGCATCCTGCCTATGAGGAAGGAGAGATCTTGGGTGGGAGAGATCTCAAGCCCTTACGAGAGTGACTCCTAAAGCCAGAAACACATTACACATTTTCCGAGTGACTAAGCATTGCTGATTTCTACCTAGTCCTAACACTGCTGGGTTTAACTTTATTTAATTTCACGTTGCTAGCAGGGTACATATTTTCCATAACAGGGACACAAAAATCAGGGAGAAATGCTTTATCATTCCTGTTCAGTAGGCACGCAAAGATTTAGGTTTTGTTAGTAAGTACCTAAAGAAAAGGAAAGGTTTTGCAATAAAAGATTACCCACAGAATAACTAAGCAGCATTGTGCTGATAAGAACCAGGACAAGCTTTTAATCAAAACCATTTGCTTTTCAGGAAAAAAATAAACATGTTTACATGGGGAGGTGTTCCTTTGCGCCTCCCCCCTCCCCAGACCACATTCTGTTCTTCTTTACTCTCCTTTAACTTGGGAGCATTCCCAGGAATGTACAGAGAATTTTCCTGGATATTTAGTGAAGTAATTGACAGCAGAATCTGGACCTATGAATTTTGGGGGGTTTTGGGTTGTTTTTTTGTTTGTGTTTTTTTTTTTGTTTGTTTGTTTTGGTTTGTTTTGGTTTGTTTTTTTTTCCTCCAATTTACAGATCAAAATGCTACTATTTAGAAAGAGATTAGTTGAGACATTTCACTAACTGTTTTTCAATTGTGAAACCAGTTGTCACATGTAAAATAACGTTAGTCAGTTTTCTTTGTATTTATTCTTAATTGATAGGTATTTGAAAAGAATAGAAGATCCTTGATTGACTGAGATAATTGTGTTTCTAAAGAAGGACTGGAAAAGAATCATAGAAAAATGATATGATTTGCTAAATGCATCTGGAAAACGATACAGGACTTGTGTTTTATTTTTTCATGTTGCTACTGCTGCCTTCACGGGGCAAATACTTCAGCCGTTCAGCTGTTCTTATTCAGGAGACTGTAATATTAAACAGAGTATATGTAATAAATATAATAGCCATGAGCTTGCTTTCAGGATGATAGCTCCTGCTTTTGTTTGTGTTGCATATATTGGAAAAAAGGACTAACAGGAGCTACAGTGAAGGAAAAAATCGGGCCTCTTATAAGCCCGTCTTAGACGTGTGTATAACAGAGATATTTTATATGTATTTTACACACACATTCGGTGACTCTGTTCAGGATTCCTATGTATCTAATACAGTGCCTTAAAAAGAGGAAATAAAAAGCAGTGGGGCTTAGTTGAAACAAAGAGAAAGCGATTCCAAAGGAGGAAAACATCTGAACAAAAGCAGAATGTGCAGCCCTGCTCCGGCTAGAAACACACGAGGCCAAACTTTGACGTGTCGCTGCTTGGTGAGCCAGCCAGCCACACAGATAGTCTGGCAGTTGTCTTAGGTGAACAGTAGGTAGAAAGATTTGCCTTGTTTCTTCGTTGTGCTGCTGGTCTAGTTAACTATTTGAAAAACAAGAACGTAGAGCAACTGCTTTTTAGCTCATTGTGAACTGGCTTTGTCCATCACTTCTGCTGCACGCTGATGCAATTAGCGGGTGTGTTTTTTGATCTTTGGGTAAACACTGCAGCTGTTTTCTCAGTTCTCTAATGCTCTTTCTTCCCAAAAGTACCAACGTGTTGCTGCAATGAAACTAAGATAAATAGTAGACATAACGTGTACAGCAGCTAAACAGTGCTGTTTCTTATGAAAGATACCCAAATAATGAGGTAATATGCGGATGTACTTTTCTTACTTGACATGTTTCATCTCCATCTATTTTCTTGATATTGGAATCAGTTAAACACTTACCGTGCTGCTCCTGAGCTGTGTCTGCCTGAAGAACGCTTTTTTCTCAGGGAAAAGATGTGCAGCTTTGATTACTTTGTGCTCCACTCTGAGAGAGATCAGCCTCAGAAGGGGATTGTGTGTTGCAGTTCTGCATTATCGATACTTTCAGTAATTGTATGAAATTGCTCAGTTCTGTGCTGCAAAATGTTATAGCCAGAGCCAGCTTTCTATTACAGCCAGTTTACATCCACAGGAGCAGTTACAGAGCAGATCCATATATCAAGCCCAAACTCCAAAAGGACTCCTCTGGGTTTTTTTATTTTCATTTTTTTCTTCTTTCTTTAGTGCCCCATGCCTAGAATAATTCTGATAAAAATCAAGAAATGTAGTATTTCCTATCGTCTGTGAGAGCACTACCCAGACCCTAGTTATATCGTTAGCTATTCTGTGTTCCGTGGAACTAGCTGGTCATTAGGAGAGGTGCCCCTTTTGTTGTGAGAAATAAGAAATTATACGGTGTGGAATTCTTATACAAATGATGAGCAGAAATGATTTATGAATGTAAATGTTCTAATGGATTAGTAAATCTGATCTTTTTTTTGGTGCACAACAAATAAAAAAGGAAAGGAAACACAGCAGTAGTTTTAATTAATTCAGACCATCAGTAGCATGATTGCTAGATGAAGTTAATTATTATAATGAAATGTTTGATGAAATTAATGTGACTCCAGCAGAATCCAACTTTTCCCTAATCATTAATGAAGCTTGTGTTACATTTCTTGAAAGACCGTAACAGACATGCGTTTTTTTATATACAAGAAGCTACTTTGTTCTGAGAACAAACAGGAGGGGCGAGGGAGTTAAAGGTTGGGATACAGCGGCAGTGGTAGCTGATTAGCGGTATAGTTCTGAAGGATTTTTTCCAATGTAAAATTTGTGAGTGTATCTGTGAACTAGGAGTACTTTTTTAGGTCATGGTTTGTATTTTAGTGCTCATCTGGTTTTGGGTTACTAGCTGAAAGAGAAATGTCCATTAATAGCTATTTGGAGTGCTTTTCTTTTTTCTCTTAGCTAGCTGCAAGTGATGGCACATCATGAGTTCTGTTTTTCTGAGGCAAGCCCTAAACTCTGTGCTTATTCCTAGTCTTTCTTTTGTTTTTCAGGCAGGCTTGCCATTAAACTCGGTGTGGTTTGGATCTGGGAAAGGCTTTTCTTGATGAACAAGGAGGCAGGAAAGAGGGTGGAAGCGCAAATGAAAAAATAACGCGAAAAAGGAGAGTTTTAATACCACTTGTAGTTCGCAGTGGAATCCATAGATATTAACTGACCTGCGTGAAGCGGTTCAGTGCAATCTCTCAGCAATACCTGCACCTCCTTACATCTGTACGTGAGCACGTATCTGCTGGGCACTGCTCGGGATTTTTCAGCTGAGGGTCTCGAAGCACCGCACAGCCAGATACTTGGATCTTTCCAGCTGCACAAGGTCACTTTTCCTGGTCGTGCATCGGCAAGATGACATGCGGGATGAGGCTGGATGCAGCTTCAGTGGAAGGATGTGGGAAATGGTGATGAAAATTATGCTGGGGGTTCTGGCAAGTGCAAGGATGGGTTTCTGTACAGTTTGGGACATTTTGTAAATCACAAGCAGTTTGATTTCATTTCTCTTCGTAAACATTTGGTTTCGTGACCACACCACTTTGAGACTCTGAGATTTCAGGGCCTTTTCTGCTGGGTGCTAGTAATCTGTTTGTACACAAGATACGCACATATTCCAGTGACTGTGCAGATGGAAGGGAAGGTGGTTTAGAGCGTGGTTGGGAGAGCGTGGATGGAGGCAGCTGGAGAAGTGAAACACATGGTGCCGAGCTGCTTTTAGCAAGAGGAGTTCCTGAGGCCGCCCAGCAGCGTGCGGGAGGGGGGGGGGGGGGGAAGTGTGGTATGTGTGTGTGTGTGTGTGTGTGCGTGTCCGTGGGGCCGGGCCGGCGACCCCCGGCCCCATCGCCCCGCCACGTCCCCCGCCGCGGGTGGGTGGGTGGGGGCTCCCGCCGAAGCCTCGCCTCGCCCGGAGCACCCAGGTCAGGCGTCCCCCTTCCTCCATCCCCCGGCCACCCCGCTCCCCCCGTGATGGCCCCGTGGGCAGCGGGAACCCCCAGCCCCGGCATAGTACCCCCCCCCCCCCCCCCCCCACGCCCCGGGCCGTCTGCGAGCGGCGTCGCGCCAGCAGCTGCGGGAACGGGCGCCGCGGGGGAAATGTTGTGGGGTTTTTTTTTGTTTGTTTGGTTGGTTTTGTTTTTTTTGTTGTTGTTGTTGTTGTTGTTTTGTTGTTGTTGTTGTTGTTGGTTTTTGGTTTGTTGTTTTTTTGTGTGTGTGTTTTTTGTTTGTTTGTTTTGTTGTTGTTGTTTTGTTTTTTGTTTTTTTAATTTATTTTTTGCTCGCTCCGGAGAGGGGAAAAGGTGGGAGCTGCCGCGGCTGCCCGCCCTCGGCGGAGCGGGGCTGGGCGGCACCGGGAGCCCCTTTGCCCGGACACCGGCACCGGGGGCCCCGGGGGTCGCTGCCGACGGTGCTTTTCCGGCGGGGGGTGCGTGTCCTGAGGCTCCGTGTGCGGTGCCGGGGACAGCTCACCGGCTCTTGGGGTGCAGGGCGGGTTAGGAACCTGTCGGGAGTTTCCCCTCCGAGCCGGGGCCGGGCTCGCCATCGGGACGAGACGGAGGGAGAAGGGAGGAAGGAGACGCCGGGAAGCAAAATGCATCGCAGTGACACTATTAACGCAGGCCTGTAGGAGTTTTGTGTGTCTGTTCCCTCTGAACGGTAGATTGGCAGAGGATGAGTGGCAGCTGATCAAGGGAATCCTTGTAAGCGAATTGCAGTTGATACCCTGAAAAGGTTTCATGCATTGCTATTAAAGGCAGTGCTAATAAAACTTTGCACTTAACAGCTAATATCTGTTGAATTCTCACGGTATTCCTGTTAGAAGAGGACAGGGTCCAGCATAGTCTAAAACTTGGACAGCACATGGAAGATGCCGAGTCTCTGGGATTTCACATAGTTCTGATCCTTTTCCTCAGCTGCACAAGCTCCCATCCTGCTGTTGGTTTCCTTCTGCTGCTGTTCTTTCACAGTTTTCCTTGTGGAGGTCTTCGTGCAATGCCCTCCCAGTTGAGGTTACAGAGCTCCTCTCCCGGCCCAGCACTGCCCCAGCTGCCGGGCGACTGGGGCTGCAATTTAGTTCCCGGTCGTTCCAGGGAACCAGCGAGCCATCTGCCCGCTAATCCAAATAAGCCCCTGTCATCACACTCTTCCTCCCCATGACCTCTGTCATTTTGTCACAGGGAACGAGGCCGTTGGGGCCCGCTCACGTGAAACCCCGTCATCGCTCGGCCGAGCTTTCTGTTGGGTTTGGGGGTGGAACAGTAAAGATGAGTGTGTGGTGTGTATGAAAACATGCGCTAATATGTGGATGCCTTGCAACATCACCCTTCGTTGCACCTTGGATAAAGGGGTTTTCCTTCTCGTAATATTTTCTAAGAAGTGCATCCTTGGAGTGTGAGAATTCATTTTGGTTCAGGAAACCTGTGCAAGGTCTAGGTAGCCTTTAAACCATGTTCTGCACGCTTTAAGTGGCAATGTGAGGGGGGCATCAGGGCTGGTGTGTGGTCCCTGCCCGTGTCTGAAGCCTGGGTCTGGCTCGGGGTCTGTCCTGGGTGTTCTGGCGGAGCTGCGGTGGGCTAGCAGTGCTGCACTGGGCGTGTTCCAGAAGGGCCAGGTCCTGTGGTTAGACAGGAACTCTGAATGGGGACGAACTGCTCACCTGGGATGGTTCAGGTCTTGTCTTTGGGGGTCAGCTCCTCAGGCTCTAGGTGAGAGTAACCTACAGAATAATTCCATGAGGATTTGCTAATTCAGCTCTCTAATCATCAGGCCAGTTTCGGCTTAGAGAAGCAGAGATTTAAATGCGTCAAGTCCATCAGTTTAATCTTCCCTTTGCTATAACAAATACACTAAACTTACAGGAGGTAGGGAAGACAATGGGAAGATTTTGTGTAATTTGAACAAGAGAGGCTGTTACCGTAAATACTCCTTTATTGTCCAAGCTGCATAAAACACTGGCACACATAGAGTAAAATAAAGGCAGAAAAAAAGAGCTCTCAGTAGCAATTACCACACAAATCAAGTGACAGCCTCCCCTATTAGCTGGAATAATTTGAGTTATTGGTTAAAATGTAAAATGCAAGTCTTTGCATATTTAACATGTCTCTCAATTTTTGTTTCTGATTCCCAGATCTATTATAAAGTTATTAAAGAAATTGAGCCAGGAGAAGAGCTCTTGGTGTATTTGAAGGAAGGTGGTTATTCACTTGGGAACATGGCGCCCAGCATGGAAGGTAAGGCCTCGTTTTGCTAGATAGGACTTTTTTGCACCTCTCACCTGCAAACCTAGGAATGTCGAGAACCTCAGTTAGTGCTGAACTGGGATGAAAACCTGATCGGTACCTGCCCCCTTCTGTAACTGTTAATATTTTATGTTTATTTTCACCTGTTCTCTGGTGAGAGTAGCTGTCTTAGTCAATGATAGCAAGCAAGTTTTTATTAACCTCAAAGCATGCAACAGATTAATTTGCTGCTTCTCTTTGAGGAACACTGTGGCTTTGAATGTCATTGGAGGTGCCTTTTTGATCCCCAGGGACCCTGTGCAATAAAAACGGGCCAAGCCATTCTAAGGCTTGCAAAACACAGCTCTTTAGAGCTTTAGATTATACAGAAAAGGGGGATGCAGGCAGAGGATGGAAGAGTCATTGCTGGAATTATTATTCCTAGAATAGAGACACCTCTGAAACTCTGAAATGGTGCAGCAAAGGCCAGAAGAATGATTATTTTTAAAAGAAAGGTCATGTTTTTATTACTGCAGCATCTCTCCTGCCTTGCAGTGAGTTGGTATTGCTGGACAAGGTGTGTAGCTGAAATAGGCTTGCAGAGGGAGAAGTTTCCTTGACTGCATATTGTGTGTGGAGCAACCTGAAAGACAAAGCTTTATTCACTTCTTTGTATATTAACACAACCATTTTCCTCTAAATATCCTGCTGTTAATTACTGAAGTTCAGTAATCACACAGGCTATCTAAAAGACCATGCTGCTTTCCAGGTTAAGTGAGCATTTTCTAGTAAGCTGGGGCAAGGAGGAGTGTGCTCAGATTTTTGGATTCTCTTCCTACACCAGAACAGTGCCATGTGAAATTCGAGAGAACGTGTAGAGAGGGATGGGGAAAGAAAAAGAAAAGAGAAGACTTTGAGTCTTGTTTCCCTTTTTCATGGTGCACAAAGATGGCTATAAAGTACTTACCTTTTTAATAAGGAGAAGCATGGAGCTTTCTGCTTGTCATTCTGCTAGCCCGTTGAAAGCTTGGGGTTCAGTTTTAGTTTCACAAAGAACAGAAACGTTTGATACTGCAGAGTAAGGATAGCCAGAGCTCCTCCAGTAAGGAGACAAGATCCAGTTCAGGGCTTTGGGAAGGAAGCGCGGACTGAGCTGCGGCACAGACGGGGCTGTTGCGAGGCGGTTCGGAGCCGTGTCCCTGGGGACAGGTTGCTGCTCCGCGGCTCTTTGCAGGGCCCTTGCATGCTTCTCTGCAGTAGCTGTTGCTGGCTCTTGTCAGCAGGACACACGGCCTGAAATGTTCCCTCCATCTGAGAGTGTCGCTGGGATTTTTTTCCTTTGTTCAAGTGCTTTTTTCAACATTCATCGGAGACTCTGACTAATGTTTGGTATCCCACCTCTCTCACTGCAAGTGCCAGAACCTGTCAGTACAAACACTGTGCAGTGGAAGCGATCTCTTAGGAAAACTAGGAAACCGTTCCCAAAAATATATAGAAACAAGGCACCAGCACACACACCAAGAGTACTCAAAAATTGTGCAGATTCTTATTTTAAAATGGTTGCTTGCAAGGCCTGAGATGCGTACAGAACCCCACCGTAACAGAGCACTGCAGAACCCCACGGGAAGGGCTTTGTGATCCCGAAACGCAGTGACAGTCAGTCCGCACTTGCAAAGCTCTGCTCTGTTTTCCAGGGTTCTTAGTTTCCTTGACGTTTGGTGACGGTGAAAGTTAGAGAACAACATAAAAGGTACATGAATTTTCTCAAAGAGATTATTAGGGCTTATTACTTACGTCTTTTTCTGTTCATTCGTTGAATGTAGAGCCTGTTGCAGGTTTTGCATTATTATTTGATGACTAGTTTCTATAAATATATTCTCATCTACCAGTCATTTTTAAACTATTAGTTGGAAATGCTGTTCTACATAATCGCTGAAATTTGAGTTGTCTCACCTGTACATCCTACAATACATTTATTTTCTTTTACCTGTATATGCATACAATTTTCAGATTCAACTTTGCACTCTTTGAGGGTGTACGTATGATATGCACAATTAGTTTGAAATATTTCTGAAAAAAATGATAGTTTGAGGATTAGTGCTGCTGAAAGCTCTTTTTCTGAAGGTCCATGGGTGAAGTGAGTGAACAGGCATTGTGGTAGCTGCTGTCTCACTGAGATGCCAGGATTTGGATTATTTCTTCAGTGTTCTCCCCCAAAAAGTTAACAGTTTTCTGGAGACCAACACACAGAGATGAATCATTTCTGTATGCACAGTGATGGAGTAACACCTATCCTTCTTTTGACATGAGGGAGAAATCAGAAAGAAAAGTCACCACTGTTCTGCATTTCTGTTTCTAATAGGCTTTTATTTGAACAAGCAGAAAGTGCTTCTTGTTTTCCATCTTTGTCATTATGTAACATTTATCTGTATCTTCCTGGTAATGTCTAGTGCTTTTGCCACATAATTGCTTTCAAATTATAATAGGCCAACATTAAATATTTGACTTCTTAATACTTTTTACTTTCAGTAATGCTATCTTCCTGCTGCCTCGAACCCCCATTTCGATTCTGAATTAACAAGAAAGAAAATGCAAAATTGTTCCACACAAAGATAATTATCATAAAAATCTTTTATCCAAACCCCAGCCAAACACAGCAGACCCCTTATCACTGCAGGAATTTTGAGTAGGGCACTTGAACTCCTTTGAGATTCAAGTCTGGTAGATTAGCATGTAGATGCCACATAATTGTGTTCCCCTTGGTTTCTCTGAAAGCTATTAGGCACTGATTTATTTTTCTGTTACATTCCTGCTTTGTCCTGAGTGTTACTGATGGAACTTAAGATAGGCACATATAACCATAGATTTGACAAACAAGACATAGAGAACAGGCAGCAATTTTTTTGTAACTGGATTTTTCTTTTCTTTTTATCCCCTTCTCCCTGTAAGATACTGAAGTAGCAACCTTTTTTGAAGGGCAGTATTTTCATTTGTGGTGCTTAAAGAAAGAAGAAAACTTCAATAAGAATTTGTTTTGAAGGGCAATATTTTTATTTTTGGTGCTTAAGAAAAAAAACACTTTAATGAACCTGAAGTCTACAATCAGGGTGTCTGATATAAAGACACAGAATAGACAGCATGTCTTCTTAGTTCAGGCCTGAGCCTCCTTTGTTGCTTAGGTTTCATTTTTGCAGGGTAATGGTGGGTTCCTTGCCCTGCAGCGTTATCTATTGAGAAGTTTGATCTCTAGTCTTCTGAAGTTCAGAAACGGGAATGCCGGAGGAATGGGTGTTGGATAGTGATGTGATATAATGGATTTTTCTACCAGCCAGTCAGTTCTTCCTTGGTTTAACCTCTCTGAGCATCAAAATAGGCTTTGCAACCAGTGGCAACATGTGTAACGTGACTACAAGGGCTTTAATCATATTTTTGTCAGCTCTCTTAATTCTTCTTTTCAATAAAAATTTATTTTTCCAAACCCAAATATTCTGAGGCACATGCTTTTCTTTTCTTATCACCCACCTTTTCTACCTATGAAAAAGCTGTTGTGTTTGATGATGGAAGAGAAATGTTGTTACTGAAGCAGGAGACTGTATAAAATAGACAGGGGTATTTTCAATTTAGTGACGTGCAAGGGCTAGAGCTGTAAAATCTCTGTAGCTCTGAACATATGCAAAAGCAAAAAATGCACACGCCTCAGCTGAGCTGTCTTGTTTCTTACATTTCTTAATAACAGTCTCACAGGGCAGGTCCCCAGCTTGTGTAAACGGAATTACACCAGCTTCTACCGGCTGAGGGTCATGTTATATTGTGTGCAGTTCGGGTGAGGTCTGTAATTCTGCTGGCAAAGGACAAGGAGAATTAGAAGCAAATTCTCTTCTCTAACAGTTATTACTGAGGCTATTAATGTATTTCATCTGTCTGTCTGCCTGCTCTAATCTCACAGAAAGGACAAAAATATGTTATTGATAACAACATCTAGTGCTCCATCAGGTTGTATATTTGGGGGGGTGGGGGGGAGTGCTTGCAAGTTGTCCATTATCAACCAGGTATGTAGTATATTATTTTTCCATGTCTAGTTTTCCAAACTTGAAGTGGATTTCTGGTTTCTGGAGGACAGTTTGGGTGAAATAAGATACGATTAATCATGTAAATCTTAAATTGAAGTAGGAAGAATTTGGTATGTATTTGCAGAAGGTATTTTGATGCATTTTCTCTGAAGTCAAAAAAAGAAGAAGAAGAAAAAAAAAAATCTGTTTCCTCCATTCCCAGTTTTCAGGTCTGGGGAATTGTCAGTTTGATCTTGAGAGATGCTGGGAGTTTTGTAGGAGATTCATAAGAGGTGAAGCTACCTGGAGTTCCCAGTCCGGAGGGCTTTGTGTCCCTTCTGCAAAAAAACCTTCTCGTGTTGAGCCATCACCGTATTTACAAACGAGTGAAGAGGGGAAACACTGGATTTTCAGGATGAATTCTGAGGTAGACAAACACCTTGCCAGAGCAGTTCCACGTTATCTGGAGTTAGTGAGGGATTTATCCTGTTACTCCACAGTTCAGTGGGCTGCATGAGGCAAATGAGCTTCCATCCCACGTGCGTCTCTAGGAGTCACAAGCAGAACAAACGTAAGGTCATGTTTGTTAGTGCCAGTGACACTTTTGAGTACAGCCTGACGTCTGAGACTATGAAAACTGAACGTTGTAGCAGATAAACACTCGTTCCAGAGCTAACGTGAATTCACTAGTAATGAGGAGAGATGGCATGATGAGATTATTGCCTCAGCCCATGCAGTGCCTGCGTTCAGGACCCTTGATGCTGTCAGGCTTGTCTCTTCGCACCCGAGTTATGGACGTGTGGAGAGTGAAAACGTACCTAAATGCACCTAATCACAGCCCTTACCCCTCCTCGCTTGCTGCTTTCGCACTAAGAATGTTTTCGGTCCATAAACATGTGCAGATGAAATCTTAAATTTCGTGAGGTAACACTTTATGCTTCATGCTGTTGCTAAAAGTAAAATGCAATAACAAGACATATGATGATACTACAATTACGGTTTGTTTCCCCTCATAAAAAGTAGTTTGGATTATTATAATGGTAGGTTATAGACAGTGTCTTGATACTGCTGGGTAGTTTTTTATATCCTGATTTCCAGGTTTCCCTCCCCAGGGACATAAAACACATGAGATACATATTGGAACTGTTCTACAAAATGTTAGGGAACAGAATTTCTCTAAGGAGTAGAGCAGGGCCTGATCCACTTTGTTGTGAGGATGCTGACAGCGATTTCAGGGTATGCCAGCTGTCAAGATGAGTTGAAGTGGGAAATATGTGAGTATTTCCTTCTCTTAGGTCTCCTTTTTTTAGTCAAAATCCCTTTTTCTCCCCAAAGGAAAATGCTGACCCACTGGACTTAATTTCTTTTTATATCCCTCTCTTCTGCAGTTCAGGAAATCCTATAGCATCTCTGTATTTTATTCATTCTCTGTGTAAACGGGGTATAGTACCCCTAGACACGCTGCTTGGATCAACAGCGAGGCTTCGCTGGTTGAGTCTTGGTGATATTTTCTTTTTTAAGTGTGTTTGACTTTTTCCAGTTTGTGGACATGTCGATACTTTCCGTGTAGGTGTGGACCACTTTGGGTTTCATCTGCCTACATAGCTCACTGTACAGCTTATGGGATCTTGTCTTTCTTAGTCACCACAGCAGCAAGTCACAGACTCCCCGGTGTGCAGGGGCACGGGGCGAAAACCACAGCCTGAGTTTAAATAGGCTGTAATGAGAGAAACAGAGAAAGGAGATTATTGCCCAAGTGCAGGCGGGGAAGCGGTGGTCGCTGGGTGTGATACTGCCTGTGCTTGTGCTCGTGTCGTGCTTCTAACAAAATTAACCCCAATCTATATAAAACACAATTTCAGGCCTTAAAGCGCAGCCTAAGTGGTTGTAATTATGCAAGACTTGGGGCAGACAAGTGCATGGGGTGCTTTAAACCACGGGGTTGCTGCAAGGTTGCAGCTTTTGAAAGCGGCTCCAGGCAGAGGAGCAGCCACGAAGCCGCAGATGCTGCCGCATCTTACCCTGTCGTCTGCAGCGCTCGGGGCTGCATCAGCTCCATCACAACACTGGCTTCTGGCTGCATCTCTTAGATTATCTCCACGCTTCCCTCTGAACCAGTGCCTTTTACCACAAGCTTTCCTTTTGAAAGTAAAGTTATCAGGAAAAGAGAATAAAGCCTAATGCGGAACAGAGCCCCGGAGTCCAGAGGAAGAGGGGAGAGGGGGAGAGGGAAATGCAGCACCAGTGACTAAGTGGTGGCTGGAAACCTCTTTCAAGCTGGCTGCTGGGTGGAGAAACCCGGAACTATCTCAACTCCCTCGCAGAGGAGGTTCTCCTGGAAAATTTACAGCTCTGAGCTGATTGTTTGGCTTGGCACTATGGTCAGGATGCTGCCTTGTAAACTTAATAATAGCTGCCCTCTTTTTAATTTGTTTGACCTTGACTACAATAATTTATTATGTGCATTAGAGATTTTTTTTTAAAAAACAAAACAGCACAACAACAAAGAATTTGGCTCCCTTTTTTTTCTTCTATGGTAGTCTGATTTTGAACTCCAGGTTTGACAGTGCACCGTGCTTCTGCTGTTGTGCAGGATGAGTTACGAGGACAGCATTAGAAAGGCACTGTTTTAGAAAGGAGCTTCTCCAGGTCTGTGCTGTGGCGATTTGCTTTTCCCAGTATCTGTCTCTATATGAGTATGGTTTGTTCCTTTTTCCCCTGGCAGCCCCTTTTGAGGAAAACCTCGATCATATTTTCAGGAAACCTCATTGCAAATGAACGCAGTACTCCAGAGTAGCCCCGGTGTTTTGCATATCTACTAGTTCTTGTCGGTCTCTATGTCTTGGCAGAAGCCAGGACACAAAGAAAACAAGATCTCTCCTGGTTTTGTGCATTTTTTTTTTTATTAATGCTTAAAGTGAAAGCAATCTGCTGGCACAGCCTACCTTGGTTTCTCTCTCCTGTCACTTGTAGATTTCCTCTTTGTTTGATAGATCCTCACAGAATTTTATGCTTTCTGTACAAGCCCAGTATTGGGTGAAATAATTACACTTGCTTGAACTTCCTGATCCACAAGTCAAAATCATCTTCTCTGTCTGTTGTAGAAGAGCACACGTTTCGCTGCGAGGACTGTGATGAACTTTTCCAGTCAAAGCTCGACCTGCGGCGACACAAGAAGTACGCCTGCAACGCTGTCAGCTCCCTGTACGAGACCCTCAACGACGAGATCAAGCAAGAAGGTCTTGGAGATGGACAGGTCCATGAGTGCAAAGACTGTGAGAGGATGTTCCCCAATAAATACAGGTACCGGAAAATTGCCAGACCCTCCTCTGGCCTGCCCCTCCCCGTCACTCCTGCGCGGTCCTGGCCCACGATGGGAAATGTGGGAGCAAGGTGGGAGCTGGGCAGCCCCGGCCGGCTCCGGGGATGAGCCTTTCCTGCCTCCGTGGGGCTAAAGAAGGTCGGGTTAGGATCCTTCAGTGTCATTAGTTATTCAACAGCATTTTGCTTCCTCTTGATTTCATAGACTGGGATGCTTTGCATCACTCGCTGGTAGAAGCATCCACAGATTATTGGCAGTATGGAGTTGAAATGGTAGTTTTCTGAATTCCCTGTGATTTTTTCAGGGCTGTGGTGCTAGACCTGGTTAGTATCTTTGCTGCAGCTGCTCCCATGTGATCTGATTCTGAGAGAAAATAGTTCTACCGATATTTGCATGAAGACTTTTTTTATATGTAATTCTTGGTCATTTGAGATCAGTGGGTATAAAGAGGCGTTGTTGCACTAGAACTCCTAATGTGGTCCTGACCTCCTAGTTGATCTTGAAGAAGCAATTAGAAAAATTCTATTCCAATCAAATTTTTGGTTTTAATTTTTTTTAAATGTTAATGAAAGAATTTTGTGTTCATCATGCATTTTTGTTATAGAAATGTGAAAAGGAAAAAAAGATAAGATATTCTCCAGCTCATGTTTTTATTTGCAATAATTATTCAATTATTGTTATTATAAGGCAACTCTAAACAGGAATTGAACTTTTTTTAAAAAGGAAAACTTCTTTGGTCCAATAAGTTTTACCTGAAAATTTGCATCCTTCATACATAATGTGATAGTAATCAAATGCAGCTTTAAAGCAGAGATCTTTGAGATTTCTGATTCATTTGCAATACAAGACTCAAATAGTTAAATATTAGGAGGCACTTTTAAAAAGTTGAGGGGTTTTTAAAATCATTTTAGGATTGTGTTTATTTGTATCCTAAGCCTTTCACTCCTGGGCTGTATTTTCAAGGTTTTCTCCACAGCACAAGGACTGGAGTTTTATCAGTTTACTGGAGGCTGAAGTTCGCACCTGCTCATTTCAGGTGACTTCTGAGATGAACAAACAGCACACACAGCAAGATCTGTTATAAAATTGGGAGAACTGGCAGTCCTCTGTCATGTATTGTATAAGTAGAGCAAAAATGTTGAGCTTAAAGTCAGTATATGGCCTGTTTCATTTCTGTTAAAAATTTAAAAATATGATGTCCACCAGCATTAGTAATTTTGAACTTAATTATGTTGTTGCTTTCAGATCTTTTATCTGGGTAGGTGAAGAAAAAGATCTATTTTAAAAAATGTAGAGAAAGGTGAAATGTAAAGAACGTTTCACTAGTTCACCTGTATAAAAAAGAGCTTGGCTCTTGGCTGTGTTGTGGGCGTTTTAGAAGTTGGAAATAGATACTGTCTGCTAGTGATACCTGTACAGTGGTTCTGTTAGCACAGTTTGATGTCTTTCTTCCTCACCTTGTGTTTCTATGTTGGCTACTTTTGGTTAGATACTAGGAGGCTGCAATTCTCTTAATTTTTTACCTGACTAGAAAATTAGAACTTCCTTTAAATGTTTTAAATATATATGATTTTAGTAGAAATTCCAATTCTTTTATCTCTCTATCTGTGTTAGAAACTTTCTCCTCTGTAGCTTTGAGCATTCTGTAGTTTTTATGTTAGTTTAGAAAATACCTTTTTGAAATGTATATAGCATCTCCCCTTTCTGACATCCATGTGTTTCCTGGCTCCCCTTGGGGCCCCGGAGTAACACTGGGTCCATTTTGCAGGGGTTAAGAGAAGCAGAAAAATTTTGAGTCCCTTTTTCCTTTCCCTGGCAGTAAGATGTTCAGAGTCATCTGTTGAAGCTAGTTCAAATGTATTCAAATGATGTGGCTGAATTAAGGTCCCATTTTCCCTGGATTTCTTGGGAGAAGTGGTTAAGACAGACCTTGACTGGGTCCAAGCCCTGACTTGCCTCGGGACACATCTCCGTTGCCAGCGTGGCTGGCAGAGGGCCCGGAGCAAGCACTGCTTTTAAGTGTCGGTAGGTAAAGGGGGTGAACAAATGACTTGTTCAAAGTCAGACTGAAAACCTGTGGAAGGGCCAAAGGCAGAGCCCTGTCCTGATTTATTTTCAGGACCTTGTCCTGTTTTGGTTCTTCAGAATCATCACTCCTGTTACTTTCCAGACCTTGTAATTAAGAAGGAAACGTGGCAGAACATTTACAGGTCGTGTGCTCAACACAAATATCCCGATCTTGAGGCAAAAGTTCATGTGTGTGCTAGCATGGATTTCCAATTTTTGAGCACCCCTAGGTGAGGGAAAGGCCTCTTCGAGGTATTTCCAGCTGAACTTGGATGGAGATACTCCAAGTCACCAGGCACAGACCTGTACACTTGGAAAATGTTTGGAGTTGTGATATAGGCTCCTGGGCTCATTGGGTACATTGCCCTTTAGACTACCGATTCCAAACATTTGGGTTGGGGTTTTCTTAAGCAAGTGATATAAAGTTTATTTTTTCAACAGGGGAAAGATAGAGTCCATAGCATCACTATTCAGTCTGCTCCATGCTGATGGATTTAGTGGAGCTGTGAGAGAATGTCCACATCTGTCCCTCCTCCATCAATCTGCTCTATTTTACATAGTGAGAAAGCCACTACAACACAGGATATATCCAGTCAGCTTACCTAGGTGGTCGTACAATTTTTCAGAAGTTAATACAGATCAAATCAGGAGTGCCACTGGGGAACTGAAATTGAGCATTTAGCAGCTGACTAAATACATAAATGTTTTGCTAATCCCAGTAGGTATTTGCCTCTAAACAGCATATTAGTTTGTCCATATTTGTTCTAAATAAACTCATAAATCACAGTTAACAGGGACGTATTTTTGTATATGTATACGAAAGGTATGTATTTCTTTGTATGCGTAAAAAGTTTTGTAGTGTTAGGAGCACCATTTCTTTAGCAAAATGAATATTGCTTCTTTAAAATTAGTGGATTGGCAGTTTGTAAGGGGCACATTTGTGAATATTAACGGTCTGACTGGAAGGAAGGGGAGGTTCTTCGAGGGAGTAGCAGGCTGGTGCCTGCTTAGATTCATACGGAGACTTGAGGGGCCGGTCGCAGTCCCACCGAGCCCACTTGTGATGAAGCCCCTTTCTACACAGTTGCTCTCGTTCGTGTGCCAGCAATCGCCCTCTGGGCACAAAGGGATCAGTGCAGTTAGCCCTTACACCAGGAACTGTGGACTGGTGCCACTGGTGCTGGGGTGCCTGCGGGCAGGGGGTCCCACGGGGGATGCAGGGCCCCGGGGTGGCTCCCTCGGGCTCTGTGGAAGTGCCCAGGGGCTTATCTGCTCTGAAATTGGCCTGCAGGAATTTTCCAGTAGCGTTTAGTTTTAATGTTCCTATAAAAAGTATAGCCGTGCTTTAGAGTTCCATAGGAATTGTTTCATGTCGATCTGCAGGGGATTTCGGGCAGTAGCAGATTTCACATAACTTTGTCCTTCGTCAGAATTCACAGCCAGGCGGAGTATTTGCAACTCCCGTTAAAGCACACTGAAGGCAGCAGAGGATGCAAATTTTCTTCCTCACTTTCTCAGGGCTGCCCTGAGGTGCAGGATTTCCAGCCTGATGCTCAGTACGTTTTGCAGCACTTGGCCTTCAACAAGAATGGTTTCCCAGGCTCCGTGCCGGCCCCGCTGCCACCAGCGGCGGCTTCCCTCAACAGTCCCCCCGGTCCGGTGGCCCTGCGGGACGCCGCGGGCTGATGCGCAGGGACAGTACTTTGGCCTGGAGAAAACGGAGCACCCTATGCGTTTCTCTGAAAAGCCATCCCTGCCGTGGCCCTGTTCCAGCAGCCACTTTGGTTTGCCATCATCCTCCTGGTTTGGGAGAGCCTGCCAGTTGGCAGAAGTTGAAATTGCCGAGTTAAGTAATCAAAGATGTCTGACATTTAGAAGTGAAATGTGTTTGCACCTTATCATGTTTCTTTCCAATGTTAAGTTGCTGTGTTCTGGGAAGCTGTGGGCTGTGTGCCCATGAAAACGGCAACGTGATAGTCTCAGCAGCAACAGCTAATATCTTGTCTTTCCCTGTGGGGATGCCATAGAAGTCTTGGGCACAAAGTGCTCATTTTTCCCTTCAGGAACCTGCAGGGTCGGGTCTGGTTTTACCTTCCTTTTCCCCCTTGTAAATGGACTTGGGCACTTAATAAGAAACATCATAGAATACAGCGACATTTGGAGGCATAATAGGGCAGCTTCCATCTGTGAAATAAATGCCAAAAACCAAAACGGGCTTTGCGTGTCGCTGCACCTCTCGTGGTCGACGTGCTGCTCACCTCCTTTGCACAAAGGCTTCTGCAGCCGCGCTCCGTGGCGGCAGTTCGTTCTGGAACAACCCCCCCCCCTCCCCGACCCCACGGGCTCGCGGCCTGTTTCCCTATCGCCATCTCTAATCGCCTCTCTCGGTTTCAAACCTCCCTGATACGGGGCAGGAGTTCTGTAACAGTATGTGGCTTGGCAGCGAGCGCCCGGTTCAGGTGGGCGCTCGGAGCTGGGCTCTGCTCGGGCTGCGGCCGCTGCCTGCCCGCCGAGGTCAGCCTGTCTCTCTTTCCCAGCCTGGAGCAGCACATGGTAATCCACACCGAGGAGAGGGAGTACAAGTGCGACCAGTGTCCCAAGGCTTTCAACTGGAAATCCAACCTGATTCGTCACCAGATGTCTCACGACAGTGGGAAACGGTTTGAATGTGAAAACTGCGTTAAGGTACGGTGCGGGACGTGGTGAACCGTGGGCGGCTTGGCGTGGGAGAGGGTGGTGGGACCTGGGGGGGAAGGGGGCCGGGGGCCGGGCAGCCCACCCTGGCGCGGTTCGGTGGCCCGGCCGTGGTAACGCGGAGAGGTGCGCTCAGCTGGCCCCAGGATCTCGGTGTGGATGTGGAGCCCTGCGCCCAGCAGCTCGCCTCGGGCCTTTTTCTGGGTGTCAGGGCATCTGCCGGGCCAGATGTGGGTGAGCAAGCGGCCGTTGACCGGCCAGCACCGCAGAGCCTGCCGCAGCCTGGCTCAGCCCGCCTGGGTATCCGCGCTCCGAGCGGTGGTGACAAAAAAAAAAAAAAACCACCCCAAAATAGTCAAGCTTTTTACATACACTCTCTTCTCCCTGCTGCTTTGTTTCCCCTCCCTCAAGGCATTTTCTCTTTCAGGTGTTTACAGACCCCAGCAACCTCCAGCGGCACATCCGTTCCCAGCACGTCGGGGCGCGGGCCCATGCCTGCCCGGACTGCGGCAAAACCTTTGCCACCTCGTCTGGCCTCAAACAACACAAGCACATTCACAGCACTGTCAAACCTTTCATATGTAAGTTGTCACGGCCATCACAGAGCTCCGGCTTTTGCTATAATTGCACGTATCCTGCGGGGCCCCCCAGTACTAGCTGTCCCTCTGTGAGCAGCCGCTGTAATTTTATAGGTCAGAGCACAAGATGAAATTCCGCAGCAATTTTTTTTTTTTTTTTTTTTTTTTTTTTGCATGCTCCCTGTTTTTTCAGTAAACATTCATGGCAGTTTTTGACTTTCTTGACAAGTTAAAAGCTGAGTCTCTCAGCAGTCCTAGCGTTGCCATTTTCTCATATCTTTTCTTTCTCTCGTCTTTTTTTCCTTAATAATTTTCGAATGTTCACATTGGTGACATAAATAAATAGCTGACACAGCCTGATCGAAATGTTTTTCAGGGGTACCTCAAATCTGTAGCCACTGTAAAGAATTTGGAATAGTCACAGAGATGAGAAGAAGGTGTTTTTTAAAGAGTTTTTTCCTTCTTTATTTATTGCATGTTTCATCTAGATAATGCTTGGAAGCCACATAAATAGCAGGTTAACTGTGTCCTTCGTGTGCTCTTTAGTGGAATATTTCCAAAAGGGCATTTTCCTTTGAGAGCCATTCATCTCATTTATTGTCATTCTCAGGGTTGTATATTTTTTTAATTGACACAGCACCTATTGGATTTTGATAACTGTGCAGAAAAGTGGATTGTGTCACAACAAAGCTATAGAACTTTAGGGACTACTTCCTGACACTCTTCAGACAGCGCAGTTCAAGCACAGAACGGGATCTGTGTTTGATTCCAGGCTTTGATGTTACGGTAGGGAAGCCACTGAACCCACTTCTGCCTTTTTTCCCTGTTGGTATAATGGGAACAGTATGCAGGAGTATCAGGGGAGACCCGTTTCAGTAATCTGTTCTGAGATAATCAGATGGGTGTCAGTGGAGGAAGAAAAAATACTCTTATTGCTCATTTTGATGCAATCTTTCATTTGATGACGGGCACATGAAAGAGATAATTTGAATCTCATAGTATTGCTGCAGTGGGATGAATGATTTATTCGCATAATCTCCTCACTCTCACCTCATAAGAATTAGGGAGTTGTCAGTCTAAATCAGCCTGTAAAACAACTCGAGAGTGATTCTGCCTGATTCAGACATGCAGGGTGGAGTCACCTGAGCGTGGATCCCCTTAGCAGCTCCAGGGGAGCCCTGAGGCAGGATTCCCTGGGAGGTTTTTCTTTCCTGTTAAGTGGAAGAAGAGGGTGTGTGTGTGTGTGTTTGTTTGTTACAATCTTATACTTGGCTTTAAAAAAAAATCCCAAACTGTAATTTTACAATTGCAGAACACAGAACAGCAAGAGAGGACATGACATGTGGAATTACTAAATCATTGTAGAACTGGAGACTAAGCAAAAATTTTCGTTTTCCCTTTTTCAGAATGATGATGTGAGCTCCCGTACCTGTAGCACTTTTATTTAGGGAATTTTGTGCAGCATGGTATATATCTGGCAGCTTCCTGGGGTGGAAAATGGAATAAAGGAACCTGATTTCCTTGGAAGACTTTGCTTTTAGTATCCTTCGTCTTCTCAGAAAGTTTTGCCACACAGAAACAGTATCACTCCTTTTTTTTGTAAAACTCTGAATCCATACAGTAAAAGTAACGTGAACTGCGCAACCACAGTGTCAAGCCGGTGAAAACTGACAGAAAGTGCCCTCAGTTTGTGATACAATCTGCTTAAGCATTTATTAAGCCATTTATTATAAACTTTCATGTATCTTCTAAACCACAATATAGCATCCCTTGACACCTGGCGAGGGAGATGATTAAGATTAGAAAGGGGTGATTTTGTTCTGGAAAGAAAATTATACAAATGTCTTTTAAAGAAATCCACCCAAACGTGACATTTCTTCAGATATTATTAGTAATTTGAGAGGGAGCTATCTTTACTCGTGCTGTCCTTATACATGGAAGTGTTTGCACATGCCTCTTCATCTGGGCACACACCCTAAAGATGCTGGCTTTGTGTAGGCAAGCAGGACAAGAGAAGCCCTCACCCATTCTGGAGCCAAGGGTCACGCAGTTAAAGTAGCATCAAAACTGAGGCAGGCAGTGGTGAACTGGCTGAAACTTCTATAGAAACAGAGATTGTTGTTTCTAATAGGCTATTAGCTTTATGGAAAATAAACTGAGTGTGTTTCCTTTAAGAACTCTGTTTAGATATTTTTTAAGAAAACATTTTAAAATGAAGTAAAAAAAAAAAACCAACCTAAATAAACCCTTTCTTTGATAGTCTAAGGTAGCTAAAATAATACGTGTGACAGCCATAGAACTATATGTATGCAATAATAGTAGTTCAGAAGAACTGTTGTGAGTTTTTAGGGTGTGATTGCCAAAAACTAGGGGTGGCTTTAGCATAGTCATTTGAAAAAGCTGTTACTCAAACACTGAAATTCTTCGGATGACTTTCTAGTTCTCCTGTTTGCGCTTCCTTTGCGGCTCCTTGCTGTATCTGGGTCCAAAGCAGAAAGGCTGAAATACTCTGAGGAAAGATGGTTTATGTTCAGTTGCTAATCCAATCAGAAACCAGACACAGCAGACCCTTCAGTAGCAGCCCACTGAATTTTGGGATGCTTGTTTGGACTGAAAGGTCAAATTTGTTAAATTTTAATAATCTTTGCTTTGAATTTCAATAGAAGGGGCTTCCCCCTATATTTTCAGAGCTGCTGGTGAAGTATTCTCCTGCCAGTCATTCGATATTCAAGCAGTGATGTAAATCGTAAAGATTTAGAGAAAAATATAGGGAAAGTCATGTTTGCATGTACCTGTCAGTAAAGGCTGGAAGAGAGCGAGGAAGGAAGGAAGGACAGACGGACAGACAAACCATGTCATCACCGAGTTGGAGGACTGGGTGTCAGGAGACATTGGATTTTGATCCTTGCCTCCCCAGCTCTGAACAATGTACTTTCCCTCTCTTTGTCCCAGTTTCCATGTTTACAAAATGGTGATAACAGCAGTTCTCCATTGAAAGAAGTGTGTTAATTCACTAAGAAGTAGAATTTATTCCTATGTTGAAAGAGGCATCAGATAATAAAAAGTTACAGTGTTTTGATATACAGAAAAGTTTGGGTGGGATTTTTTTCTTACTTTGCCCTGTTCCTTCCACCCCAGCAAAGTCTGCAGGTGAAAGAGGTCATAAAACCTTACATTTTGAAAGCTTGGTATTTACAGGTCGTTAAAGAAAACGCTGATGTAGCGTTAACTTAGCATTGCAAGGGTGTCTTACTAATTTAACGAATACAAGATCTCACCCCACTTCTAGCTGAGCTGAGGCCTGGCTGGCAAAGTATTTATAGAACATCCCTCTGGAGCGGTTACTTACTATTAATGGCATTAAAGAAAGAGTAGTTTTGATTAAATGAGGTAAAATTCTTCTCCCTTCAGCCCGCAGTGCTTCCTGCCGTGCCAGGGCTACAGGGAAAACAGACTAGCTAATACAAATAGATATTATCATTAAAATGCATGATTATCTTTATTGCAAATTCCAGAAAAAAAAAAGCGTGAGCAGGAGTAGCACATCCCCTGGGATTTCTGTAGAGAGGCGCTTGTTCAGAGTTTCTCTCAGAAGGAGGTTTATCGGAAGGGAGGGGAGGTGTTCTTTCTCGGGTGGTAGCCTCCGGGAGCGTGGCCCGTGCCAGCTGGGCGATGGCTTTGCTTTGTGAGCCGCTCCTGGGGGTCTTCCAGCCCGCTCCCCCTCGAGCCCTGCCAGTGGCCTGGGCCAGGATTCCCCCGGCTGCCTCTGCCTGTGGGGCTGAGTCCTGAACAGGCACTTAGGGCAGGAGAGAGCTGTTCCCCCGTTCCTGTCTGTACAGGGGGAGCCGAAGCCTGAAGAAATGAAATGGTGTGTGCAAAGCTGTGGAGGGCAGCCCTAGCTGGGGGAGCGTTGCGGGGGGTTCAGGATCCAGGCCAGCACATGGCTCTACCTGTTGGTTCACCTCCTCTGTCTATCGGGGATCAAGGTTTTGGGGGCCGGGTGGAAGGGGTGGGGGGCCACTGGCAAAGCTCCTCGGGACCTCCCTGCCCTTTGCTCTTAATTTCATATCGCTTTTGTTGTTGGTTTCTGTTGATGCTTTAGGTGAGGTCTGTCACAAATCCTACACGCAGTTCTCCAACCTCTGCCGGCACAAGCGGATGCACGCGGACTGTCGCACCCAGATCAAGTGCAAGGACTGCGGCCAGATGTTCAGCACTACCTCCTCTCTCAACAAACACCGGCGCTTCTGCGAGGGCAAGAACCATTACAACCCAGGCGGGATTTTTGCCCCTGGCTTACCCCTAACGCCCACTTCCATGATGGACAAATCCAAGCCTTCTCCCAACCTCAATCATGCCAGCTTGGGATTTAATGATTATTTTCCATCCCGCCCGCACCCGGGGGGTCTTCCGTTCTCACCTGCTCCCCCAGCATTTCCTGCCCTCACTCCGGGATTCCCGGGGATTTTTCCACCATCTCTATACCCTAGGCCCCCCTTGTTACCACCCACACAACTGCTCAAAAGTCCCCTCAACCACACTCAAGACGCAAAGCTTCCAAGCCCCCTTGGGAACCCAGCACTTCCTCTGATCTCTGCAGTGAGCAACAGCAACCAGGCCACTTCAGGAGAGGAGAAATGTGAAAGCAGCCTGGAAAACTCCTACCTGGAGAAGCTAAAAGCCAGGAACAGTGACATGTCCGATGGCAGTGACTTTGAGGATGTCAATACAACCACAGGCACAGATCTGGACACCACCACTGGCACCGGTTCTGACCTGGACAGTGACGCAGAGAGTGACAGGGACAAAACAAAAGAGAAGAGCAAACAAATTGAGAGCAAGCCAGATTTTGTCAGCAGCTCTGTGTCTGCGAGTTCCACCAACAACACGAGTGAGATCCCTCTCTTCTATTCTCAGCATTCCTTCTTTCCTCCCCCCGAAGAGCACCTGCTACCTACCACGGGAGCAGCTAATGACTCTATTAAAGCTATCGCCTCCATCGCAGAGAAATATTTTGGGCCTGGCTTCATGGGGATGCAGGAGAAAAAGATGGGTTCGCTCCCGTATCATTCCATGTTCCCTTTTCAGTTCCTCCCCAATTTCCCCCATTCACTCTACCCTTTTACGGAGCGGACCCTCAATCACAACTTGCTGGTCAAGGCAGAACCAAAGTCACCCAGGGACCTCCACAAAGTAGGCAGCACCAGCTCAGAGTCGCCCTTCGATCTCACCACAAAGCCAAAAGAGATTAAGCCAATCTTGCCGCCACCTAAGGTCCTGCCAACCCCATCCTCAGGGGAAGAACAGCCACTGGATCTGAGCATTGGCAACCGCATCCGAGCCAGTCAGAACGGAGGAAGAGAGCCACGGAAAAACCATATTTATGGGGAAAGGAAGCTAATGGCAAGTGAAGTCTTACCCAAGATTTCCCAGTCGCAACTGCCTCAGCAGCCATCCCTGCATTATGCTAAGCCATCACCCTTTTTCATGGACCCCATATACAGGTATTAACATACCCTGCCTTAAGGGTTTCTTCTAACGAGCTAATTTGCTAGCTGGCATCACAACTTGAGGCAGATCGGGATGTAGGTTGTTTAGAAAGAGCAGGGAAAGTCTGCTGCGGCTGATTGTACTTCTCTCTCCTTTGTCACAGCACGTTGAATTTTCTGAACCAAAAAGGCTGAGTAAGTGAAAGAAGTACTCATAATCAATATGTCTAAAGGACACATCCTTATTTTGATAAAGAAGAAACTTGACCTATTTAAGGACTCTCCCACGAGCCAACACTAAGATGGCACTTCTGCTGGGGAAATTCCAGAGGTTTGATTCGATAAGAATGCAGAGTTCAGATGCCTCGGAGACCGGGCTCTCATGGCTTGGGAATGAGTCAGGATCCCTGGGAGCCTGGAAATGCAGCTCTCCCACTGACTTACTTGATGGCCTTTTGTGAGCCACTTCACCTTTCTTCCTCCCCACCCCCCTTTTTCTTTCTGATTCCTTTCCTTAGAGTTTTGCGGTTCATAGGAGCTGCTGTTACGGACCCAGCCTTTTGAAACAAATTTTTAAGTCTGGAGTAACAAGTACTATGTGAATACATGGTAGCGTGTTATTATCCGGATCTCTCCCAGATCCAATTCTTGCAGACTTATCTTTCTTAGAAGATAACAGGGGTTTTCCAGTTCTACTTGAACCAGATGGTTTTTGAGGAAGGCCTGATTGTTATGTCATGCCTAGAATAAGCTGAACATGGAAGGCATGTGTAAAGCAGACTGGATGAAGTTAGCCAAATGCCAGTTAAACTTCCAGAAGGAATTAATTCAGAAGAAGATGTAAAGGGAAGACTTGAGTCTTTTGTTGGTTCAGAGGTTTTTATGAAACCTGTTTCGAAAGGAAAAATATTTTAAGCTTTATGGTGGGGGTAGCAGTAATTTTGTGTATTACCCATCTGGTAATTACTGGTACTACCTTCATTATCTTCCTGCTGCGGACGAGATGTATTTGTCCCATAGCAAATACCATTTGCTTGTTTTTAGCAAAGTCCAGTGAAGAGGGGCGTCCCAAGCTAGTTTCATTTAGGCATTAACATGGCAATTAAGCCTCCCTTAGGACAGGATGCTTCCTAACATCCACGTCGGTACGCGGGTTTGGCCCAGAGGGCTGCTGGATTCAGTGTCTAATTGAGCAGCCGGTTCCTGGAAGCGAATGGTTTAGTTCTTGCATTGCTTGAGCGAAACGGGGAGCGTGCCGCGGCGCTGCGTGGTGAGCCTCGCTGTAACCCAGCCTGCTGGCGAGCCGGCGGACCTGCCGCAGCAGCGGGTGTTGTCGTAGCGCTGGAAAGACTCCCCGGCACCGCAGAGCCGCCGTGTCAGCGCCGGGACGGTTCGCTCGAACCTTCAAAGGACTGCGAGCACCAACGGGCAGCAAAGCGGGCCCGGAGAGCAGCACCCATGGCACTGCCTTGCTGCTATTGTACAGCTGATAGCTGTGGGAAAAAATGATGTCAATGCCTAGCCAGGCCAAAGAACTGTCAGCTGAGATGAGGATTAGTGAGCCCTTGTTGCTTGCTCTTAAGAAAGCGTCTCTCGCTTTGCCAGCACTCGCAGGGCTGGTGCAGTGTTGCTTGCTTACATGCTTACCATCTGTGATGGAAACGGCTGCATCACAGCCCGGGACATGAAATGTATTCTGTCTGGGACCCACCGTGGTCATCTCCTCCTGGAAAAACAAGGCATGATGTAAATAGTCCGGCATTTATTTTTGTAAAAAGTACTTCTGGAAAAAAATAAATAAATGGGATAGAAAGGCAAAAGCTTTGAGTTAGCTTAGGATCCTGCCACCTCTGGGCATTCTCAGTAGGAATGTTAAAATAACATGGGTTGAAAAAGCCATTGCCAATTAAAATACCGGCCTCGGGAAAACCGTAAAGGTCCAGAAGACGGATGGAATTGAAGGATGGGGGCGTCGTTTGTTGCATTCCATGGGATGCATATAGTTTTAGTAATATATTAAAATAGAAAGTCAGTGGTGGAGTTGCTTGTGAATCAGACTTATGATGTAATGAGCTAAACAGCAGAGCATCCAAGTCCCAGCTTAAAAAATATGGAAATATTTTGTTTCTAAACTTCTCTTTATCAGACTCTCTCACATCATTTGGCTCCTTCATTTTTCTCCCAAAGGCCACTTAAATCCTTGACATTTTCTCCTGGTGATATAATTTAATGCAGCCAGACAGCCTGAAATCAGTGCAGTTTTTAGCTCGGCCTCGTTAAGGTAACGTTCTCAGGCACTGCGCTGAGAAGATCAGCTTAATCCTCCGGTCGCGGCGGAATTCAGCTCTGACGAGGGCGTTTGGACGTTCGCTGCTCTCGTTACTCGGCGCGGGGCGATGGTGGAGCTGCGTGCCAGGCTCTCTCCTCGCTGGGCTTTGACGCTGGGGCTGCAGGTGGGGCTGCCCCGGAGAGGGCCGGGGGGCATTGCCCTGCGCAGCGTAGCTGATTTCAGCGCGTCACCGAGGGGAAAGGGGGCTGTCGCTCGCTGCGGTTTACTGTTTTCCCTCGTGCCAGGGAGAAGCTTTTTACGTCTTGTTTTACAGACTGTTGTTTTTCTGAAAACTCAGGCCTGTGAAAACACGTCCCTTCCAAAGCGCAGTAATTCTGACAGCATTTCAAATCCAGCTCTTCTCTTTTCTTCTACCTAAGAAAAATTAAATGCAGATTAAATACAGTTCACTAAATAGCGCTCTGCATGACTCTTCTTTTAAAGTCTTTGGTAATTTCATCCACACACCAATCAGCTGAAACGCAGCAAAATAATTTGCTCTCATTTATGCTGGACTGATGTAGTTAAAATTACTCTTACTACTGGATTTCTGCTGGTTTAGCTGAGATGGCCTCTATTCCAGTAATTTAAAGATGCAACTGTGTTAATTGGAGTTACTTTCATAACACTTTTTTCCCACAGAGGATATTTCAGTTTCTCTTCTTGGTGATTCCACATGACAGTTTCCCTGCAAGTAGTATGTTTTGTGAAAGAAGAGCCAATATTTTCAAAAACAGGAGCCTAACTTTAGGATCATTTCTGTGTAGTAAGGTGCTTAAGCATGGAGTGGAGACATCAGAAGAACTCGGGTTCCTAAGTCACTTCAGAAATCTCCCACCAGTCCCTAGCTTTTTAAATTGTTGTCTGCATATGCTTGCCAAAGGAACTCAATGCAAATTATATCTCGGCTGCAAGGGAGGAAATAAATATGAAACACCTAATGATTTCAGCACGCTTGGGGCTGCAAAGTCTGGCCCAGTGTTAACTCTTAGGATAAAGACAAAATCTCAAAGACAATTTTTTTCCATGCAGTGGCTGCCTGCTGTGGACTCTAGAGTTTGTTCCACTTAAACATTGCTTTTGCTCTAAATGTAGTTTTTTTCATGACATTTCACAACAGCAGAGGCTTATAAACCACTATAGCAGAGGCATTAGTTCTAACACAGAAAGATCAAAATGTTTTCTTAGTCATCAGTCTGATGGCTAAAAAAATATTGCCCAAAGGAGGGGATCCATTTTCATACAGTTTCCAGTCCCTTTTGCAGGGTAACTTCTGGGTCATAATTTGTAGTATCCAGTGGAAGGGAAAGAAAAACGTTTGTGTCAATAGGAGAATAGCCTCATATGTAGAACTGAAACACCTCTGCAAACGCTTCGGCTGTTTCTTTGCTGCCTGCAGCCCTGTAAGGTATGTAACCCTCTGTGTTGTTGTCCAGCAGGGTGGAGAAGCGGAAGGTGACAGACCCTGTGGGTGCCCTAAAGGAGAAGTACCTGCGACCCTCCCCGCTGCTTTTTCACCCCCAGGTAAAAGCAGTGACGTTACGATGCTGTGTTGATTGCATGCCAAGAAGTTTGAGATGGAGCTGGTATGAACAGGTCACTTGGATCAGACTTTCTTATCCAAGGGCCCGACTGGAAACTCCGCTATCTTCCAACCAGTTGCTTTCAGATACTTTTAACTTCATACCTGGTTTGAGGATGACAGTTGTTATGCCTCGCTGTTTCTTTTGCATTAACAGAACAGGGATGAGGTCTGGACAACTCATGGGGTCTGCCAAACTCCCCTTTCACATGCCAGAATGCCTGCATAATTTTTCCATTGGGCACACCCGGTGCAGTCATTTGCAGCAGTGTGAGGTGGAGAAGGACCGTCCAGCACCCAAGCAGTAGCTTTTTATACCTGCCTGACGTTCCCTGCCATCAGCTAGAAAGCGTGAAAGTGCAGGGCGCTGGAGAATCAGGGTTCAGCTCTGCCTGCTCCTAAAGGTGATGGGTCACTTGGTGGAGAACTGGTGTCCTCTCCTTCCTGCACAAGCTGCTTCAGCCTCTGTTCCTCTGACACCTCAGGGATAGTCGCTCCCTCTGCGTCCCCCCCCGGTCGCAGTCTCTGCAGGGTGAGGGGAGCACTGCTGGCCAGCCCTCCCCTTGGACATTGCTCCGGGAGCGCTGCCGGACCAGGCCTTCGCCCCAGAGTAGTTGAAAGGCACAACTAAGTCCGGGACAACCACGACTATTCATGAGAATTGACCCCAGGCTACAAACCCCCTTTCTTATAGCTAAACTCTCCAAGGAGCAATGCTGGTCTTTGCCCTCAGGACTCCCCGCTCCGTAGCGATAATGCAGCGAGTCCTGCCACACGCTGCCCAACAGCCTCGCCAGTGTGACGGTCGCCAGCTCTCCTCCTCCTCCTCCCGGCTCTGAACGCATGCTGGGAGCTGAGCTCCGTGGTCGTTATTGTGCTCTCCTTTACATTCACATGCATTGTTCTCCTCTGATAATGTTTCCCACCTTAGATAAATAACTTGCAGGTTTGTGAAAGCTGGATCCTGGTTGCTTTCACAGCTAAACTTAGTTCCCTCATTGTTTTGCATCAGCCTCAGAGTTTGGTTAATAACTTCCCCCGATTTTTCCTTCGTACAGGCTGGATAATGGTGACAGGCTAGCCAGGAACATCCTGTGTTTGTGTGAGTTAGAATAGTGGGGATATCTGCCTGTAAAGAATCTGATAGCAGGGAGGAGCTAGTGTGGCAAAGCAACCCAACGAGACGATGAGAAGCGTACAGGCCCTGAGCAGGAGCAAGCATTGGGTGGAAGGTTATTAACATTGTTCCTGAAATCCTGACCACGTCCTCTTCCCATGGCAATGAAAAGTTGTGGAAGGTCTGGTTATCTCCAATAGCTTATCACACAGAGTAGCCTAAAATTTACAATCACTCAAGCCTGAAACTTTCTGATAACTAATTTTTAATAAAGCGGGTTGCTGTGTAAAGATCACTTGATCTAGAGACTTGCTGTTCCCATGCTATGTAATCAATCAATTCAAATACGGTGAACGAAGACAGGTCATCTCTTCAAGAATATGTGAGATTTTTACTACCAGGTCCCCATCCGATATTATTCTGGATCTTTTCTGAGGAAATCATATTTTCAGGGGCTCCTGCTTCTGTCTTCTTCCTTAGGACCAACATTCGTATACCAGGTCACTTAGAGGCAAGCTCTACCTGTGTTTCTCTCACTCTGAACACGAGTCTGGCCTCAGCCTTTTCTTCTGTGAATAATTCCCCAGCTCTCATAGAGGGCCCTGCATGGGATGTGATTAAGCCAGAAGATGTGATAAAGACTGAGCATTCAGGAGATGCTTTCTCTCTCAAAATGAATTTCAGGCAACTTTTATTTCTTAGCCAGTCGTTGACAGTAGTTTCTCTGCTCTATTGGGAGTTACTCTTACATTGTCTATTTTAAATGAAACTCTGGACAACATAAATAAATGGTGTAACTTTTTGATAACTTAATGGAAAACCTTTTCTCACCTGTTAAGTTTCTTTTCTTCTCCCCTTCTTTTTTATTATAACCAGGCAGTTGTTCCCTAAATAGCAAAGTGCCTTTACCACTGGAGAGGCTATGGCCGGTGTTTAGAATTTTAAAATAAGCCTACGGCTATCAAGCCAGCAAACATCTCTGACTAAGTGCCTAAAGAACAGGGCACAACAAAAGATATCTCCAGGTACTCCAGCAAAGGGCTGAGTGGCATAGCTCTGAAAGATCCGGATAGCATTTTAACATGATGGTTTTGTTACATGACTGGCAGCTGGGGCAGAGCTTTTGCTGTAAATGATCAAGTAACCTTTTCAAGTGGCTGGCGCTAAGTATTACTTACTATTTATCATGGGCTGGGAGCCTCCAACTAAGGGGCTGTGGATCTATTATCGGGAAATGGGTTTTACTACTCCTCTTTTTTACAGCTTATGAATGGTTGTCAGCCTTCCACAATGTATTCTTTGGTGATTAAGACAACTTTTTTTTATAGTCATACATTTTAAACAATATCTTGGCTCTCTCTCCCCCCTGCCCCCCCCGAGCCCAGTTTAATAAAGTGTAAACGTGCAAAAGGTCAGCCCTTCCTGTACAATAGAGCATCTAGTTTTGATATATGGCTTCCTACTGCCTTCCGCTCGCTCGCTGTCGCCCCAGCGCTCGGGCTGACTCTCCATTCAGGCTCCCGCTCCCCCCAGTGCTCCCTTCTTTCCCGGTGATGTCATCTGCAGTGAGGAGGCAGCTTTATTGCTGCCTTGTTTGTTTTATCCAAGTTTTCTGCTTGGTATCTTGGAAGTGCTCTCAAGAGTGCATAAAATTGAACATTGGAGATGTCAGCGTAGTCCTCCGAGTTGCATTTCTCTCTTGGATTTGGATTTCCTGTTTTGCTGTAATGAAAGTAAAAGTGGTTTTCTCTAGGTAGGTTTTGTATGCATACCCTCTTTTTTTTGCACACAGGCCAACTCTTTTCTTCCCTTTTTTGCTTTTCCCTTCTCCTGTATCTCCAGGTTTTTCCCTTTCTCCCTCTTTCTGGTGTGGTGTTTAATCCAGTGTTTATGGGAGAACACAGCCATTGCTGAGTCGTACAAACTAAAGATGATAAAGGCACCCAGAAACCTTTTCTTGGGTGTCACATCTCTAGGCCTGGATGCCTTGCCACTCCCGCAAACCCTCTGTGGACCCACTCGATCCTGAGTCTGATCTTACCTCCTCTTCTTCCTCAGCTGCTCCCTCATCACCCCTGCATCAACCCCTCTGTCTCAGTGCCCCGATCAGCGGTCGCACGTTCCCCCGTGCTCTCTCCCACTCCATTTTGACCAGAGTTCTTCTACCTCCTGCCCAAAACTTCTCTGTCCTCTCTGCACCGGGGCCGTCTGCCCACCCGCCTGCCCGCAGCTCCTGCCTTGCCCCTCTGAGCCAGGGTGAGGGTGGTGGATGCTGTAGGAGAAATCAAACCTTCTTGCTTCCCAAAACTTTATTTTGCATTTGAGAGGAGAGTTTGGGCAGCGAGTTCTACATCCAGCAGTTGACCAAGGTGTCTGATTTCAGCGTCATCCCTGGAAAAAGGGAAGCTGAGCGTATTCTGAGATAATTTTTAACCTGAAATGCTGAAAGTAAGCACATGCATGTTGTAGAAGGTAAACAAGTGATTAATTTCTGAGATCTAACACTTACCGCACGGCTTTGCCAAGTCTATCTTTTGTGATTTCTCTGAGCACGATACACTATTTCTCTCTTGCCCAGCTGGATTCAGTGGCTCCATTTCATGCTGTGCAGCTGGCTTCTGAGAGTAAGAGCAAACATCAGCAACAGGCTTTGACCAACACACTAGTGCTAAAAGATGTGTTTTATGCATCAGATGTTGTCCTTCCTGTGGATGTTTGTGACACGAGGTCTTGCCTTGTACTTGCAGATGTCGGCCATAGAAACAATGACAGAGAAGCTGGAGAGTTTTGCAGCCATGAAGGCAGACACTGGCACTTCCCTGCAGCCCCTTCCCCATCACCCGTTCAACTTCCGATCTCCACCACCCACGCTATCCGATCCCATCCTGCGCAAGGGCAAGGAGCGTTACACCTGCAGGTAAGGGCCCGGGCACCCCGCAGGAGCGGGACCGTGCCCCCACTTGGTGAGGGGGCCCTGGGGAACGCTGCACCACACACCAGCACGCAACAGCGCGGCTTCCCATGGGCATCTCTACTGTCTCGGCAGGGGTGGGAGGAAAAACGAGGAACAGCAGAATTAGAACAGAGTATTCTGATGACTAATTCACTCTGAAATAGCTTGTTTTGTCTGGTAGAAAATCAGCATCTTCTATTTTCTTTGTAATTTTTAATAACCTTGGGAGCGGATCTGGAGATTCTCAAGCAAACAGAATTCTCCAAGCCAGGGCTCTTGTGTGGGGTAGCAAACGCCACAGTTTCCAATGCAAGTGCAATCTCAGCTATGTCCAATCTCCGCTGTGCAAAATAATGGAATTTTAAAAATGGCATAGAGTAAACAACTTTTTCAAGTACAATTGTGTCCACAGAAGCGCATACGTATCCACTGCAGCTCTAAAAGCTCATGTCAGAGCAGATCACCAGAGAATAAAAACCTCTGTCTGCTTACGCAGTTTTACCTGCAGCTACTAGAGGTTTGTGTGGTGGCTCCCACTGCCTTTTCTTGAGTGTAGTAGGTGGATACCTGTGTTGTTTGATGTATCTCTTAGTTCAAATTTGCTGCAAAAGCTCTGGGCTCAAAGTTCAGTTGAGTATTTAGAAATTTGAGGTTTCTGCCTACAATAGGGAGTAAGCTTATATTTAGATACACACAAGTTTACATTTGGATTTTCACTGTTGATGAACATTCACTTTAACCATTCATCTTCAGGACATCTGAAGGTGCTGAATGTCTCTGAAATTAAGAAAGTCTACTCAACAGTAAGCATCAGGTTTCCTAGTCACAGAACTTAACCTTTCATCCTTCATATTTTATTTCACAATTAATATTTTTATTTATACCTCCCTTCCTTTTCAGTTTACTGTGAATCACATTTACTGTAGAACACAGTTCCTTTTTTATTTTGTTTCCTACTGCTACATTTCCTTATTCTAAGCAGACTGTCAGACTCACAGCAGTATATCCCGATAACAGTAATATAATGCTGCAGCATTCATCCAGAAGAAAATTCTGTGAATTCTGAGAAGGAAAATCAAGTAGATTCTGTATGATAAGCCACTAAACAGCTGAACTATAAAGGAGATCTATACAAATCTCAAGCGATGGACAATATGAATAGGCAGTGATTAAACACTCGTTATCCTAAGGCAGGAACGAGGCAGTGTCGAATGCAGGTCCTGAGCGACTGTTTCAGACAAGCAGGACGTGCTTTTACACAACACACACGTCAGCAGAGGTACTCGTTGCTGTCAGAGGTGGTGGAGGCCCAGAGCTCACGTGCACTCAAAAGCTTTTAGAAAAACAGATGGAAGACACTCAATAAAAGGGTATCAAACACAACTCTTGGATCTTAGGCTCCGGAGGCTCTTCAGATGGAAGCTGGGAGAACATACTGGGGGTGGGTCACTGCATCCTTACTGTGTTCCTGTACACGTGCCCAGGCCTCCAAGATAAGCTGTCATCCAGCTTTTGCGTCTGAACTTGGTGTTCTGATGGGTTTTTTTCTTTTTCCTGCCCTTCCCAGTGATGCATCATAATTGACTGTTGTTCTGTGTCTCAATGGAAATGGGTTACACCAGTATCTCACCACTGTGAATCCCGTCATTCTAGGGCAGGTGTCACTCTGTCAGTTGTTACCTCCACATCTCCCACCCTCGGCACGTGGGTGCCTCGCGTTCCTGGTGCATGAAGGGATTTTCCCATTTTGGGAGCAGCTGGGCGAGGTGGATGGTAGCTGGTGATACCCTGTTTGTAAGCGGTCTGGTGTGGCAGGACTTCGGTGCGCTGATGGTTCCTTTGGCTTTTGCTGTCTAGGTACTGTGGTAAGATCTTCCCACGCTCAGCAAATCTGACAAGGCATCTGCGGACACACACTGGAGAGCAGCCTTACAGGTGATGTTGTCCCCTTTTTCCCAACACACTTCTCATTCACCACTGTGTTATTTTTTCTCCTTTCTAAAAAGCTGTGCCAACATAATACCGCAGTCCTGTAGCATTACATATAATGATTCATAGGATTGTATATTATGTGTACCAGCCAAAAATAATCAGGCTTGGCAGCTTGAAGATAGACACTTAACTTATATTTAGATGTATGCTGGCAAATGAGTGGTCTGATTTGCAGTGTTGTTTAACACTCACATTAACCATTCATCTCAAGGACAGCTGAAGGTGCTGGATGTCTCTGAAAATCGGGCTGTTTTGAAGGGCTTGCCAGTAAATTAACTGCTGGGTCTAGCTAGATTTTTTTTTTTTTTCCCTTTTCCTAATGCATATCAGAGGTGCCTGGAGTAATGGATCAAAAAACAAAAGCAAAGAAAAGCCCTGTAGTGTATCTGCTTTAAAATCTAAGCTAGGGAGCGTCCTACCTTAAATCGCACAGTTTATAAAGAGGGGTCAGAAGGGGGGGAAATTCACACCCAGTTCCACGTGTTCACTCGGGTGTTTAAGCTGAACTACCATTTTCTGCGAGTTGCAGACAAGGTGATCTGATTTTCATACTTCAGTGCAAAAGGGCACGTGGCAAAACTGCCCGTCTGCCCCTGGGCAGCACCCTGCGTGCGCCTGGGCTCTCGCTCAGGGCCTCCCCTTCGGGTGAGGGTGTCCAATTTGGGTAAAGATCGCAAGAAAATAGGTGTAAGTTTGTGTGTGTGTGTGTGTGTGTAAATATATGAAGGAAGATTTCTCGCAGACGATCAAGTGGGAATTTTTTCCCCCCAGTATTTTCTCCTAGTGTTTTGCAGTCGGCTTCAAAAAACTTTGGCAAAAAAATACTCCTTGTTCGATTTTTTGTTAGAATAGGTACGTATATGAGCAAAACTGAATGAACAATGCATTGAGAGCTCACTGAAAATCAAGCAGTGTGTTTTCCATAATGTGAGTAAGTGTTTTGCGCATTGTCAAACAATAGTAACAATTCAAACAGTTTCATTTTTAGTAGCTAATATTATGGTATTTCCATACACAGTCATAAGTTCACAACAAAACTACTGTAATAGGTATTATATAAAGAGAAATACAAACAAATTTATGAGCAGCAAAAGGCCACGTGGTCAAATACATCACATTTTTATGCTTAGTTTAACCTAAGAAGCTACTCTCTCCCACATTGTAATCCTTGGTACACACGGAGTCAATTTTTTTTTCCATACAGAGTCATACAGAATTTTGAGTGTAGACATTAGGTAAATCAAAAATTAAAAAAAAAACTCTCCAAAGCAGACATATATTTTGGAACCATTCCCTGTTCTGATTTTTTCAGTTGCGTTATTTGATATGCCTTGAATGAATACTGTGTATTCACTATGCGCCCCTGTCTGACTAAAATGCTTGCTGCCGATTATTCAGAGATTGTTAGTTCAGTTTTCTTCCAAAAAAGGAGACTTGCAACTTAACAAAGGTTAGGAAAATAAAGATTTATTTGATCTGGTCTTCTCCCAGAAAATGGCCTGTGTGTTTTTTTTGTAATAGAGGTTTGACTTCTGGACAATGTTGCATTATAATAGCACTCCTGAGAGTTGGTGCTACGTTTACAGAAGAGCTTAATTATCATTGATTTTCTTTTGCTCTCAGAGAACTGAGATTTCCAACTTTTGGAGCAATAATTGTTTTGAAAGCTTGTTTTTTAAGTGTTGACTTTATGCAGGTAAAAGGAGATTGCTGACTTTTCAGTGTTTTACTGATGTGTTTCTATAACTTCTCTTTTGATTGTTTAAGTGGTTTTTCTTTTGACTCTGTCAGTGTTATATATTTATCCAAATACGAATCAAAATGTTCTTAAAGCTAACATAAACTGAACAAATGCCCAAGTGTAGATCAAGAAGCAGGCAAGCCAGAAAAGAAGGTGCTTTGGTTTTGAATCCTGATTGTCACTGAGAAGTGTTGTGTTTTTTACCAAGCCACTTAAACTTCTTAGGCATCTATTTCATTACATATAAAGTAGGAATTAATAGCACATGAGTGATAAGGACGCAAATTAATTCTTTTTGTACAAGGACAGTGCTACATGTTTTTTGAAGACTAAGAAATACCTGGTAAAGAGTAAAAAATACTTCCTAAAAATCAACTGATTTGAAAAGACTCAAAGGCAATATGCTATACAGTGAAATTCGACATGCTTCTTTTCACTCTTCCACACCAAATCTAAAATTCAGTAGTGTGTATTTGAAAACACTGTGGTAAAAAAGACTATCAAACTTAACTGTTTCTTTCAGAGAAATGCAAAATAAGTTGGCCTTGCAAATTCATGTCAGACTTACCTGGAAACTCAGGTTGTGAAAAGTGAGACTTTGTTGTCATTCTGAGCTTACCAAGCGAAATCCAGAAGAGGCAGATTTTAGTGACGCTCCTTATGCTTGGAGCACACGCACGTCAGGCTATATTGCAGCTGTCGGTTTGCTGCTTAGTTTTGTTTTCGTTCTCTGGAATCACAGAATCACGTAAACTACATAAAACCTGGCCTGGGAACAACTAAAAGCTATTTGGTTCAGCAAGACTTTATTTTCTTCTTTCAAATGCCCATTCCCTCCAGGATGCCATCTAATTGATTCTTGAATTACACCCAATCCTGAAGCATTGCCTGGGAGGCTGTGATTCCTCCTATAAAGATGTGCTTCCTGACGTCTGTTTTGAATTTGTTTTTCTTTAATTTCCTTTTAAGCCCCTGTGTCCTGTTATCTGCATTAAGCTGAAACTAACAACTAAAGCTGAGGTCTAATATCATTTAAGATTGCACATAGTTCAGTAAAAATCTCACTTTTCTCATCTTTTTTTTTTTTTTTTTTAATGTAGCCTAAAGTCATCCCTGGTATAAATGCACCTGAGATTAGGGGGTTACTCAGAGGAAGAGTAGCTGTTGGTGTGCTTTAGGTTTTGTTACTGCAGTTCTGCCTTTGCAGCTCACGTTGATCATCAGATAAGTGTAAAATTTTGCAAGTGCTGTCATGCTGTTGAAACTTTACAAAGCACGTTATCAAATGCCTTACTGTCGCATTTGAAGTGTTACCAAACTGTCGCAGTCGTACAGTGATCAGCTCAGTTACTTGTTCTTAGGTTACTGGGATTTGCTGCCTATTTTTTCCCTTCCAGTTGCATTATACCCGGTATCCGAGTTCCCCCGAGCTCGGGGGATCGCCTGCCATTCCCCAGAGCTCCTGAGTTCCAGCTTTGGCTCCTTCTTAGCGATCATTCACTCCCACTTTATATTTTTTTAGCCCATTGGTGTGTTACTTTAAACTGATAAGGAAGAAACTTTACTAGCATTTTGTCACTCTGTTTACAAAGCAAATACTGCTTCGGTTGAGTTTTATTCTTCTCCTGCCTCTGTGTTCACCTCTTCCCTGAATTTAAGCTGGTTCCTCTGTCTGGGTCATTTATTTAGATTAAAACCAGCAGAGATCCAAGTCCCGACCCCTCTGGGACCACAAATAATCCAGTACGTCTCCCTCATCCCTTTGCTTTCAGACATTAGCTATTGCTCCTTTCGAATGCCCCTCTGTTTTCTATTTTTTTAACAAGCTCTTTATCCTTTCTCCGTACCCTAACCTGGATCCACATAGCTCATAGTTAGAGCAAGGACCTGTCAAAGGAAACTTTTCAAAGACTTCCTGAACATCTAAATAAATGGACGTACAGGAGGCCAGGCCGCTCTTGCCGTACGCGTGCAAGGGCTCCCTTTGAAGTCACTGGAACTGCTCCCGTGAGTAATTTCGGGCGGGACCCGCCCTGGGTACCCGGGGCAGCGTCAGCCCTGCGGTGCTGGGGAGCCCCTGTGCCCCACACTGGGCAAACTGGGATGAAGGAGAGTGGCTTAGAGGGGCGCAGGGCCGTGGGGACCCGCAGGGAGTGACAGCCCCGGGCACCCGCGGGGACGGGGACGGGGCTGCTGGTACAATGCTGGTGGAACTAAGCTGGGCAAAACTGCCCGTGGAAGTCCTGGGGAAGAACACGGGTTTTGGGGCATTTTGGCCCTTGCAGTTTTCTGAAGTGCTGAGCAGTAGAAGCTGCCGAAGCCTGGGAGCTCCTGAAATCAGCCTCCCTGATTGCTGGTGGACAGGAGGAGAGTAAGAGCTGGAAATCTGTGCGTGCTGAACTCTCCATATATAAACCGTGCTTGTTCTTGCTGATGGTCAAAAGCATCTCGATTTCTTTAGATGTTCAATTTGTATTTTTTGAAAAAATGAAAAACTTTTCCAGACCGAGAGGACTGTGACTTAAAAAGAGATTTTGCTTTCTTCCTAGGTTAATTATCATAAAAGTTCGTTATTTGAAATATCTTTATACTTTTTGGTGATTTAACAGTAGGAAATTCAGAGATGGATATGGAATCCATAAACATTCAGTGAGAGAGAGTGTTTCATAAATGTATCTCTGCTATTTCCAAAAATAATATCAATTTATTTTTAGAGACCAAATAAAAATCACAGCTGTAGCACATCTGGAAATTATGTGTGTGTTTCACAGCATAGATTTTTTTTTCACACTCACACCTCCTTCCCGCATTTGAACCTGTTGTGTTTGTAGGAAGCAATACTGTGTCCTTAGTGTCAAGGCAAATCCAGTTTCCCACTTGAATGAGAGGCACAGGGCACGTTCCGTGGGCCCTCTTCACATAATGAACTGATGACATTCCTAAAACGTGCACCAACACACCACTGTCCTCGTGCCTTACCAAATAGCAGCTCAGCGTGGTGGGACAAATGTTGCTCTCGGTTAGAGGAGCACAGAGCAGTTCTGCTAAAGCAGGAGGTTTTGTGCTGGAATTACAAGGGTTTGCAAACAGTTTTTATTTCGTCCCACAAGTGTCCAGGATTTGCAGAAGTCTGTAGCGGAGAAAGGATTCTACTTCTCATAAATTTTGGAAGTAGAGCCACGAGGAGATCAGCTTTGTTGAGGTACAAATGACATATTTAAAGGGAGATCTAATGAGGGATTCGGGCAGATTCAGAGAGGAATTCGATTTTTCTATAGCTTTAGTACTGAAACTCTTCATTGTGGCTCAAAGCTGCCCTCTTCAGTACATCAGCTGCCTTCTTGTCCTGCGCTAGAAGAGAAGCAGAGGGCTGAATTCACAACGCACCACAGTTTAGCAAAGCCTTGTTTTTATTTGGGGGGAATCTGAATCCAGAGAGGGGGTGGCAACTTTGAACAAGCCTCCAACACATCTACCATGGGTCCTGCAGAGGTTTGTCTCAAAGAGGGAACATTTCTTCACTCAGCAGTTTCCCTAAACATTCTGGCTTGGCTCCTTACATTCCACATTTTTTCATCATAAACCAGATATTCGCTACATAGGAGTAAATCTTATCCTGTTTGGAAACTACGGTGTATTTCTTGGGAGCTATTGTACTATAATAATAACCATAATTACCTTTAAAGGCATGCTGTACTGCCTACATCTCGGGTACCGCAAGGAATTTCACAAATAAATCTGGAATTTTCTGTATGTCCAGATAACTGTGTCATGTAGGGCTATGGTAGCTAATAAGTATTTTATACATTTAACTTCCCTCCCTCCTTTCTTCTCCTTCTTTCTTCTTTTTCCTCCCTCCGCAGCCGTATTTCACCTACTTCCCCTACAAAGCAAGAAGGGTGGAAGAAATAAATTCACCTTTCTTACTTTTACACTCATGTGTGGAAAAGTAATTATTTTGTTTAAAATTCTTCTTTGTTTGGATGACTCACTTCTTAATTAATCCTAATCCTTTCTTTGTGCTCCTTGAGTAACAATAATATCAGATTTGTCTGGAATGATTAATGCATTGTGCTTCACAGGTCCTCAGCTGAGTAAAGATTTATAGACCAACATTTTCTGGTTTTCTGATAGTCAGATTTTTCTTTTTTTTTTTTTTTTTTTTTTTTTCTTCACATTGCACTCTTTGGCATTTGCTTCTATTTTTCAGGTGTAAATACTGTGACAGGTCATTCAGCATTTCCTCCAACCTCCAGCGGCACGTTCGAAACATCCATAACAAGGAGAAGCCATTCAAATGTCACCTGTGTAACCGATGCTTTGGGCAGCAGACCAACTTGGACCGACATCTTAAGAAACACGAACACGAGAACGTTCCAGGTAGGAAAGGGAATGGCTGTGTGGATCTGCCAGGGCACTGGAGGGAGAAGACACTGTGGTCTGGTTCCTCTGGTCCTCGGGAAGCCGTGGTGGAAACCACTGTTTCTTAAGGATTAATATCGCCAGGTAGCAAAAAACGAGCGCCAGCTCCTCCTGCAGCCAAGGATGCATTTATCCCCCACGTGTGACTGTAACACACACGCACTCAAGCACGGCGCTCGGCTCTGCCAAGATCTTGTCAGGTATTACTCATACGTGGCCTTTTCCAACCCACAGAATAGCGATCGTGATGCTAACTTCTGTCCAGGGAGCGTAACCTCACACTGTGAGATCTGGTACAATGCTGGTGTGGACATGTCAGGCTCCACCAAGGGTTTTCAACCTGAAATGCGTTTGTAGGGATGTGTGAGGTTCAAGAAGATAAATAGACTTTGCCTTAAGAGGAAAACTGAAGGAAGAAATTCCTGCGCTGAAGCCAACTAAGTGATTTCCCAGCCTAGGAAAAAAAAAAAAAAAAAAAAATGAAAAGAGGAAAAGTTATAGGCAAACAGCTATGCAATGGACAGTGGTTCTTAAACTGTATATACCATCCGTAAATGCTAAACGTCACCTATATTTCTGTCTGTAGTTCAAGTCTGGAAAACATGAGCTTCCTTTGGCAGCTTTGCTCTGTGAGATTTCTCTTCAATGTTAAATCGTTAATATATAGTGAGAGGATTGTTGCGTAATGCTCCTCCTTTATTTTTCCTCTTAATAACAGCTTTGACAATATCTGATTGTTTCTTCTGTTCTCTTTTCTTGTTTCTCTCACCCAGTGAGCCAGCACTCTGGAGTCATTACAAACCACCTTGGGACCAGTGCCTCTTCCCCAAACTCGGAATCAGACAACCATGCACTTTTAGATGAAAAAGAGGATTCTTATTTCTCTGAAATCAGAAATTTTATTGCAAATAGTGAGATGAATCAAGCATCAACTTTAGCAGATAAAAGGTAGACAAGCAAATACAATTATCTGGTGACATGCATTGTTAACATGGCTGAAAGAGCAGTCAGCCTCTGTCCTGCAGTACTTGATTTAAAATGCTCAAAAGAGAAATGTCAGAGTTTGGAAGGCAAATGTGGTCAACTTCGAGCTCTAAGCCCAGTGTTAAGTCTTTACAGAAAGTGGTGTAAATGAGGGGGGACACCAGAGAGCCCCTCCCGGCTGGAGACGTGGCTGCAACTGGCGGAGCTGATGGCAGGAGCAGGCTGCCTGCTGCCCTGGCTCCAGCGCAGGGGCCATCAGGAAACACAGCTTCTTTAGATAAAAATGTGATTATCAAACCCTTCCCTTCTGCCATGAAGCCGCGTGGCCTGTTCCATCCCCCATCTGAGAGTTCGTTAAGGGAACCGGAGGCACCTGCTTTTCTGACCCGTTTGTTTCCAATCTATCCATATCACAAGCCTTCTTTTCACTGACTGACATTTCACCTGCTGCTATCCTGTTTTCACAAATAGCTATTTAATGGCAATACTGAGGTTTAAATACAAAACGTAAGTATAAGAGGTCCACCTGATTATGTGATCTACGTAAAGAACAGCAAGAAAGGTGGAACACGCTGACAACATTTATGGTGAAGGTGTTAATCTTATTTTATGTCACTTGGTGGCATCCTGTTGGGTTCCAGGCCTGTAGCAGTGATGATCCCACTCCTGTTCCCTTAACTTAATGTAAAACTGCTGGTTTTGTGGGGTCCAATAGGTCCATACGGGCATGAATAGCAGAAGTAATATAAGATATAACTTAGGCTGGCTGTTAGATTACACTGTGAGGAAGCTTCTTCCTTCTGGTTGCCCAAAGGGAGATTTCTAGAATACAGTAGCACAGAGAGGAGGAAAGCCACTTGTCCCACAGATGTTATACTTTGACATGGAAAACTGTCATTTAAATCCAAACTAGACAAAATTCTAGTTTGAAAAGCATTGGGGTTGGTATGTACTTGACATGCTTATTAGCCCTTGAGACACTGTGAAGGCTGATTTTTAATTGCCTGAAACATGTCGGTTTTCCTTTTCCTTGCAGTTTAAATAATATGTTTATGTATGTAAATATGTCACTGTATTCAGATAGGTGTATAAAATCATCAAAATCTCACATTACAGTGGAAATGCATAATTTACACATTTGGCGTCTTTTCTTTTTTTCTTTTCTTTCTTCTTCCCCACCTTGACAAAATATTTCAGGCCAGAAATCCAGGATATTGATGGAAATTCCCAGTGTCATGGATTAGCAAATGAGAAAACAGAAGATGTGGATGATGAGGATGAAGAACTGGAAGAAGAGGATGATGACAGCCTGACAGGGAAGTCACAGGATGAAACGGTATCACCCGCTGCAGAACCCCGAGGAGCATTTGAGGATGAAGAAGATGAAGAGCCCGCATCTCTCACCATGAGCTTTGACCACACCCGAAGGTGAGGTGGGCCATTCCCTTTGAGAAGTCAGACGGGGCTGAGACTTCTGACCCCGTGTCAGTGGTAGATCGTGAGTGCTACTGTTTTATTTTTCAAGCCATGTGTCATACCTCCAGTTTGATTTAAGCATTCACTTAAGAGATTCCATTTTCACCATGGTGGGGGACACGAAACAAGTGGACTGCAAGGAGCATCGGTGATAAGGGGTATATCCAAGACTTGGGAAGTTCTTGTCAGGAGAACAGTTAGCCCAACACAGAAAACAGCGTTTTCAGGGTACCACAGTTCAGCAGATAATGTCTTTTTCTCTAAAACACCAGTCAGGGCAAAGGAAGAGGCATATGTATGCAATTGTTTTGTGCTGTTCTACTCATTTTAGTTGTAGCAAAATGTTGTTGACTTCAAGTAGAGTTCTCGGAGCTCTGGGAAAAGGTGAAGCATTTTTTTTCCAAGGTCAAACCATGTCTGGGCACCTTTAAAATTAAAGTTTGTCACGCATAGTATAGAGTTAGCTTTTTTTTTGCCTCAGTTTGCCTTAGTTTCCCAACTAGTATTCATAAAAAATGTCCCATGATGCAAAGTAGTATCTTGATTTCAGTGCATCACTATTTTCATTAAAACTCAAAGAAAACGCAGCAGTGTTCTTCAGACATTGATCCAGTGTCAAACATTTCAAGGAGTGGACAGCAGTGGGACACCTCCACACAGAAGACCAAAGCGAATTGCAGCCACGCTGAATCACAAATACCTACAGCACTAATGCTTGTTTGTGCATAGTCATGCTCTCCACTTTTTCTTTGCTCCTGGCATTTTGTGTCGTTTTCGTGTTTGTCTGTCTGTCCGTTCACGCATGTGGCTTGTGAGACCCCCGTGGTATGTGCATGCAGGCACTGGGTTAGCAGCACTCACGTTGGCTAGATGTGAACGGCAAGATGAGCTAACAACAGGTCAACCCCTTCCCCTGGTCATTGGTACAGGTGTATTGAGGAGGACGAAGCCGGCTTGTTAGATTTGGAGCAGATGCCGAATTTTGGGAAGGGGCTGGATCTTCGCAAAGCAGCCGAGGAAGCATTTGAAGTTAAAGATGTGTTTAATTCCACCTTAGACTCTGAGACAATAAAACAGACTCTGTACAGGCAGGCTAAAAACCAGGTAGGTATATGACAGAACATTTTATCTAGCTTGCCGCCAGCATGTACGATAGGGTTAGCAAGCAGCTGGCCTCCTTTAGCTAAGGCTTGTTTTCCCCTTCCAGCAAGCAGGAATTCTAACTGTAACGCGTGAATCATATGTGAACTGTGTCTGAAACTGTACTGAAATAGGGGAGAAACGGAGTGGGCATCAGTTTCAGGTCACCAGATCAACTTATCATTTAGCCTGTGCTGTGAGAACATGCTTATACAAAAAGATAGAGGCATCTGTCTGTTTTTATCTGTCTGTATAAATGTTTTTATTACTTATTTATACTTTAGGATGGGTCATCAGTTGGTATATACTAAACAACTGGATGTTTGGTCTGCAGAAACAATAATAAAGTATCCTTCAGTTTGATTCTAAAAGGTGTAGTAGACAATAGTATTTCCAGGACTTGCAATCCAGCAAGCCTAGGGGACTTCCTCATTTATCTCCCTGATTTCTAAAAGCAAACCACACAATGGAAGTCTGCCCGTGAGCCAGACCAGTTCAGACCCACCAAGAAACCTCAAAATAACATCTCGGCACCTATTGGAGTTCTGAGAAAAACCTGGAGGTATGGGGCAAATCCATTTGTGCTTTCTGCTTTTTCATTGAACTAAAATGCCCAGTCTAGTTTTATGAAGTTCATACCTAGATCCCTACAAAAGGTTTCTCACAAAAGAACTATTCAATGAAGTTACAGCACTGGACTGGACTGGAGAGAGCGCACTCAGCCCCTCCTGGGGGACAAGTACAGCTGTTGCCTTGGAGTCCCTTTCTAACCTTCAAGCATTAGACTTTGTCATGAAATCTATTTTAAATGTCCAGTAAAGCAGTAGTTTAATGCAGTTACCAAGCAGAACATAATTTTTGATTTCTCATCAGCCAAAAATTGTGAAATACGTGTCCTCCTTCGTAGCAGGTACTAGTACCGAAGCCGGGGAAGGTCTGCTTGAAGATAGGACAGAGCGTTTTTACGGGTGAAACTAATTTAAACACAAGCCACTTGCCTGACTCTCACATGTGTCCTGTTACTAATATGCCAAACGTACTAACCATTTAGGAACAGCTTGCTCTTTTGAAATTTGTACTACATTGTTAGGTCCAGCCTGTGCTTGAGGGGGGAGGTATTTTTGTCTTTGGAATCAATTGTATAGTGTACGAGATGCAGGCCTGGTGCCACTTCAATCACAATAAGTAACTTAAACAATTCGAACCATCTCTCGTGCAGGAAATGCGGTAGTGAAACAACATTTGTGTGAGCAGCACAGCACTCCTTTGTGGCTGGCTGTCTTTTAAGCAATTTTAGAAGCGTGCATGTCCACAACACTGCCAGGCTGTACCTCTTCCTGCACACACCTGCAATACGTGAATGTGTTGACTTGACAAGTAGATCTGACTCTTGGCTTTTAAGAGGCTAAAGTTGGGTAACTGGTTTGTGTTGTCACCATCCCAGCTGCGTTACTAAGGGTCCTACTGCACTGAGCGTTGTACTGACATCCCAGGTAACAGATGGGCTTTGTCTGTTGCCCTGCAAAGGGGTGTAGGTGGGTGGGTGCGACCTCACTGTGAAGGAGAGGGCTACACAGCCACAATTTCTCTGCAGAGCCAGGAGCATGGTGCCAGCTGATGCAGAGCGGGGTGGGTGGGGACCACGTCCTCCTCTGTTTCAGATCACGGGTGGCAGTTACACCGGCTGTCACCCCCAGTGGGTGAGGTCATCGGCTACCAAAGTCTTCACATCACTTGTGTGGGCTGGGAAAGGACGCGAACGTGTCTGAGAGAAGTAGTCTTGGAAGAGGGAGAGCATCTGGGTTGCGGAGAAGCAAGCAGATTGTTACAGAGAAAACAGAAGTCTCAATGCATTTTTCTCAGCAGATGCTTTTAGCAGTGCAGCTGTAAATCTACCCCGACAAGAACATAGGAACACACGAGTAGTGCTGATGAGCATTTCAGGCCTCGACCACTAAAAGCCAGTGTGTGGGGTGCTGCAGGCACCAGTGGGCTCACGCCAAGCAGCGAGTCAGGCCGAGGAGGCAGCTACCCTGGGTACACGACCGGGGCTTCTGACAGGCCCCAGCCTCGCTCGGCCACTCTCTTGTCTGCAGGTGCACCTTATTTTAAGAACAAAACGAAGTAATTGGCATTTTGCTTGTAGCTGCTTTCCCCCCGAGAGCAGAGCCTAAAACCAAGTGTGTGGGTTTGTGGCCAAGCGCAGGGCTGGCGCAGAATGGATTTGGTCCTGTAAAAGCCAGTGGGAACGATGGCCTCTCCTGACTAACTGCCTATAAACCCTGGCAAATTCGAGTAGTTGGACTGATGGGTGTCATCCGAGTGTGCGGATGTGAATTCCAACTTACTGGCCCAGGCCAAGGGGTGCTGGCCACCCTACTTATCCTGTGTGGTGAGATGGTGCTGTGCTTCACACGGTTTAGCACGGCCTGTCCCATGTGTGTATTCACACGTGTCCTCTGCGTTACTCTCTCCTCCTCCAGGCTTATGCAATGATGCTGTCCCTGTCTGAGAACGCTCCCCTCCACACGTCCTCCCAGAACTCTCTGGGCGCTTGGTTGGACATGGCAGGAGCAGCTTCAGAGTCGGGGAGCTTTAACCCCATCAACCACCTCTGAGAGGTCAACAAGGCACTGGCCAGAGTCCAAGCGAGGAGGCGGTGGTGCTGCAATTATCCTAGCAAAAATCCTAGCAAGCAGAAGATGGATGAGAGGGCCTCAGGGAGTCGTCTGGACTTTTGGCTGAGAAGGAAACCTGTCGCATCTGACCTACAAGTCCTGCATTTTTATCTATCCAGAGTTTTCATGTCTAATTTATCAGAATGAACATCTCCAAAACTGGATAACCCTGATGCAGCCCTAGGATTTCACAGTCTATAGGAATAACATGAGCAAGACACGAATTGCAACAGTGCAATCAAATATTGGCCCCTCTAACATTACAAAACAGTGTCACTGAGCCAGTAAAGCCTGCGTATAAATGAAAGCTTGAAACCATTCGGTAGCATTTCCTTTCAATTCAGCTGAAAAGTGAAGTAATGAGGAAGGAGAGCCAGGTGTGCCCTATCCCCGGTGCAATTCTGACATAGTCGCTGGAGTTATACCAGGGAAGGGTAAATTTGACCCATTTAATTGACCCCCAAAAGAATCTGAAATTCTGTGCTCCCGCAGGAATACCGTCCTACCCTTGTTCCCAGCAAAACACACCGGCACAGTGCAAGGCTTCTCGAGTGTGAGGCCACGTTGCCTGCAGTCGTGATACACCGCATGCGGTGTCCCGGTTGAGAAATCTCCAGCGTGGAGCGTCGCTGAGGTTGGGGTTATCGGTGCATCGTGCGAGTACGTGGTTCGTGGTCCTTGGCTGTGCCCTGCGTGCCCTTCTGCCTGTGCTGACGCTGCGAGGTTGAGGGTGCTGTCCATCCCGAGCGCCCGGGAGCCCAAGCTGCTGCTCGAGCTTGAAGCAGCCCGGGGAGGGGTCCTGAAAAAGCCACGTCCCGTGGGCGAGGGGGACGCGGCCCTCGGCCCCGCGCTGGCCGGGGCACCCGGCAACAGCCGCTGGAGATGCTCAGACCTTCCCAGGCAGAGGGGTCCCGGGGCAGCCCCTCACCCGGGACGTGCAGCCGCGGGGCGTGGGCGAGTCTCGCCCTGGGAAGGGCGGCTCAGACCCGTCTTCTCAGTGATCTCCCAGGGAGTTTCCGAGCGGCATCCTTGCGGTGTTGGTAGCATCCAGGAGCTGCGGCAGAAACTTCTGACTCGTGCGGTGGTTTCAGTATGCTGGATGGTTGTTTGTGCACCGCATGCTGCAATTTGGCCTATAATTTAAGTAGAAAGATTAAAATTCCCTTGCTTCAGCAACCTCAGGGGTACAGCCTGCTATTCAAGCACACAGCTAAAAATCAAATTGTCTCTCTGACTCTAAAATTGCTCACAGATACTTTATGAGTGATTTTAAATCGCTTCAAAGTCTCATCTCCCTTACTGATACAAAGCAGCCTCCAGAAATACTGTGATGTTTATGCTGTTCTGCATTGCAATTACAATCTGCTGTTGGAGCGGTGATTTTACAGGTGATGCGGAATTACAGAATAGTCAGGAAAGCAATTAGACCTTGCAAGGGATAACATTAGCTACACAGATAAAGTGAAGAATGTGTGTTCTGAGAATTTTTGAATTATGATATCTAAAAATTAGAAATGCTGAGGACCAGACTGCTGCTACCACTGAGAGAGAGCTCGTGCCTCTGCATCTTGGCCGCTGCAGTTCTGCGCCCGCAGCCGCCGGGCGGCTGGAGGCATCCAAGGCCAGTGAAGTCGAGAGGAGCTTTTCCCATTAATTTCAGTATATTTTAGTGCTGGGTGAGCTTCGAGTAAGTGTTGTACCAGGTAGTAGCCGCTTGCAGAACTGGGTTACTGGCCGATTTCAGAGGGGCAGCGTGCAGGTCGGTACATCTGCCTGTGACCGCTGGACACGCACAGCCTGTCCGCTCGGCGCGAGGGGAGCAGACGGCGGCTCCTGGGCCGGTCCAGTGCGCGGGGGCAGAGCGGGGCAGCCTCACCCCAGCACGCTGAAGCAAAGGAAAGTGCTCCCCAGGGCATGGGCGGTGGTAGAGAGATACCTTTGCAATTCACTCTTTGCGCCCAAGAGCACACGTGAGGCTGTTTTTAGCTAGCCAGGAGCCTCAGCATCTCCATGGAGGGAAGCATCTAGGGTAGCTTTGGTACAGAAGGAACAAAAGGTAAATTAGCAGCATCAGAGTATTTTCCAAGGAAATTTACCCTTCCTTTTTGCTTTTCCACAACACCCTGTGAAAGTGCCCAAGGCTCTGAGACCAACAGTCTGTAACCTGAACTGCTTCATATATTTGCACAAAGCTCTGGGGGAAATAGAGCCCGAGAGCTGACAACGTCAAAAGAACCCAGGCTCTGCCAAGGAGAGGGGACGTCCCCGTCCCGGCACATCTGCCTCTGCTGCTGCTGCTGCAGCACAGCCCTGCCCAGGCGCTTGGCCTTTAAATTATTCCCACAGGGGCCAACGGAAAATAATAAAAGAATTGTTTCTTTTCCTGATGGAATTTATTTTAATCTGTATATAACTTGTAATTGTTTGCTAATTCTTTTCCTATTTTATTTCTTCCTTAACAGTATTTTTTGCATTAGATATCATTATTGTGAAGAAATAATGTTAATATAAGTATGTAGTGAAGGACCAAAATGGTGTCGTTAAGGCTGTATGTTGTACGATTGATAACCAGGGAGTAGGAAGCTTTTGTCCATGTGCCAAATGCCCCCGGCCAGTCCCGCCGGTCTCGCTGCCGCTTCTCCAGACAATCAGCCGGGTTGTTGCCTTTGCCTCCGAGCGCCCTCGAAGCCGCGGCAGCCGAAGGGTTCTGGGCCGTTCCTCGGCCGCTCAGGAAGCCACCGCCGCCTCGGCCAGCGGGCGAGAGCCCCCCCGTGCCGCACAGCCGGCCCCCCGCCCCGCGAGCCAGGGGAGCGGGCAGCCACGGGCCGGACGGAGCGACGGAGAGACGGGGAGACGGAGAGACATCTGGGCCCCACGGGGCAGCTGGGGCTGAGCAGGGATGTCACCGTGCCAGCCAGGGATGCCAGCGTGCCGGGCAGTGATGTCATCATGCTGGTGAGTGATGTCACCGTGCCAGCCAGCGATATCACCATGCCAGCCAGGGACACCACTGTGCTGGCGAGCAATGTCACCGTGCCAGCCAGCGATGCCACCGTGCCGCCTGTCCCCCAGCCCTGAGGTGCAGAGCCGGGGGCCACGGTGCCCCCCCGGGCGGGAGCAGCCGACAGAGCCGGGGGCCAGCGGGCGACTGTGCCGCGGGGCCACGGCCCGGCAGAGCCACCGGCACCCGGAGCCCGGCCGCAGCCGCTGCCAGCTCGGCCCCCGGCACACGGGACTCGGGCAGCCCGGGGGGCCTGGCCAGCCCCGCTGGTTCCCAACCGCTGCTCCGGGAGAGCAGGGAAACAGCGCCCGGCCTTCGGCACAGGGGTGGCTCAGTCCTGGCCCCTTCCAGCAGCTCCGCGGCTCCCGGCAGCTGCCCAGAGCAAGCCTGAACCCCTGAGCACAGGACCGCGGCACCGCTGGCCTTTTTGGAACAAGATCTGTGGGTGTGAGCAGCGTTTGCGCGCTCTGCCCTGAAGCTGCATTGGTCATGAAGCAGCCTTTGAAGGGGGCGGCATCGCACTCCTCGGCACGAGGAGGTAGCAGAGCAGCTGAGGGAGCGGCAGCGAGCTGGTCTCCAACATGTGGGCCGAGTACTGAGAAATGTAAATGTCACTGTGGGGATTGATTTGGGGTATCTATGGTCTTCCCTTCAGTATCGCAGCCCTCCTGTCCGTTGCGTTGTCTCTCCCGCAGCAGTTTGTCAGCAGCTCCGAACTCCAGCTGAGCTCGCGCAGTCGCCGTCTCCTCGCAGGGCTGTTCCGTGCTCTGCTGCGGTGCTGGCCAGGGACGGGGAGGTACAATCCAGCCAGGGGTTAAGGACATTAAAAATAGAGGTTTTGAAATCATGAAATGATTTTTTACTATTCATATTTCCTAATTCAGTTTTCTTCCCATTTTCTCTAGCTAGTGTCTCTGTTTGTTGTAGGACCTCCCGACTCCTCTAATTTAGCACTGATTACAAGTTTTAATTTTTCCACAGTTAAGATAAATAAACAGAAAGCCTCACTGAAATCTCTATTTATCTCGCAGCTTTCATTCAATTGCACTTGAAACGTGTTGCAGCTCATAGCAGATGTTTAGGTTTTGATTTGCTGTTGTAGACAGAAGCCCTCCTGTGCTTGGCAGGACGTTTCCCGAGAGGCGCGTGTCTCGGGGAAGGTCGTGCCGCCGGTGGGAAGGGTCTGGGCCCCTCGGCTGCGATGAGCCGCGGAGCCGGAGCGCCCAAGCCCATCCAACACCCCCAGCACGGCGTGCTCAGGATGATACTGGGGCTATATGGCGAGGGGGGGTTGCAGTGGTGGGGATACGGCCTGCTGTTTGTTTGAAAGCCGGGGCGCTTGAACCCAAGAATATTTGCGTAGGATCTATTTATTACAAGTACTGTCACATCTCGTAGCCATATGGCCACAAGAGAGAGGAGGAGGGAACGGGAGAAGCCCTGTGAATTTTTTGTACAACCAGATAAAGTCGGCAGCCGCCGGCTGTTCCCGGCCGTCCGGCGCTGCTGAAGGGAAGCTGCTCCGAGAAAGGTCCCAGCTCCTCCCGAACACACCTTTGACCGCGGACAGATCCGTCTGCCTGGGCTGGGTGGGAGAAGGCCAGTCCGAGGAGTGTGCTCGCCCTTCCTCTCGCCTGCTCGGGCGCTGGCGGGCAGCCCCGACGCGAACCGCTGCAGCTGATGCGGAAAGGCACCGGCGCAGCGCGGCTGCCGAGGCCGGTGGCTCGACTCGGGTCAGCTCGGCTCGGCTCGGCCCAGCTTGGCTTGGCTCGGCTCGGCTCAGCTCGGGGGGTGCCCATGTGTGTGTGTGCTGGCTGCCCGGGGTGCGGGGCTGCCCAACGCGCCCCAGGGCGAGTGGGTGCGCAGGGAAAGCCGAACCGAAGGGCGCCGAGCAGCAAAACACGAGCCGAGTTTGCTCAACTGCATTCCAGGACAAAACACAAAGCTTGGTTTCTGTCTTGCTTAAAACAGACTAGCGGAAGCTTTCGATTCCTCCCTAATCAGCACTTAGACGTTCCATAGACGTTCTTGAAAACGGCTTCTTTTTCACTTCATACGAAGCGTTTCGAAAAGCACTTGCACAATGACATGAACACGTTTGACTCTAAGCATCAAAGCACTGGATTGTGAGCCCCCCTCCCCTCAGCCGATTTCGATCTACTGACATTCGATTTTTACGTGCTGTATTTTGTGTGTGTGTGTGTGGCGGGGGAAGGGGGAGAGCATCACGGTGTTGCAGGAACCTGCCCATTGATGCCCGCTGGAGAAGGGGCAGGCAGCGATGCAGCCCGCTCGGGTCAGTGCTGGTAACATAAGGGCAAAAACCTCTGCTCCGAGACGATGGTCAGTAGTGTTTTCACAAAGCCATGAAACTTTTTCTCTGTAGTGTTGAGTGATACTGTGATTAAAATGTTCTTGAATGATTCCGAGATTATTTTTCTCTTTCTTCTGTCATTAATTCTTATTACCACTTTGGAAAAAGAATGAAAAAGAAAAAAAAGGCAGCTTTGATTTCCAAATGTGCAATTCACATGTGAACAAAGTAATTCTGAAAGTAATTCTCAATGTATTTTACATTCTCGTTGCTCTCTTCAAAGCAAGAGATGTTTTGCCCTGATGTCATTTCCAGCCTGCAGAAGATGTAATTTAAAACATATATATATTGTGCTTGCAAGAATCATAAATCTGTGCATCCTTTGTCATTCCTTTTCCCATTGTTACAATACAGATATGATTTAGTTTTGTTTTGTTTTGTTTTGTTTTTTTTCTTTAGAACTGTATAGTGTTTTTTTTAAATCAATTGTAAATGTCTGGTTTTCATATAATGTTTAAAAAACATTGAGAAAGAGGATGGTGCTTGTTCCATATCATTCTTGATTGTATATTGCTTCTGTTATGTTTATAAGTAAACTGTGCATGACTTGTGTTTAGCAGTCATTATTGTGTCTGTTTGTGAAATTTTTATTAAAAAGAAAAAAATTCCGTAGATGCACTTATTGTATATGTGATTAGATTTTGCGTCCGAGGCTAGAAGCCTTGAACTGCCAAGGAAGAAAAAAAAAAAAGTATTGGCAGTTATTAATTAATATGAAATCGCTTTGTTGGGAGCATAATGAAATAAAAGATATGAAGTGTAGAAAATAATTAAAAAAGCGATTTTACAAATTTCATTTTGATGCTTGTGATAAAGGACAAATGTACTTGTGTAGAGAAATTCCTTTAAAATAATGAATAGAAGAAGCTGATTTTGAGGTTAATGCTGTAGAATAGGAATGTATACCAAATGTAATCTTTCCAATGCTACAATGAATTTATACATGAGATTGATATGCAATAAACCTGTGTGCTTTTATAAGCAATGGTCCTGTGAGCTTTTTTTCCTTGGAGGAACGCTGCACACCCCGCCGTGCACGGTGATGGGGTGTTTGGATGGGTTACGTTCTTACTTCGCTAAAAGGTGAGTTGGAGCGGCGTGGAAGGGGAATAGAAACAGGAACTTGGACAGGAGCGGTTTGAGGGCATCGGACAGGAAGAAACAGCCTGTTGAAAAATTGGATTTCAGAATGTCTCCAGTCTGCAAAAATAACGGCTTCCATTCCAGCTGTTCCCCGGCGGCTGCCTGGGCAGGGGAGGAGCGCTGCAGCCCGGCCTCGCTCGGCTCTTCCCCGAGGAGGGGCCGGTGTCCGGGCGGGCAGACCCGGCCGGGGGATCCCGGCGGGGTGAGGTACCCCCAGCCGGCAGAGCGGTTCCTTGTTGGGTAACGGGCCGTAACGCTGCCGAGCCCTCACCGCCTCTGCGGTAGCTTCGTCGTCTGGTATTTTATGTGCTTGGCTTGTAATTCTTCAAAAGAGGTTCGGAAAGCTCAGCCGTGGACACCGCTCCTCGCTGCTGAGCTCCGTGCCTGCATCCCGCTGAAGGGAAGAGTGGGAACGTTCCGGGCTGGGACAAGGCATTAGCGAGCTATCTAAAAATGCCAAGAGTATTTCTTTTCACAACCACGAGCCGAGAGTTAGCGAACTATCATAGCGGTCAGACGTTTCAGCAGGGGCCCTGGGAGCAAAAATGACTTGAAAGCAGGGTCTTTGAACTAACAACACGCATTACAAAACTGATGAATGGTCTCCGCTTCAAAAAGTCATTCATCGTGATCAAATGATGGTATCCTACATACAGCATAATAGCCCTTCCCTGGAGTTTGCCATGTAAGGGTTTCAGTCTTAGCTGAACTCTTGAGTAGAAACCCTCTGCCTCTGTGACGGCTGGCAACCTTTCTCCTTATTAGCCCTGGAGGGAAAGGAAAAAAAAAAAATCTATCGGATAAGAAAGCTCTGATAATAGAGCGATTGTCAGGCAGGCCTTAGAGAGAAGAGAACAGTCTTTTAAAAGAATATTGCTGACAAGTGGACTTTGTCATCCAGAAAGCGCTTGAGATTCACCATAAACCAGCAAGAAAAAGGCTCCATTTTTAGGGGGGGTATGTGTCTGGAATCAGAGCGGGGAGCAAAATAGAAGGTCAAGGAAAAGTCCGTTCCCAGTCAATACAGAGCACTGCTGAGCCTGGCCTTGCAGGGCAGCCAAGTTACTGGGTGGCTGTCAGCAGCCTGACCCCCAGATCCTCCTTCCCCAGCCGGGGCTCGGCGAGTGGGTGGCACCAAAGCATCCCAAACCGGTGATTTACACACCGAGAGGGACAGCCGGCATTACCCCGGACCACTGGACTTGTGCAAGCCTCACGCGTGCCCATAGTAAGAAACAGTCCCTGGCCTGCCTGAAATAACTGTCAGCGGCTGCTCAGCCCCCGGGGACAGCCGGCGGGGCGGTGGTTTGTCACCCGTTAACACGATGGGAGGAAAAAATACCCCATGTCCTTCCGGGAGCTTGGTGAGGAGGCTTTGGGGAATGGGTGACTCCCAGAGCGGCCAGGGCCTCGGGGAGCGGTACCGTGCAAACACCTTGAAGAAAGGTCAAGAAGCAGCAAAACCAAAAGATTTTTGGTTAAGTTTAGCCCGCTCTCCACTCCTGTCAGGCAGGGGATGACCCCGGGCTGGCGCGCAGGGGCTGGGCCGGGGTGCGGGGGGTACCGGAGCGCAGCGGGGACCCCGGGGGGGGGGGGGCGGCCTCTGCTCGGGGCAGCGGCGGGACCCGCAGCCGGAGCCCCCCCGACCCGCCGGCCCGGCGCTCAGCTCTCCTTTCCCCGGCGCCCGGACCGGTCCCTCCCCGCGCCCGCCCCCGGCGCGGCCCGGCCCGCCCCCGCCGAGCTCCGCGGGGCCCCGCGGAGGGACCGGGGCGAGCGGGGGAGGCGGCGGCGGAGCCCGGCAGAGCCGCAGCAGGACCCGCCTCCCACCCCCCGCACCCCCCCCCCGCACCCCCCCCCCCCAGCATCCCGGCGGGGAGCGGGGCTGGTGAGTGGCCGGAGGCTCCGTCCCGGGGTCGGGGGGGGCGGGTTGCGAGGGGCCGGTGGGTGCCCGGGGCTGTGTCCCGCCGTGCTCGGAGCCGCTCGCGTTGCTCTGCTGAGGGGGGTCGGGGGCTGCGGAGCGCTGGACATGGGGGGGTCGCGGTCCTGCAGACCCGGAGCACCTGGAACGGGGCGTTCCCCTTGTTAATAGGGCGAGTGCTTAGGCTCGGCTTCCTCCTCAGCCAGGACGGGGTTAAGCGAACGTAGTGTCTTCCTCATCCGCAGGACATTTGGCAGAGCTCTGGATGGGAAAAATAAGCATCAGCTTGATCAAACGAGCTTTTGTTGATGGGTCTGTTTTGTCCTCCTGCCAGTCATTGATGCAGGGAAATACGTTCAAGTCTTGGTTTGTGTTTCCTGGTCTGTGCGGCCTTTGAAAAGGGACAGATTGGAGGTGGCGGTGGCAATACAGCGAGACCTCAGTTGGGAGGAATTAAACCGTAGTTTTTCCTTAAATTATGTAACGGGGTAGGCAGTGGGTGTAAAATGCTCTGTCAGATGTTTGTTCTGTAGGTGCATGGTACGTGTTGGGGCACAGAAGGAGATGAATAAGCTTAACCCCAGACGAGGAGCTGTAGGGACCGGGGCAGGTGCCTGTGCGTGGCTCCTCGCGGCGCTTTGGGACAGGCACAAGCTTTGGGGAGCACAGGGCTCGCGGCGAGGCGCCTGCCGGGGTTTGCACAGCACCGGCAGCCTGGGCGAGGTGGAAGTAAGGAAGGTGAAGGCCGGCCCGGGGAGCTGGCGGCACCCCTAGACCCCAAAAGGGGACCAGGAGGGGACACGGAGGTGCGGCAGCTCAGGTACGAGCCTGCCTGGTCCCTGGCCACATCCTGCACCCCTCTGCCCGAAGCCAGCTGCAAGTGTCAGGAGCCACCAGCCTGGCCCCAGCACAGTGGGTGGCCCCGAGGGAGGCACGTGGGTGGGGGGACCCCCACGAGCACGGCTTGGGGGGTGGGGGGGGCTCTGCCTATGTGCAGCGCCCTGGGAAAGCGGGGCTGGGTCCTGCATGGCCCCAAAACAGTACGCTGGCCGTGGCTGAGCGGAGGTGCCCTCTGCCAAACGTCGCTCCAGCTGTCTGTCTGCTCGTCTGTCTTGTGCAGCTTTCTGGTTCCCTGTGCCGCCATCATGTCTCGGAGCCCCCCCGGCAGCCCTGTGGATGACAAGACCTATCTCCTGGAGTACCGATGCCACCCGGTGCGGCCCGAGCCCCCCAGCCCGACCTCCCCCACCATGAAGAGCAGCTGGGCCACGGTGCCCGACACCACCTCACCCTTGGCCACGGGCTCTCCCACCTCGGCCGAGCCCCGCCGCATCGTCCTCAGCACGGACAGCCCGGCCGCACTGAAGGTGGGAACCCAGCAGTTGATCCCCAAAAGCTTGGCCGTCTCCACCAAGACCAAGACCAACCCCTCCCGGCACCAGAGCTTCGGGGCGGCTGGGTCGAACTGGGAGCCCCTGGGCCCTGACCCCAAGCGGGCGTCCGTCCCCGGCCTCTCGCTGGAGGTGGAGGGTGACGGCGGGGGGGCCCTCAAACGCAACCTGAGGAACATGTCCTACCGCGCGGCCATGAAGGGCCTGGGCACGGAGCTGGAGCCGGCGCACGCTGTCCCCTCGCTCAAACCCGTCTCAGAGGAGGGCAGCTCCCAGCCCGCCCGCAGCCCCGGCAGGAACAAGGTTGGTTTTGCACCCGCTGTCACCCGATTGCTCACGGGTAGGGATCGGGCCCCCGCTCTCCCTGATCTGCAGAGCCTTTTTCCTGCAACTCCCGTCGGTTACAGGACCTGGTGACGTGACTTGTGCCTGGGGAAGCCTGCATGTCACCAGCAGATGCTCTGTGTCCCCGGAGAGCCCGGAAATAGCTGACGTGGCTTTTGTGGGGAGTGTTAAGTGGCTGCTCCTGGGCTCCCGCTTGCTGTCAGGACATGTTTGCAGGGCGAGGTTGGCCGGGTGTGCGGCTCCGAGGTGGCGGTTGGTTGTACACAAACATGGGTGAAGCAGGTCTGGAGACAAGGAGACTCCAGTGCAGGCAAAGTCCAGGTGTGAGACAGATAGATGTGAAAGGCAGCGGCGTAACTACAAAACGGTTTTAGATCGTGACCCTGATAACACAAGGTGAAAGCTGAGTCAGTCTGGTAAGGCAAACAAAAGCTCAGAGGAAAATCAGGCTGAAAGAACAGGGTGGTATTTGCTGACTGGCTGTGCAGGTAACTTCTCCCCTTTCCTGGAGGAGCTAAATGCTTCCCAGGGCCACAGAAATACAGTAACTGCAGCGTGTTCTCCTCTTCTTCCCCTCGCAGAGGACCTTTGGGCGGAGGCGGGTGCAGAAGCGTGGCGGCTCGTTCAAGGACCGTGAGTGCTGCCTCCCGAAAGCGCCAGCTCCGGCTTCCCCTCTGCCTCGCGGGGCACCGGGACGCTTCCCAGCGAAGCTCATCCCTCGAAGTCCCTTTGCCACATGTGCTGCTGCTTGGCCCTGGCCTGGGGCAATTGCTTTTCCCTCCGTTTCCCCACCTGCAAGAGGAGCATTGCCGCCCTCCTTTCCAGCTCGCAGCTGGAGCTTTGCTTGCTCTGGGCACACGGGGGAGAGCTTCGGGAAGCTCCTGGGAGCAGGAGCTGCTGGTTAATGGGCACTGTGCAAAGTCCAACCTCGGTGGGGAGGTGCTGGCCCCAGCTCGCCAGCGCTTGTGTCTGGGCTCTTGGCTGGTGGGGTGAGGCGGTGCTGGGAAGGGAAGCCATGAGCCACAGCTGGGAGAGGCTTCGCTGACCTCTTGCCTTTTCCCCTGCAGAGCCCCGGCTGTATCAGGAAATCCGTGAGAGAGGTCTGAACTCCGTCAGCCATGAGTCAGATGAGGATTTGCTGGAGGAATCCATACCAGAAGAGCCGACTATTGTAGTGCAGAGCTATCGCCCGGCACAGGTGACCTGGAGCCAGCTCCCGGAGGTAGGAGCCCCAAGGGTCCGAAAGGTCCCACTCCACAGGCTGCTCCCCAGCTCGTGATGTGTTGCAGCCACGGCTGCGTGTACTTTAAAAGCTCTCTGAGCTGCCAAACAGGCCATGAGTGCATAATTCGGCAGCGCTAGTCTCTGCCATGGGTTGTTCTGGGGCTGTCTGGCCCTGGCTGGGATGTGCAGGTTCCTGCCCAGGCTCGGTGGGGCTGCGGCGGTTTGTGCTTGTGGCGGGGGGTCACCCCCAGACTGGGGCAAGGCAGGGGCTCCTGTGGGGTACTGGGGCTTCAACTGCTGGCCCTGGGGGATGGTAATCTCCTGCCGAGTGGCATCAGCCAACTGCTGCAGGCTGCAGCGGGAGATGCTGCAGTGGGGCGGCTGGTGGGGTGCAAGGGGGTGGTGGGTGCACAGGGATGATGGTTTTGCGGGGCCAGGCAGGGTGTGCAGGGATGGTGGGTGAGCAGGGATGATGGTTTTGTGGGGCTGGGCAGGGTGTGCAGGGATGGTGGGTGCGCAGGGATGATGGTTTTGCAGGGCCAGGCAGGGTGTGCAGGGATGGTGGGTGCGCAGGGATGATGGTTTTGCGGGGCCGGGCACAGCCCCAGACCGCACTAGATGGCGTGCCAGGACCATCGCTCGGCGGCAGAGGCGGCTGCTCCTCCAGCCTCTCGCCCGCAGGTGCTGGAAGCCGGCCTCCTGCAGAGGATATCCCCCGAGGAGCGCAAACGGCAGGAGGTGAGTGGAGCCTTGGCCGTGCCCGGGACTGCAACGTGACCAAAGGCAGCAGGGACACGCGTGGCCGTGGCCGGGCCCCTCTCGCGCAGGGCCAGGCTCAGAGCAAGGCTGGGCTCAGCCTTGGGTTCAGCGCCTGCGTATGGGGTTGGGGGGGGCTGCTTCCAGCAGCTCTGGGGCTGGACGGTATGGGAGGGCTCACCCGTGAGCACGTCTTGGCAGGGAAGCGGGCAGCTCCTTCAGATGCTGATGGCAAATAGCCACTGGAAGGGAAAACATCTTAGTGCTGTGGCTTGGTAATGCCTGCGTGTCCTAAACCACGCTCACATTATTGGTGTAGGCCAGGTGATGCATGAGGTGATACAGGGAATGCTTCACTGCCGGAGCAAAGTTATTTCTATAGCTTCGTGCCAACCAAGTGTAAATAAGCTATAACAAGTTTTACCTCACTGCCTTCTTGAGCCAGTTTGTGCTGTTACATTTTCACTGCCTGGCTTTTCTCAGGCAATGTTTGAGATCATCACTTCCGAGTACTCCTACATGCACAGCCTGAGTGTCCTGGTGTGCCACTTCATGAGGTCGGAGGAGCTGAAGGAGACCATGACTCAGACAGAGCACCACCACCTCTTCTCCAACATCAGCGACATCCTGACTGTCAGCACCGGGCAAGTGGGGGACATGGGCACGGGGTTGGGGCTCTGGAGCCCTGTAAGAATAATCATCCCTTGGGTTGCTGAAGGTACTGAGACATCCCAACCATTGCCCTTCTTCTTAGCGCCTCGTGTCGTGGCACACACCCCTGCAGTGGCTTCCTGCTGCTGCATGCTCAGGACCTGAATAACAAAGTGAAAGATGGTCTGTTGCCCTGACACCCATTTTTTTTTTTTTTTTTTAATGAGTTATAATGGTGGTGCTCAGTTGTGCGGCTGCAGTTGGGCACCAAAAGCCAGTTGAACCCCTCCCCACCCCCATCCCCACGCCTGGGACATTCCTGTTTGCCTAGAAACTCTTCCTCGGGTGTCTCGGGGGTGCCTCCCTTTGCCTCCGGGCTGGTGAGATGGGAATGTGGAACCCCGGCTCCAGCCTGGCTGCGGCCGAAAGCGGGACAACGGGGCGGCCGAGCCGCTGCAGCGAGTGGCTGCTTGTTCCGGAGGCCGGGCCGAAACTGAAACTGCGCCTTCAAAGAGTCAGCGTTCCCTGGGAGGTGGGGAGCAAACTCCCCAGGGGGAGCTGGTGCTTGGGGCGGGTGGCCAGCCGTGTCCGTGTGGGAAAGCAGCCGGAGGAGCGAGGCGTGGGAAATGCTGCGGGGGCAGTGGGGGCTCGTGTTGCCACGGGTGGGCAGGAGCGGCCCCCGTGGGGCACAGACGGGATCCCAGAGAGCTAAAGCGGAGGAGGGGGGTGTGTCTTGTGTGGGAAGGGAGGATGTGTGTGTGTTGGGGAAGCTCGATTCCCCATCGCCGTGATGGAGCTGCTGGGAGCCGCGCTGGAGCCGTGGGTGTATTGGCTGCGTGGAGCTGGCCGGTGCAGGAGGGATCCAGGGCTTCGTCTCCTCCAGGGAAAAGTTGCAGTGGGAGCATTGCGAAACATCTGTCTGTTCGGTTTGTCCGTCCCTAACAAGTCATGTAGTGAAGTTATTTGAAATTCTCTCCTTAGCTTCTTTGAAGACTTAGAGAAGCGCCACCAGGAAAACCTCCTCATTCCCGACATCAGCGACATCGTGGAAGAACACGCCTCGAACCACTTCAATCCTTACGTCAGCTACTGCTCCAACGAAGTCTACCAGCAGAGGACACTTCAGAAGCTGCTGTGAGTATTGCTGAGTGCTCAGGCCTTGGGCTGGCCGAGGAGCTGCCTATGAGGGGTCGGGGCTACGGGGACGTGGACAGGGCAGGCGGGACCATGACCCGCACGTGGCTCCCCCAGCCCGTGGTTGTTTCCTTTGCTCTGAGGAAGGCTGTCTCCTTTCTGAGCAGAGTTTAACTTCTAGACCTCGGTGTGCCTGTGTTGGGGTGATTGGGACGTGGTTGGTGGTGTGCTGTAAGAAGGGTGAAGGACGGGGCTCAGTGGGGGTAGTGCTACCACATACTGAAATCAGATGGGCCGTGCCGAGGGCAGTGATGCCTGTGTGGCGTGTTAGGGACACGTATGGAAGCTGCTCATCTCTGGACCATACTGGTTGTACAGGTCAAGCCTGTGTCTGCTGTTGGTACATCTACAGCTTTACCCGTCTTTTGGTGGGCTCAACGTCTCGGTCCATATTCCAGCCCAGCTGCGCACCCCGAGCTCAGCCCAGCGGCAGGGCTGGCCCCGTGCCGCATTTCTCATGCGAGGGAAGCTGCTGGGAAACCTCGATAACTGAAGAAGAGAGTTAATGGAGCTTTCTTGTCCTGTTCCAGAACCACAAACCCCTTATTTAAAGAGACCTTGAACCAAATTGAAAGGAAACCAGAATGTGGAGGCCTGCCAATGATATCATTTCTCATTCTCCCTATGCAGAGGGTAACACGGCTTCCTCTGCTGTTAGATGTAAGTAAGTCACACAGTGGCGTTGCTTGACGCCTCTGAAGAGGTGATTGTTTTACCCTTCTGTGGTTTTCTGAGCCTGGGACAGCCTTCTGCTTGGACTGCCGTCCCTCTGGTGCTGAGGCTGGGATGCCCAAGCCTGTGTTCAGGATTTAGATCCAGAGCGAGCTGCTTCTTGTGAGTGTCAGAGATGCAGCTTAAAGCTTTGTGAATAATGCTCCATGTCTCAGCAGCATCCACCTGGGTGACATGAGGTTCTCCTGTGCCCCGTGCTGCGTCTGGATACCCAGGGTGGGGTGGCACACATGTCCTCATTGATTAATGATCAGGTGGCCCAGGAAGGGAAAGCAGGTCTTGCACAAGCTTCGTTGAAATTTGGGACTTCTGGACCCAGCTTCCCTAAACAGCAAAGCTGCTGGACGTGGGATTTGTAGTAACTGCTCCCAGTCCGTAATGGGCTGCAGGGGCGAGGGCCAGGGGCTGCCCGGTGCGTGGGGTGACAGTGATGGTCAGGAAAACCCCAGCAGAAACCAGATTCAGAGTTAAACCTTGCTTTGAGCGCGCCCCTGTCCCGCTGCCGGGCTGACCGCGGGGACGGCGCGAGCGTGTGTCGCATCCTGGAGCCCCAGGGCAGCGGCTGAGGTGCAAGTTCTCTGTCTTGCCCTATCACTAAAGCATCTTATCTTGAAATTCTAGACTGTCTGTCAAAAAACAAAAGCATGCACTGCAGCATACGGAGCTGCCACCAGAGCTCTGAAAGCCATCAGCAAGGTGAGGCCCGGCTGCCAGCTCTCCACCTTTCCTCCTTCCAGCTCACTGGTCCATCACCCTGGCCTCAAGCCTGCCATTCTGGCCTCTCATTCTTCCTCCCTGCATCGGTTCACTTGAGGTTTCTCTGCTGCACATAGCTGCGGGATGTACACATCTTCTCCCTTGCTCATCTTTTTCAGCTGATCGTGTTTTTTCTGTTTTCTTGGCATCTTTTCTTCTTTCCTCTTTGGCCCATCTTTTGTCCTTTCCTTCAGTGTCATCTTCTCCATTAGTGCCTTCCCTTCTCAGGACCTCCCTCGAGGTGATAGCAAGCCGCGACACTTATTTGCCACGGTATTTGGCGATTTAGGCAAAGAGCAGTGCACAAAGCAAAGCATAGAGGGGCAAAGGAGCGGCACTCGTGAGCTGCGCTCCCGTGTCTCACCTCCACCTGCTTTCCCATCTGGTAGTCATTCGCACAAAGCAGTGTGCCACAGAGGTGGCGGCCACCGAAGCGGTGGAGGTGGCTCTTTCTTTTGTCCCCTTACAGACGGGCTCTGGGCAACGCACTCCCTCCACCCACAGTCTGTCCCGCTTGGTGCCCCGGTGGGGTATGAAGTGCTCGGTGTCCTGGTGGGGTATGAAGTGCTCGGTGCCCCGGCCAGGCTGCTGGGACAGCCCTTCCCTGGGCTGGGGGGCGGCTGGCAGTGTGTGGGGGGCCCCGGTGCCCACTGGGCAGTGTGAAAGCTGGCGGCGTTTCACCTGCCTTCTGTCCTCCCTTCCATCTGTCTGACTGTTCGCCCTCCTGGCTTAACCTCCTCTCTTCAGATGATTAATTCTTCCTCTTTGTCTTGCCCCCCGGGTGAAGCTTGGTTTTGGTGCCGTTTCACTTTGGTCCTTCTCCAGGCAGAGCAAACGTGCCACCTCTCTCTGCTGGAGATCTCTCGTGGCAGGGGAACCTCCAGCTGCTTTTTCCCAAGCCTGGGCCGAAGCCTGTGCTGGGACTCAGCTGTTTCTCCTGGCTGGGGAAGCAGGGCAGTACTGGTGCCCGACCCTTCACCAGCTGGGGGACGGCTGGGCTCAGCATCCTGCCATTCTCCGCTTCCCTTGTGCTGTTCTCCTTTTTCTAGCTGGTAAAGAGCTGCAATGAGGGAGCTCGTGCTATGGAGAGGACGGAGCAGATGTACACCCTGCAGAAACAGCTGGAATTTGGAAAGAAGAAGGTGAGGCCTTGTAGAAGTGGCAGGGGGGAATCTTCTGGGGTGTGCTCTTAGGGGGGGCCCATCCCAGGGCTGCTAGATCTGTCCTAGGAATCTTTGACCAGCTGGAACATCGCTGCTGCCAGGCACAGCATCATCGCTCTGTGCCCGGGGATGACCATTTTTCCTGCTTTTCTGACTTAAAAACAAGTTTCTGGGCACTCACCCTGCCAGCAGAGTAGTCCTGGATAACCCGCTGTCCTTCACAACCCTTCACCTTATCTTCTGCCTTGCTCTGAGCTTTCACCTCCTGCACACGGGGTGGTAAAAGCTGGACTTGCCCCTGACATGGGGAGTTTTCACCTGGGTGGATCAGCTGGCAGCGTTCTGCCCTCTCTGTCTTGTTCCAGACAGACACGGGGCTTCGTCTGTCTGTCAGGACTGTCCAGCTGTGGGCAGCTTTGTAAAGGGCTGCGGTAAATCCTGGACTTTGTCCCCCACTGCTGTGGTTCGGGGCTGGGGGAGGCTGCTGGAGCAGAGTACACGGCTGCTGCGCTTCCCCACCTGCCTCCTGGAAAAGATGTTTAAAAGTGGGTGATGTGGCCATCCCGACAGACTCCAGGGTCCACTGCGAGTTCAAACACAGCTTCTTGACTTGATTTTTGCCTGCCGCTTGTGAGACAGGTAGTAAGTCAGACTGTCCCCGCATCCATTTCAGCCTTTCCCGCTGATTTCTGCTTCCCGCTGGCTGCTGAAGCGGGGGGAGCTGTACCTGCTGCAGTCGGAGGAGGTGGGCATCTTCCGCCGAGGCGCCGGCAGGCTCTGCTACCTCTTCTTGTTCAACGACGTCCTCATCATAACCAAGAAGAAGAGGTAAGGCTCAGGGGAGGCAGGGGGAAAAAAACTAGGGGGATTAAAAATCTCAATTTCGCAAGTAGCCTAAGAAATTCTTGAGATTTCCCCGTTTTGACTTTTACTGAAGTGTCCCACGTTAGCCAGGAGGGAAGCGCCCAGCTCCCCAGCCCTTGGCCTCGCCTCTGGCTGCGGGTGGCCGGCGAGTCCGCGGAGCCGTGTCCCTCCCCTCGGGGCAGCACCTCGGTGATGCCGCCTGAACTGGATGTGCCGGGAGGCAGCTTGGTCCCCGCCGGCGGCTTGAGGTGCCAATCCCGTCTTTGCCGCAGCGAGGAGAGCTACACCGTCATGAACTATGCCACGCTGGATCAGGTCACGGTGGAGAAGGTCGAGAGCGCGGACCCGCCTTCCCCTCCTCCCGGCAAAACCGGGAGCGGCGGGCATCTGCTGCGGGTGGTGATGGAGAAGGACAGCGAGGGCCGGCGGGAGGAGGTCGTGCTGTCGGCAGAGACGCTGTGAGTGGCCCGCCGGGATCTCACGGGTTTGCACCTTCTTGCTTGTGGGATAAACTGGTGCCCTGGAAATCCCCCTGAGGCTTCTGTGAAGCACCCTTTCCCTCCCCGCTCCTCCTCCCAGAACAGGAGGCCTGCTCAGGCTTCTCTCCTTGCTCTGCTTCTTTTTTTTCTCTCCGATTTCCCTTATAATGCTTCCCCTGTCCAAATTAAGCCAAGCGGCTGGGTGGTGTGTACCACATGTGAAGCGCCTTTACATTAAATGCTCTGCTCAAGTGCTTGTCCAGTCTGTATCCCCTTGAAAGCCTTCCTCCTGCTGGGAGTTCCCCAGCTACTGCCCACAGCACAAGAGCTGTCTCTAAGGCTTTATTTGCAATAAGGGCTTTCACCCTGCCAGGAGCGACCGGGCCCGCTGGATCGCTGCACTGATGCACAGAGAAAAGGAAAAGCCTGACACCACTCCTAAAGGAGGTACGGGCATGCTGGAGGGCAGGCCTGGCTGGGCGGGGGTTAGCGGCTGCGTTCGAGCCTGAGCATTTGCAGATCCAGGTTTCTACCCTGTTCTTACCCGCTCCTGCTGGGGAAGGAGCTGGGGACATGTGTCGATGGAGATGAGAACTCGGGGCACCGCGCCTTGCTCGTTAGGAGTTGCCTCCCATTAAATTATCAGTCACAATAAACCTTAAATACATTCCCTAGGAGGCACAGTGAAATTCCAGGAATGCCTCTGTAAGAAAAGATTTGGCTTTCCCCCTCCCCATGTGCTTGTGGGGGGCAGCAGGAGAGGGGCAGGGACAGGACGGGAACAGGGCACAACTTGCCGCGGAGCCCCAGCGGGGTGGGCACAAGGCTGGGCTGGGGCAGTTCGCCCAGTCCCAGGGCGGGGGGCACTGCTGGACAGGGGTAGTGGGCTGTGGCTCCAGGCCATCCCCTCTCCCCGGGTCCCTGCTGTCCTCTGCAGATCTGAGCCAGGTGGAGATAACCCGTGCCTACCTGGCTAAACAGGCGGATGAGATTTCCCTGCAGCAGGCTGACGTTGTGCTGGTGTTGGGTGGAGAGGACGGTAAGTGTCAGCGAGCGGGGGGGCCGAGGCCAGGGCAGGAGCTGTGGAGGTGGGGGAAAGCTTCAGTGACCCTGGTGAACTGGGATTTTAACAATTTTCAGGAGCTTCCAGGAAGCTCTGGCTGCTGGTGGGGTCTGTGTTGATGGCTGGTGCTGTGTCCCAGCAGACGACAGCGGGTCCCCGGGAGGGTGATGGAGGTGGCACTGCCACCAGTGACTCCTGGGCACAGGCTGTGGCTGGCGCCCGCAGCAGAAACCTCAGAAATGAGAGAATTAAACCCCAGAACAGGCAGTAAATCAGGAAAAAAAAAACCCCTGCAAAGCTTTCCCTGGGCACCTCTAGCTGGCACCTCGGTGGGGAGCAGTGCAGCCCTCTCCTTTCCACGCGCATCCCCAGCAGCCGCGGTCCTTCCTCGCCTGACCAGCTTCTGTTCTTCTCCTAGGCTGGTGCTGGGGCGAGAGGCTCAGGGATGGTGAAAGGGGCTGGTTCCCCCAGTCCTGCGCTCGGCAGATCACCAGCCGCACTGCGGTGGAGGGCAATGTCCGCCGGATGGAGCGGCTGCGGATAGAGACCGACGTCTAGGCTCACAGCCTCTGCCGTGACTTATTTCAGGCGTCTTCAGACCTCTGCGGACTGAGCCCATAGCGAGAAGGCAGCGGGAGAGCCTTGCTGCTTGAATTTCGTTTGTCTTGAGCAGTCACGGGCGGCAGATCTTATCATTCAGGACCGGTCTTTGTAGCGGCCGTGGCAGCAGCTAATTCATGTGAGACCTGGCATCCGAGCGCTCCTGGCCAGCACTAATATTAATGACCTGGAACAGGCTTCAAGAGGCAGCCGAGGTGGTGGCTCAAGTTGAAGAGGCTGCGGCTGCCATCTGGGCTCTGTGAAGCAGCTGGTGCTGCCGTCTCCTTCCCTGCCGGCGTTGGGGCCAGGGCCGCGGCTGCCCACCTTCTGTGGGGCACAGGGAGAGCATACCTGAATTGAGAATCTTTAGGAACTTAAATGTATATACTAGGCTTATTCCTCAACCCCCATTTTTCCCTCCTGTTTTGGTTTATTTTTTCTACTTTTTTTTTTTTTTTTTTTTGTCCTTCCCTGCCCCCAGTTATTCCTGGCTCTCCAGAGCAGGGCAGTGCCCACCCCCTTCCAGCCACTTGCTAAATTAGCAGATGACGGTGGTGGGTGCAGTCGGAATCGTTCTCACGGGGCCAGAAACGGGATGCTCCAGCCAGGGGGAAGCAATTTGCAAGTCCTGCTGGCCGAGCAAGCCAGGAGCAGGAAGAGGAGCCGTGCTGCAGCTCCCGGCTGCCTCTCCCAACTCCGGCGGGGGGCAAGCAGAGGTGCCAGGAACAAAGAGGGGGTTCAGCCCCCCCTCCCCGGAGAGGGACATAGTCATGGAGGGTCAAAGCTCAGCCCTTCCCGAGGCAGAGCGGCCCCTTCTCCTCCCCTTCTCCCCCAGAATTAGCACCACCAAGGGATTAAGGAAGAGGGCTGAGCCAGGGTAGTTCTTTGGTCGCAGCAGAGCCGTTTGCACCAGGGTTTTTTTTCATGAGCGGGCTGTTAAATGCCGTAGGGGTGATGCTCAGCCCCTCGCACCTCGTGGAGGGGAAACAGCCGCTCCGATCCAGGCACTGCCTGGCTTTGCATTCACAGGGGCACCACTGTTGTACCGCGTCTGTTTTGATTAAACGGTTAAAGGATTAATTGGATTAACAATAAATTCTTGGATCCCACTGAAACGCGTGTTTTCCTTGCCCAGACGAGGACGGCACACACTGTCAGCACCAGCGGGTCCCTGTGTGTAACCTGTTAGTAGTGATGGGTGGCCCTGAGCACGACAGCTCCGTGCAGAATCAACGCTGAGGAGCCAGGTTTCCCCACTATGAGCTCTAGAAAGAAAACTTCGTTCTGCTGGCAGCATAATTCTGGCCTCTGCTTGTCTTCGACATACAGCCACGATGGGAAGCAGCCTTGAGAATAGCTGCCTGAAAATCTGCGGTCAGCTGCATTTCAAGTGTAATTGACTGAGCGAGACAAGATAAATAAAAATTCAGTGAGGCTTTCTGTTTATTTCTCCTAACTGTGGAAGAATTAAAATTGTTCATCGGTGCTGAATTAGAGGAGATGAGATCCAAAAAGAGCAACACTAGCTACATGAAAAGAGGAGGCAAACAGATTGTATTAAGAAATATGAACAGGAAAAAAGAATCATGGTATTAAAAAATACAGGTACAGAGTTGCTACAGTGCCGTGCTCAGGCGCAGGGCTGGCAGCGGCTGCGGCCGGGCTCCGGGTGCCGGTGGCTCTGCCGGGCCGTGGCCCCGCGGCACAGTCGCCCGCTGGCCCCCGGCTCTGTCGGCTGCTCCCGCCCGGGGGGGCACCGCGGCCCCCGGCTCTGCACCTCAGGGCTGGGGGACAGGCGGCACGGTGGCATCGCTGGCTGGCACGGTGACATTGCTCGCCAGCACAGTGGTGTCCCTGGCTGGCATGGTGATATCGCTGGCTGGCACGGTGACATCACTCACCAGCATGATGACATCACAGCCCGGCACGCTGGCATCCCTGGCTGGCACAGTGACATCCCTGCTCAGCCCCAGCTGCCCCGTGGGGCCCAGATGTCTCTCCGTCTGTCCGTCTCTCCGTCGCTCCGTCCGGCCCGTGGCTGCCCGCTCCCCTGGCTCGCGGGGCGGGGGGCCGGCTGTGCGGCACGGGGGGGCTCTCGCCCGCTGGCCGAGGCGGCGGTGGCTTCCTGAGCGGCCGAGGAACGGCCCAGAACCCTTCGGCTGCCGCGGCTTCGAGGGCGCTCGGAGGCAAAGGCAACAACCCGGCTGATTGTCTGGAGAAGCGGCAGCGAGACCGGCGGGACTGGCCGGGGGCATTTGGCACATGGACAAAAGCTTCCTACTCCCTGGTTATCAATTGTACAACATACAGCCTTAACGACACCATTTTGGTCCTTCACTACATACTTATATTAACATTATTTCTTCACAATAATGATATCTAATGCAAAAAATACTGTTAAGGAAGAAATAAAATAGGAAAAGAATTAGCAAACAATTACAAGTTATATACAGATTAAAATAAATTCCATCAGGAAAAGAAACAATTCTTTTATTATTTTCCGTTGGCCCCTGTGGCAATAATTTAAAGGCCAAGCGCCTGGGCAGGGCTGTGCTGCAGCAGCAGCAGCAGAGGCAGATGTGCCAGGACGGGGACGTCCCCTCTCCTTGGCAGAGCCTGGGTTCTTTTGACGTTGTCAGCTCTCGGGCTCTATTTCCCCCAGAGCTTTGTGCAAACAGGTGCAGGTCCTGGCTTGGGCAGGCTGCTGATGCCAAGCCCCTGGCCCTCCCTGGGGCCATGGTGGTCCCTTTGCCGTGGCTTGACTCTCACCACCGAGCGCAGCCCCCTCCTGCCTCCAGCCCCTCCCCAGCTCCTGGGTCAGCTGGGACAGGAAAATGATGCACGGTCCAGGGCTGGGGCGAGAACACGTGAATAAGGATTTGCATTTACCAGGCCATGCAAGAGCTTTGAATCTAACCCCACCGCATCTTTGATTCTTCCACTTCATTTAGGTTTAATTTTCCCTGGAGCAAACGACATGGGAAGCTCGAGTGGGGTGCCCTCCTCCTGCTGTGAAAAAACAGCTCCCAACCCCCTGCAAAGCTGGGCAAGAGCAGCTGGTGCTCTCAGCAAGGGAAAGCAACCCCGGGGCATTTGGCTGGTGCTGGCAGTGAGGGTCAGGCTGCAGGCACCAGCTCTGCAGAGGTGCTGTGGTAAGCGCTGGAGCCCCCCCCAGCAAGTGATAATTTACAGTAAAAGACCATTGCAAAGTCAAATTAAAAATAAAAATTCAAGTGAGGTGGTACTTTACAGGAGGAATGATCTCAGGAGAGCTGGGGACGTCCAGCCATCAGTTCTGGCAACACTGTTGTACAGCTTCCCATAAATACTGTTGCATAAATACCTATTTTGGACCATAATTTCAGCCCCCTCCCCTAGCCCAGCACCCAAAAGATGAAGGCTGGCCATTTGCCACGAGCTGTCCAAGTTTGCTGACCATAAGCAATTGCTTCTGAACTGGTCTGTCTGGGCGCCGGTCTCGGGGCACTTGTCCACGCAGCGTGTCCGGAGCCCAGCCCACACCGTCACGGTGGCCCGGTCACACTCGGGGCTTCGGCCTCGCTCGGACAACCCCGAAAGCAGCAGCTCGTGTGGCTTGTAGACAAGTTTGTTAAGGAGGTCGTTGGCTTCTTCGGGTGGCTGCTTGGTCACACCGAGGGAGCGCTTGCAGCGGCGGCAGGACCTAGTGCTCGACCAGTGGGGACCCGGTGGGGGCCGGGGGCTGCGCGGCTGGAAGGGAACCCGGGACAGGTCAGCCCTGGCGGGGTGCAACAGGTCACTGGTCGGGGCAGGTGGGGGGTCTGTTACTGACCTGGGAGCAAAGGGGGGTGCTCAGCCGAGGGCAGGCAAGGCGGCCCACCTGCAAAGCAAGTCAGAGCACCCTGCCACCCATCCCCGCAGCAGCGCGGGGCAGCCGGCGTCACGCGTGGTGGGGTGGGTGTCCCACCTTGGTGGGTGCACAGGGTCATTTTGTTCCAGCGTGCTCAGAAAAGAGCGGGCTTTGTGTGCCGGCTCTACCACAGGCACGTTTGGGGTTACTAAACAGCTTTATTCACACAGCACTGGCAGCATGCAGCCTGCGTGTTCATAAAACCTCCCTCAGGGCTGGGGTGGAACAAATCCGACCAAGAGAGGGACTTGGGAAGAGGCAGGTGCTCCACTATTTAACTGGGTTTAGTTGATAGTACCGACTGCTCCCAAAACCAACCCACCAGGGCGTGAGCACGGGTGCTGCAGCATCCCTCCACATCAACTGCTTTCGTGTCAGGATTCCCCCACCGTGCGTGCCCGGTGGTACTCGCTGCGGCACGGCGCCGATACGTTACCTTCCCGACACGTCGGTCCCATGAACCCGTTCAGACAGAGGCACTGGCCGTTCTGGGCGTTACAGTAGGAGCTGCCGGCGGCACACTGGCAGGCCAGGCTGCAGTCTGGGCCGTACTGGGTGGGTTGGCAGTCTGGTGAGGGGGGCAGAGAGGTGCTTAGCCCGCTTCCGTGCCCCAGCAGAAATGCTCAGGCACTTCCCGCTGTGCAGAGGAGGCTGAGCCCAAGATAAGGCTGAGAATGTTCTGCCTTCCGCCCTACCCCAGCCTGCTCTTGAGCTCTGGTAACATCAGAGCATCCCAAGGCCAACAAAGATGGCCCTTCTGCATTTGGTCCTCAGCCTTTTGACTCTGATGATCTAGATACAAAGGGCCCTGGAGGCTGGGGAAGCATTTGCACTCAGATCTGCCTACAAATAGAGGCTGGAGCAGCACCTACCACTGTTCAGATGGCCTCTTACTCTTTGAGGGGACACACACAAAAAAGGGAAGCCCCCTTCCGTGAGAATTCAGCTCCAACAAGAGGGGGTTTGCACGCATTTTAGGACTGGGCTTCTAGCCTAGTGCCCCTCTTGCCTGGTCACCTTCCTCACCTTCCCAAGCCGTGGCTCAACTCACCTGACCCGCACTTGAGGCCAGTTTTCCCGGGGGGACAGAGGCAGCGCCCCGTGGCTGGGTCGCAGGGCGTGTTGCCGACACAGTCACAGAGCTGCTGGCACCCCTCGCCGTACGTTCCTTCCTTGCAGCCTGCGTTGGGATACGAGCTAACGAGGCTGCGGGCCAGACACCCGCCTGCTTCCAGGGGAGCCGGGGGAGGTCGGGGTACCTGTCTGGCAGCGCTCGCCACCGAGCCCCGCGGGACACTGGCAGCGGCCGGTGGCTGGGTCACAGCCTGCTCCGTGCTCGCAGTCGCAGCGCTGCCGGCAGCCGGCTCCGTGGAAACCCGGGGGACAACCTGGGGTGGAGCCGAGTGGGGAGCTCATTAAAATCCCAGGTGGGTTGCACTCAGGCTCAGCTGCAGCCCCTGCAGCAAAGCCTCTGCCAGCCCACCAGAGAGAAGCCTTTCCCTGGGGAAGTGCCCGCACGCATGCCCATCCATCCCAGTGGCCCCGGGCAGGGCTACCAGTTTCCCGCAGCGAGCCCGGGCTGCAGAGCGCAGCGGTTCCACTCCGAAGTGTTTGCTCGGCTACCCAGGACGGAGCTGCTGTGGTTTCATGCTGAGAACAGAAATTACCTTCTCTGAGGCTGCTTCTGCTACCGGGGAAGGGTTCGGCTGTGACCGCTAAGAAAGGAAGAGCCGGTGCACACAGCCACGCGTGCGACTGCAGTGGGTCACACCTTGGTGTCCTGCTCTCGGGATGAGGTTTAGAGAACACCCTCCCCCTGGCAAAGCCAAAGGTGTTTCGCCACCACGACTCACTGTGTTCGCAGAGGGGCCCGTAGCGGCCCGCGGGGCAGCGGCAGGCTCCCGTCCTCAGGTCGCAGGTGGCATTGTGCAGGCAGGCGCAGCGGAGCTGGCAGTCAGCACCGTACCTTCCCGGCGGGCATTCTGCGGGAAAGAGGCAGCGGCAGAGCTGCTCAGCGGCTGGGGAGCCGGCCCCGGCCCCGCTCCCACACTTCAGAGGGCCGAGACATGGTCAGGCAGAACCTGACTGTCACAGGTGGGGAGAACAGCAACCGGACCCAGTATGAACCAGACTGAGTGAGCTCCACGGTTACTGGGCCAGCGCATGACAACGCATCCAAGTCAGGTTTACCTAATTCGCAGGATTTCCCCGTCCACCCGAGCGCGCAGGAGCAGGAGCCGTTGGCTGTGTCGCACAGCCCGCCGTTGCGGCAGGAGCAGGTCTGCCGGCAGCCCAGCCCATACCGGTGCTTCTCGCAGCCTGGGGACCAGAGGAGGTGGCACCGGACCGCGGCACGGTTCGGGCAGAGCGCCCGAGCACAGGCAGAGGACTCGGGACAAAGGAATCCGTTCCCACTCAGGACCTTTTCCAGCCCACTGCCCGAAATGCCCGCTTGACCCGACGCACGACCCTGCAGCTAATATTTACCTTGCTCGCAGGTGGGACCAGCCCTGCCGGGAGGGCAAACACAGTCTCCGGTGACAGGGTGACAGGCAGCCCCTTCCCCACAGGAGCACAGCCGTGCACAGTCCTTGCCATAGCGACCAGCAGGACAGCCTGGCGGGAGAAAGCCAGAGCTTAGCCAGAGCTATCCCACCCTTCAGTGCAAGACTTTTTTTTTCCCTTTTTATTTTAAGCCAGGAGGTAGGTAGCCTTTTTATGACAGGAAAGAGTCTGCAATGGCACATGAGCAAAGTGATGGGGAGGCAGGAGGAGGCTGCAGCTCCCCTCGTTAGCAGGGAAAGAGCTTTTAGGTTTCCTTCTGCTAGAGAAGCATTTTTAGCAGTGATCCAGCAATGCGGGGCTGGCATGGTGCAAAGGCTGCTGTGTCAGAGCGAAGCAAACCATTCTGGCGTTAAAACGAATGAGGTAAGAAGACTTTTCCGTGGTTAAGACAGACAGCAAAGGAGCTCAGCTGCAGCTGCACTCCCACAGCAAGGCTGGCACCATGCACGCCAGCCCCGAGGGCACTGCTGGCAGCGCAGCTCGAGGCGAGAGGCCCGGGGCTCTGCGGCTGCGGGGCCGCTGGGACGCTGCTCGGCCGGCCAGCAACCCGGCTGTGCCTGGGATTTGCACCCACCACCGTTCACCTCCTGCTGAGGAAACCCCTCCACGAGCTCGCGGCCCCGCCGGCGGCCCCGGGCGCTCACCCACGCCGCAGTCAGCGCCGATGTAGCCAGCCGGGCAGTGGCACGTCCCCGTGGTAATGTCACACAGGCCCCCGTTCCGGCACTTGCACGGCCTTTCGCAGTTATGGCCGTACCACCCAGGGGAGCACTCTGCAGGGAAAAAACAAAACAAAACAAAAAACAAAAACAAAAAACAAAACACCAAAAAACAATGGCCTCAGCGCCTAAAAAGATGACAAGAAGGTCCAAACACCCTGGGAAAATCCACCATTTCATCAGGGAGGAAGCCAAGAGCTCTGCTGGAAGTGAGTTTGTGCCAGGCTGGCACAGTTGATGGGTTTCTGTAGCACAGAGCTGCTCTGAAGCTCTTACGAGTCATCCAGCTACAGCAACGCGCCCAGGGGTGCAACTCACACACGTGCATCCCGTCCATGATCTGGTTGTGTCAGGTGTGACCCAAATAGCACGGACAACGCAAGCTCCTGCAAGCCAGGCACACACTGAAGTGCAGGAATGCGACTGCTGCTCCAAGGCACCAGCGCTTCAACCAGAGCCAAAGAAAAGGCCAAAAAGCACCTTTAGGTAATCTCATGGCAAACAAGTAACAACGCCAAGGAGCTTTGGCCTCTCCAGAACCTCTCTGCTGATGGTATCGCTGGTAAATATTCCACAATTCAAAAGGAAAATGGCAAAAAGCTGGCCTGAGCGCAGATGAGGATGGTGTTTCGTTTACATGAACTTCTACTTGGAAATTAGTCAGCGAGAGACACCGCAGAGGTCAGAGGCTCTTGTTTCTGTGCAGGGACAGGCTTGGGCAGGGGGGCAAGAAAACACTTGCCTGGAGAGACTCAGATCCCGAGGTGTAAGAGTTGGGCAACGGTTAAGAACAGGCTGAGAAAAGACCTCAGCCACGCTGGTGAGGACAAAGGCAACCATGGCAAGGAACCAGGGGGGACCACCCATCAGAGCCTGGCTTCCAAGCTGCTCCAGTGGCCAGCCCAGCCACCGGCGATCCCGGCAGCGATCCCGGTAGAGATCCCGGCGATCCCAGCCCTTCCGGATGGAGCGAAGCCTGGGGCAGCATCCTGCAAAGGTGCGCGAAGCAGCGGAGGAGCGGGACACGCACTCACCCAGCTGGCAGGAGGGGCCGCGGAAGCCGGGGGCGCAGACGCACGCCCCGGTGACAGGGTGACACTCCTGGGTGGCTCCGGCACACTGGCAGATCTGGGCACAACCCGCACCGAAGGTCCCTGGCAGACAGACTGTCGGGAGAGAGGGCACCAAGGTCACTCAGATTTGCTTAGCTAGAGCCATCCCACCCCTTGGTGCAAGACGTTTTGGTTTTTTTTTTTTTTCCCTTTTTACTTGATGCCAGGATCTAGGAAGCCTTTTGATGACAGTGAAAATTCTCTGGCACCCAAAAAGCAAAGCGAGCCGCACGCATATGGTTCCTTGACTCCAGGAAAGGCTTGGATTGAAAAGAAAAGTGAGTACTTAAAGGCATTTGATGCCTTTTGCAACACTAGCCCTACCTACCCTCATATTCCCACAAGCTTCCATCCCCACACACACAGACATCGCAAATACACCCCTGTTCTCAGGGTAAGGAATGTGCTCACATGCCTCTGTCTCTTCCAGACTTGCTCATACCCACAGGAGCTCATTTTAATACTGATTTATTGCTAATCCTCTGGATAAATACATCACTCTGCTTTCCCACTTGGCTCCTTGTGCTTTGCTAACATTCTGCGGGCATGTACCCAGCTGCCAAAATGTGAGTTGCTCCTTGGCACATCTCACTGTTGGGTTTTTTTTCCCTTGTCTTTTTTTTTTTTTTTTTTTTTTTTTTTTCCCATTTTATGTAGCAATTGCTTGACCCGTCATGTTTCCAGAGCCTGTCAGCAGGACTGTAAGAGGATCACTCCCTTCTTCGTACTTTTTTCACAGCCAGAGCCCGTGAAGCCCGGCGGGCAGCCGCACCGGCCGGTGATGTGATCGCAGGGCACTCCCAGGGGACAGGCGCAGCGCCCGGCACAGTCCTTCCCGAAGGAACCCGGCAGGCAGGCTGTGGGGAAACAAGGAAGGAGATGTAATCTTGACTGGCTTTGGAATTATTAATGCCTGAAAGGCCTTAGAGCCTAAAGGCTGGCTTCTGCTGCCGGCGGTGCTGATCCAGGGCCCTGCCGTAGCAGCCAGCGAGGCAGCAAGTCTTGCAGCAGCCCAAAAGTCTCTTTCAGGGCGCAGGCTGTCAGCTCCTCAAAACATTTTCCACAACTTGTAACTCTTATTAAAATGGAAATTTGTCTCCTTTGGAGCCTCGGTTTCCCCTGTGCTGCCAGAGGGATCTGTCTCACCTTTCTCACAGCGCCGGCCCCTCCAGCCACGGGGACAGTCGCAAGCGCCGGTAACGTGATGGCACGACACGTTGTCCCCACAGTCGCAGGGCTCTTCACAGCGTGCCCCGAACAGCCCCTCTGGACAAGCTGCAGAGGCACAAACACGGGAGAGGCGACAAGTTAGACAGAAAAGGTGACGTGGGGTGTTTCTCACTGCGGTTTCCATAGGCACACGCTTCGCTTTATTTATGTGCCTTTATTCCTGCCATGCCAGAGCGGTGCTGTGACAAGACCGGTGGCCCCTGCCAGCCCATGAAGGTCTGGCACCATTCTGGCACCATTCTGACACGTGGCTGGAGCTACTGACCCCTCTCCCCTTGGGTTCGGAGGGGATGGGCAGCGCCAGCCCGGCAGCGCGGGGACCCGCAGTCCCGCTCTCGCCCCACGGCACGTACGGCGTGGGGAATCCAAACGCCAGACATGCAGGAGCGTGAGCGTCCCGGCAGCATCACCGGGCAAATCTGCTCGGGGTACATGAGCTGGCGGTCACCTACCCCAGGGTGAAAGCCTTTTTTAACTGCGCCACATGTTTTTGGAAGGGTTATTCCTGTCACTCTTTAATGAGAGCCGGGTGCCAGCATGGTATTATTTTCAAGCAGTCGTTTAGTTTTGCTGCTTCTTCTGTTGTCACAGAAGCTCCTGGTTGCTAAAGCAGCTGCAAAACAGTGTGTGCAGTACCAGGATTATGCAGCAGTTAGCACTGCAGACGCAAAATCTACGAACCCAATCTTCACTTCTGCCTCATGAATGAATGCAAAAAAACAATCAGTAAGTCTCTGTACAACTGTCGAAACAGGTTGCTTGTCCATGCAAGGGCCAGGTTTGTACGTGCAGCTGTGGTGAGAGTGTGGCTGCACCGTGCACAGCTGGGCGGATATTTGCACATACATGCAGTCTGAAATACAGCTCCGTGGGAAGCCAAGGAGAGAATTCTAGCTTTTGGGTTTGTTTTGGTTTTTTTTTTTTTTAAAATCATATAATTTGTGAATTTGTGGGTGTTTTTTTTTAATTTGTTTCTGTTGAAAGAAATTATAAAAGTGAGCCTGCGTTGTAAGCTCAGTGCAGGCAACTGCGGGCAGGGTGAGGCAGGAAAGTCCCCTGGGTCTGGTGGCCAGAACCACAGGGCACCAGGAAGCCAAACCCCACCTCCCCAAACGCCCGTCCTTTGTAACCTCCACTCTGGCAGCTTAATGCTGCTGCGTGACGGGGGAGCCTCGCTGCCGGGCGGTTCTAGGTGTGGGGCTTTGGGAGTGGGGGATACGATGCTGGGAGGGGACGACGTGCCGGAGGACGTGGGAGAATCCGGCTGCTCTCCCTCGGCCGGAGAGCTGAGCTGCGGGTTTGGCTTTGGCCAAGTCTCAGCTGCCAGCCGAGCTGTTTTACAGCCTCTGCAAATGGAGACGTTCCCGGGCAGGAAACCTGAGAGCACTTCGGGGTGGCCGATGCAGAAATAGCTGCAGTGGGCAGCTCCCCTGTGCCCAGGCTTCTGATGACAAGTAATGGCATCGGACTAGGACCTGCTTTTTGCACTGTAATGTAAGGAATATGCCAGGCTGCGGGGCCGCAACCCCTGAAAGGGAAGAAGCTTGTGGATCTCTTCTGGGTGTGCTGATACTCGATGAAGTCCCTGTTGCTGCTCTTAATAAGGCCAATAGCCTTTTTAATACTTCCTCATAGCAAAGGGGTTGCCAGGGTACGTGTTACATTTAAAGACAGGGTGAACACAGAAGCTGCCGAATGACAGATGTAATCATTTGCTGGGGCTTAGGACTGAAACCAAGCATTTAGGGTCAGTGTGATCAGGCCAGATCAGGGAAGAGTAGCAGAAAGAATGGAAAGGTGATGATCTTCTGTTACTCTTAAAATAAATGGAACAGAAGACTTGGCATTTTGCTTTCAGTGCAGGTAGTGGGGTGAGGGGGTGGATTACTGCCCTGCCTTGCAACCCTGCAGCTTTGCAGCAATGCCTGGGGGGGCCTGTGGGGACCCTGGCCCTCTCCCCCCAGCACCACTGCTGTGGCCCCTGCAGACACCATCGGGAGAGCAGAAAGCACAGTGGTGGGCAAAGCCAGGGCCGGCAGCCAGAATCACGGCACCTGTGAGCTCTCTCCGCGGTGCCAGAATTCAGATTTTTCAGGTCCTGGCTTACAAACCCCCTGCTCCCCGGGGACCCCCTGTGCAGCAGCAGGGCGCGGGTGCAGCGTGTGATCCCCACGGTCATCCCCCACCCCCCCACACACACACACCCTCCCCGTGCCCCCCACTTACGTCTCTCGCACTTCTCGCCCGTCCACCCGGGCTGGCAGAGGCAGTGGCCGCTCCGGCGGTCGCAGAGCCCCCCGGGGTGGCACTCGCAGCGCTGCCGGCAGTCTGCCCCGTGCTGGCCCTGCGCACACTCTGCGAGGAGGCACAGGGTGAACGGCCGCCCCGGCACCCACCGCCCCGAGGGAGGACCCCCAAACCCTCCCTCATGGGTGCACACCCCTCTCCCCGCCTCAGCCTGCAGAGGAAAACGAGTCCAAAATGGGACACGTTTGTGCCAGAGCCCGTTTCTCAGCGCTGTTACTCACCCAGCTCGCAGGCCAGCCCCGTCCACCCCTCGGGGCAAGTGCAGAGCCCTGTGGCGGGGTCACACGTGCCGTCGTTTTGGCAGAGGCAGCGCTGGCGGCAGCTCCTCCCGTAGAAACCCACCGGGCACGCTGCGGGAAAAGCCCAGTCAGTAAACAGTTCTGAAGGCAAACGCTGTGCCCCTGGTAGCCTGCCAGAGCTATCGGTGGGCAGCCTGGCATAGAAACGAAGCCACTATTGCTTGCAGGGAGAAGAGTCAATGACACCCTGCCCACATAAAGACATTTGGTATTTTAACCTGCTCGGGTAAGAGGCAGTGATGACACAGGGCACTGGGTACCTGACCTCTTTAGAGCCTTCTTAGCTCTGCAAATACACAAAAGAAAAAAGGTTGGGTGAGTTCAGCAGCCAGGAGAGACGCTCAGTTGGGAGCCAACACCTTCAGTCCTGGGCAGCAGAACATCCTCCTCTCCTCCACCCAGAGAGTGCCAGTGCTTGGCAGAGACAAAAAGCCATTTAAGCACATGAATAACTGTTCCCATGCGCACAGTTTCACTGAGCTGTGCCTAGAGGCACTGCCGACTTGGTGTCTGAATGCTCAGTGCAGTGGACGAGCAAGACTTTACTCTGTGTGCTGCTACGAAACTGCAAGCCAGAGCACTTTCTGGGGCTCTTGGAGAAGGGAACCTCTTGGCTTCTCTCTTTGTGAATGAATCCAGAAGCGCTGCACACCTAAGTACGATTGTAGTTGCAATCTGGCCTTGCAGGCACACTGTCTCAGCTTTTTTGAAGCTGCTGCCCCATTGAAAACTCCGACCTGCCCTGAGAAACAGCATCCTAAATGCACGCTGGCAGCGGGAGCGGGGTGCCTGGGTTAGGAAGTGACCGTACGGTGCGTCACCTTGCTGGCACGTGGGTCCCGTCCACCCGGCAGCACAGAGGCATCGGCCGCTGACGGGGTTGCAGGTAGCGTTGTTGAAACAGTCGCACGTCTGGCTGCAGTTCTCGCCGTACCTGTTCTCCCGGCACGCTTCGTGGGAGCAGAAGCAGGCACAACTGTTAGGTAGCAGGTATGAATCGCATCAGCCAGACTCCTACTAACCATCCCCAAGGCACTGGTCTGGGAGAGGGACCAACACTGGTGAGTGGCTGCTTTGGGCAGCTGTGTAAGATGGGCTTTATGGAGCTATGGGGAAATGACAGCTGGATTCTACAGGTGGCTGACACCCAAACACGGACACTGCTGTTATCGTCAATGTTATGTCATTTTATCTGTGGAAACTGTTTTGCTGGATGCTCAAGACCTCATTACATTCAACAACAATGTGCTCAGCCAGTCCCCCCCTCCAGTCCCTCTCCGCAACCAAATAGTTCTTTGCTGCACAGAGTTAACCTCCACGCAGAGAAAATCACATGTGGAGAACAGACACCCAAATCTCCAGCCTCTACAAGTTAGCAGCGCAAGAGATGGTGAGGGCTCTGGAGTGACTCACGAAGGGCTGCCCCTGCCTGGCTCCAGCCCATCCAAACCCTCCCCAGCCCACCCCAGCCCACCCCCAGCCGCAGTGGGTGGGTGCCAGGCTGCAGTCACACCTACCCTGGCCACAGCGGGGGCCGTCCCAGCCAGGGGGACAGTGGCACTGGCCCGTTACATGGTCACAGCGGGCACCGTTCAGGCAGTTGCAAGCTTCCCGGCACTCCAGTCCATAAAATCCATCAGGACAGGCTGCAGAAAACAAAGGAGAAATCCCCCCAAAGTGCCTACGCAGAGGGCTGAAAATCTCCCAGCAAAGGAGACGTCTCTCTTGGTGTCCTCTTTTGCTGACAAAGTGCCATCCCACTGTGACAGCCACCCGTTAGTGGCTCTCGCCCTGGCAGGGAAGCAGAATAGTGGCTGCATGTCCATTGTGGACGGTCAAGGTACCTGACAAAGCTGCGGTGGCTCAGGAGAGCAACGGCATCGGGATCCTGACCACCAAGAGACTGAACAGGGAGGGGGGAAACGAGCACCCTGCACCCGGGGACCCCTCTGAGAGGCTGCTCCGAGACTCCTGTGCAACGTGTGTGAACACACAGGCGGCCAAGGCAGCTCTGCATTTACTCCTTGTTTACATTTTGTTAGTCTGTTGTGTTGTATTTTGTTTTTTGTTGCTTTTTTTTTTTCCTAGCCCTTTTCCCTTCAGAATTAAAACCAGAGTCTTAGCGGCTTGTGGACATGCGGTTTTCCCCATCACCATCCTGAGGGATTCTCTTTGCTGTAATGGGATAGCAAAGTCAGACAAGGAGTGCTGACCCCCCTGGCAAGCAGCCCATGGCCCATGGTTGCCACTGCCGGCACTGGTCGATGTACTTACCATGCTCACAGAAGGTTCCTCGCCAGCCTGGGCTGCAAGTACAGGCCCCGCTGACATGGTCACAGGCAGCCCCATTGTCACACTGACACCGGTGCCGACAGCTCAGCCCAAACCATCCTTCCGGGCACTCTAGCAAGCAGAAGGAAACAAGACTGAGGAGCCCGTTCCTTCCCGCTATCCCCACGAAGCTGTGCAAAGGCAGGAGCTCAGGCTCGGAATGCAAATCACAGTATCTGGCAGCTGCTTTTTTATAACAACCAGTGGGCTCTACGCTACCCCTTACAGACGGGTACCCATGTCACCCAGCCACCCGTGGGACAGGACGGGCCTGGCAACATCACAGACGGGGCACGGAGACTGAATTTCTGTGCGTGACCCAAGAAGCGCTGCTGGAGAAACCTGCACCACGGCTTCCCCTGCTTCCCTGACAGCGAGGAGGCAGAAACCCCCTGGCCGGCCCGTCCGATGCCTTTCCCCTGGAAATCAAAGCTGTATCTTCTGGCTCAGAGCCGGCAGCACTCACTCCTCTCACAGCGGCCGCCCGTGTAGCCGGCTTCGCAGAGGCACTGCCCCGTCTCGGCGCTGCAGCTCCCGTCGCCGTTGCTGCAGTTGCAGGTGTGAGCGCAGTCGGGGCCCCAGCGCCCGGCATCGCAGGCTGAAACACAGAGGGAAGGGACCCTTCGTGGCGTGTGCGCGCTCCGCTCCTCCGGCGAGCAGAGGCGTGGGCACAGCGCTGCCTTCTCCTCGGGGTGTGACTGCCGTTTTGCTCACGGGGGGGCAGAAGGACAAATGTGACTGTAGGTCCTCGGAAAACCCAGTGGGAGAGGGAGAGCAGGTGCTACACTAGCACGTTTTGGACGCAAAGCAAGCCCACTACAGAAAGGCAAGCAGCACCTGGCGGTGCCAGCAGGACAGAGCCGAGAAACCTAAAGGATTTCAGAGAGAGATTTTCTGTGGCAGTGGCACAGCATGAAGATGATAATGAAGACAGCGCAGCTTTGCACAGGACAGTGTCTCCTAGGAGCGATGGGTAATAAAAAGCAGGTACAATACCTCTCTGACAGTTATACCCCGTCCAGCCAGGCGCGCAGCTGCACGTCCCCGTCACAGGATGGCAATGTCCATCGTTCCCACAGCTGCAGCTCAGCTGGCAGTCTGGGCCGAACCAGCCGGGAGGACACACTGCCAACGTAGACACGGACTAGCTGCCGGCGGCTGCCCCAACGCCGCAGCACGGGCTTCCCTCCTGCCAGACCCAGCGAGTGCCGCGGCTGCAGAGCCGCCACCAGCACCGGGGCTCTGCTCCGGGCTGAACGGGACGAGGGGCTTTGGGTTTTTACCTCCCTCTCTGCTGATGCAAAAGTCACTTCTGGGACTAAAGGGGCTTCAAGGGGAGAACCCAGCCCCTGCCCCGAAGCGTGCACGCTGCCAAGCCCTGCTCTGATGAGCGCGGGGGTGCCCGGTCGATAGCTGGGTGCTCTGCTCGCTGGAGCAGGTACTCCAGGTCACCCCAAATAACCCCCATTCCCGCTGGGGACAGCCCCGCAGGCGCGAGGGACGCGGTGGCAGACGGCACTCACCGTCCTGGCAGCGGTGGCCGGTGTAGCCGGGGGGACACAGGCAGGCTCCCGTGGCGGGCTCGCAGCTGGCGTTGTTGGCACACTCGGGACATATCTCCTGGCAGCCCAGTCCCCAGCGACCCTCAGGGCAAGCTGGGCCACGGGCAGAGAGAGAGGACACACAGGCATCGGGATGGCAGCCGGGGCGCAAGAGGGAAAGGTCTATTTTCTGGCACATGGCAAAGGGTCCCCTTTCCTGTCCATGCTTTGCGCAGAACAGGGGCTTTTGCTTGGCAATATGTGGCTACTAGCAAGGACAACATTGCTTTGCTTTATAAACAGCGTGTGAGCCCTCCTTAAGCATTATTCTAGTCTCACCCCGGTACTTTCATGTCAATTTTGGCTTCACATCTTGTGGGGAGCTACAAGGGCTCCTGGCTAGGAAATGGTGTTGCTGGCAAAGGGACTCTGCAGCTGCTATCACACCGCTGGACAGCACGTCAGTCAGCAGCCCAGAGCTGCTTTTCCTTGCAAAGGAGAAGCAAAAAGCTAAGAACTGCTAAAACTGGGGCAAGGATCCTTGTTTAACTGCTCCTAAGTTGCTCCAGAGCCTGGAAAAAAAGTAATTTCAGAATGTATGGTAAGCACTGTGCATGTGTGATTTTATTGCTCAGTCAAATTATTAGGAGTGAGACATGTGTATATGACTTCCAGCTGCTACAATATTGTATAATTATGTAAAAGTTTTTAATTTGGGATTCTCTAGTTTTCCAGCAGTTAAAGAGTGATATGGCAAAGGCAAATAAAAGTACATATCAGTAAAGAAAGACTCCTTACCTATGTTAAGGCCTGCAACAACCAAAAATAAAGACTCTTTACCTATGTTAAGGCGCAACCAAAAATATCTTCATCTTTCTTCTTGCATATGTTGTTTACGTCTTTGTACTTCACTCAGCTCCAACAACAGAGCTACGCTAGCTGTGGCTGGGGTTTTTTAAGACTTGTCATCAAAAGCTGTGGGTTTTTTTCTCATTTTCCATGAAGACGATTCTAATTGCACTCGGCGCTTTCAAAACCAATTTCAGCAGAAGCAAAGCCATGGCTCCGCGCCCCATCCCTCCCTCCCTCGGCCGGGGTGGCCGCCTCACCTTGGCCGCAGTCACGTCCCGTCCAGCCCGGCGGGCAGAGGCACTGCCCCGTGCTCCGGTCGCAGGTCGCTCCGCCGCAGGAGCAGGGCTGCCGGCAGCCCGCCCCGAACGTCCCCTCCGGGCACTCTGCGCCGAAAAGAGCAGGGTGAAAACAAACCCCTCTGGAGACGCCTTTTCCCAAGGAGCGGGTTACTGATCACACCCCGGCTCTGCGAGGAAGAGCCTGGCTGTGAACAGCTCCTGCGCTGTGGAGGAAGACCACGCTCACGGGCCTGGACGTGACCACCCTGTTACCCACAACCTGCACCCTCTCCATTTCGCACCGCCACCTCCACCTGTCTGCTTGAGAAGCACCTCTCTGCTGCCGCCTGTCCTTTCGGCAAGGATTCCTCCAGATGATCCCGTGCCCAACAGCTGAGGCCAAACTGGTCTCCAGCCCATGATCACGATTACAAAACACCCCTCGCCCCCACCGCTGCACCCGTGCCGCAGCCGGCCATACGGCAGCACCACGGTGGGCACCGGCACCCAGGCACCCAGCTCAGGAAAGATGCTCTGCCCCCGAGACAGTGACCAGAGCCACCCTGCTCTCCCTGTGCCCCCAAACCGGTACCATCCCTTGACTTTTATAAGATGCTCTGAGGGATTTTTACTGCCCTGGCTGAATGCCTCTGGATTTGGGAAGCCAGGCTTTTAAGAAGCAGCAAGGTTTGCAGCAGGTACACTGGTGGAAAGCAATAAAGAGCAGCCTCATCCACAGGAGGAGCAGGCGCTTTTCCTTCCCTCTGCTTGCAATGCTGAGGTGGTTCTGCTGCTAGCAGAAAGCTCGGTTTGCTCTTTGTACCCCGTGATATATATAATTTAGCAGTCAGCTAATTACGTGCAGATTGAAAGCCTTGAACCCAAAGATCCTTAAAGCCTATTTGAGACTCCCAAAAAAGCTCCATGCTCACAGTCCCTTTTGTTTGATGAAGCCGACGTTTTGTAAGGCTTCAGCAGACGCGAGCACACCAGCATTCACAAAGCACGGAGGAAAAGCACACCAGTGCATAGATTTCAAGTGACACAGTGGAGTTTTTGTTATTCCTCCTCTTTGCTAATTGATGGCAGATGTTTGTCTTCACCCTTTAATAATTTCCAGATCCAAACAACAGCCAAGAGCCTACTATTTCTATACAAATATTTGTGTTATTTCCTGTGACTCCCCCCTACGGGCTTAAGCTCCTTTCTTCGTCTTTTCAAAACCATCCCGACCAAAAGCGCCCAGCCCGCCGAGGCGCCGCGCGGCTCGGGGAGCAGCAGCATCCTGCGGCGGGGGGACCGGGACCCTGTGTGGGGGCACGAGCCCCCCGAGGCCGCTGGCATCGCCCCCCCTGGCGCCAGTTAGCTCTGGTAGCACTTGCTTGCATTGGAGCTTTCCATGATCCGCAGGTTTTGTTCTGGCCAACAGACCAGCTCTGTTCTATCAGTTGCGCTGTTACGCAAGATAATCATGTGCCAGCAGCTTAATTAGGTTACGAGTTATAACTTCTGGGTTGGGTGTGGATGGAGTGCTTGGTTAAACAAAGTCAGTGCAGAAATTCCTGGGATGCTTGAATCAAAATTCAGATGCTGACCACCGCCAGCCTCTTAATGCAGTGTGTCTTCAGGTGTGGACTTCAGGAGTCCAACTTTTTACATTTTCTGTTGGATCTGACCAGTTGAAGTGTGATTCAGAAGGTGACAACCTCACAAGAGGAGGAGGCTGGCTTTCCAATCGTTGATCAGCTCTGAGGCTGGCAGAAGTTATTATTTTCCAAGATCTCTGTTCATGTTTTGTAATCATCACCTTGTGCCAATGACTCACTGCCTTTAGGTTCACTCAAAACACCTTTGTTCCAAGAAAGTCGAGTTCTCTGACACCCCAACTACCTCCCAGGACCTTGAATAGCTGCACCCATGGAGCTCGAGTGCCACGCTGCACACACAGACCTGTGCGGTAGTTACCGTACCACCAACTGTCCCTTTATGTGAAGAGCAGGAAACTGCTCTAGGAGGTTCAGACAGAGGCAGAAGTTTAAATCCTGATGTAAATGAAATACAAAATTTTCTTTTTCACTTGCAGATCAAATAGAGTTTCAATATGGAATAGAGAATGGAGCGGAAAATATGATACCATTCTGCTGGGCACTGATTGCCTGGAAGTAAAAAGACATCAAAGAGGGGGAAAGATAACTAGATATCTATCACCTTCAGCTACAAAAGCGGAGATGCCCAAGTGGCAGGATAAAGTGGGACCTTGTTCTGCTTTTCTGAATAAGACTCATTATGCACGAGAATGCCTGCTTCCCCACTGTAAAGGGACTGCAGTGTTCTGCAAAGACCTGCAAACGGCAGCTCTTGTGTCCTCTAAAGCCATTTCAACTTTTCACTCATTAGATCAAGTACAGTGGGCTACTGGGGCTGAGAGAGCACAGGAGCAATTCTGGAAGTCCTTTCACGTTGTTTTGTGAAGAAAAGGTTTGTATGTGTGAGTTTACAGCACCCTGGTAGCTGCCTTGCAGGGCTCCCCTTACCTTGGTCGCAGTTGTCCCCGCGGTAGCCCAGGGGACACTCTTTCCAGCACTCTCCGGTGACGTGGTCGCAGGACACTTCTGGAGAGCAGCTGCATTTCTTCTTGCAGCCATCCCCGTAATAGCCAGGCTCGCAGCCTGTTAACGATCACAATTAAAAAGAAAGAAGGGCTGGCATTACTCAGTTGACCCCGGCAGAGCGGGCAGCCCCAGCGCGCAGCACCCTCCCGAGCGGGGCACAGCAGGCTGGATGAGGCCCACCGCCCACATCTACACACCGGGCTGCGCGGGTTCTGCATCCCAACTTAACGGGACTGAGCTTAATGTGTCCCTAAGCTAAGCAACAAGAGCTGAGACGGTCTTAGCAGGGTGGAAAGCGAGCTGAGCTTTTCTCCAAGAAAATGAGCCGGGGGAAAGAGGCTGCGGGAGGAGAGAGGGGGATGCTCCGTGAAGGCTTCTTGGCAACTCACGCGTCTCGCAGCGCTCGCCGTGGTAGCCGGGTTTGCATCGGCAGGAGCCGTCCTTCTTGTCGCAGTCCCGCGTGTTCTCCTGCACGCAGCGGCACTCCTCGGAGCAGCCGGGGCCGAATGCCCACTTGGGGCAAACTGGGTGCAGAGGGAAAGAGCTGGTCAGCAACCCGCGAGGCCCAATGACACAGGGCAAGGGACGGGAACTTTGCCACCCAGCGCTGGCCCTTCCCAGGGATGGTACCTAGAAAGGCTGTAATCTAAGAACAATGTGTATCTCGTTAAAAAGACGAGGGCAAGCATACCTAAATGGCAGTACCGTCCGTATAAGCCAGGATCGCACAGACAGGCTCCGTAAATCCGATGGCAACGACCCCGGTTGGCACAGTTGCACTTTTTCCTGCATTGTTTCCCAAAAAATCCTTTAGGGCACCCTAGTAAGAGAGAGGAATTTTCTGAAAAGGTGAGCCAATTTCATTTTATTCCCAGCAGACCAGAGGAAAAATGTACCAAAATCAAAGCTGTATAGCATCAGAAATAAACCTAGGCAAAGGATGCAACGAGTGCTGAAAAGAAGGCTGCCTTTTTTTCTGTCCAGGACTGTGTTGTGTCTCTACGTGATAAGGCAAGGATGAGAGCGGTCAGGTTCCCTGCACCAGCTCACGATCAGATTGCCCCCGCCGCCGGCCCGCCTGCCCCTGCACGAGGTGCCTCGAGGGCACCCGTCAGCTCTGCACCTCCTTGAAGCCGTACCGCTGGTCCTGACAGAAATCTACCCTGCAGGGCGCCGAGAAGTCAATTTTTTCATACATGAGAAAGTAATCCATGAGGCCATTCCTATTGATAAACAACGGCGATATTTGCACTATTAAGGGAATAAAATTATTGTCCTTTCTCTGTTATGCTAAAGATCTTAATATTAGAAGCACATGGCAGACAGGCTGTGTCAGCAGAAAGCCCTGGCCAGCATCTGTCCAGGCAGCACATGCCTTCTCCTGTATGATAAGAATAGCAGACAATTTAAGCAGAGGAAATGCCACCTTGGGACAACAGATCAGTTCTTCATTGTTTATTTTAATCTTACCTTCCTGTTTTTTCTCTGTGCCCCTCAATCACCTCCTTCCTACAGAAAGAAAAGGTCGGGGTATCTCTTGCATGCATTTACATTCTGCTTCGGTCTTCTCCTTCAGTAATAGATCCCATATGCTCCTAACCAGTTGTCTGAAGTCACTTTGTCTGAATCCCTTATTGTCTCACTCTTTCTGTGTTTTTAGACTATGTCCCCCAGATTTTAACTCTTTGGGAGTGAGCAACAAATACCAACAGCAACTGACACCTCCTTTGGGTAACTACTGTTGTCACAACTTTTCAGTGTTTGGGTTTTACTTCAGCAGAACATACTTCCACTGTTCTGTAAATTTACCACTGAACATCCATTTTTAACATTCTCTTCTGTGTCCACCTCTGAATGCCCAGTGATGTAGAGACGGCTGCCCAAGGTCATTCCTGAGTAGAGAACCGGGACTGCAAAGGTCTTCCAGGGCAAAGACAAGGCATACTACCTGGAGCACTGTTTTGTGGGTGAAGAATTCCCTTTATCATCTTTTCCTCATTAAAATGACATTTTTCCATGCCAGACTAGGTGACCCATTAAGTCAGACAGAGCAGGGATGTGTTAGAGCCACTCACACTGGGATGGGTCAACAAAACAGTTGAAAGATGCTTTCAGCGACCAGCTACAAAGGGAGTGGTGTAAGGCATTCTGTGGAAAACATTTCAAGGCTTCAGAGGAGCACGACTGGAACATCAAAGAGTGACATCAGGGATGGCTGTAACAGCGTTTTATCAAGTTATGGCAAATGCTCTACTAATGCGCTGAGAGAAACAGAAAGGAGCTACCTCTGCAGGCTGGGGAGCATCACTCGCAACTCACTGCTTCTGTTGCCTTCAATGAAAATGTTTCATGGAGAAAATAAAACCGCAAGGGAGGCCCGGGCGTCCTGTGCTTGACTCCAGGACCCCGCCAAGGTGCCAACCCTTGGCGGGGAGGCGAGACACCCCGCGCCGTGCCGGGGGCTGCGGCGAGGAGGAAGAGGATGGCGCTCAGCGCCGTGGGCTTACCGTCCTGGCAGAGCTCGCCGGCCACCCCGGGCGGGCAGCGGCAGGCGCCCGTGGTGGGCTCGCAGGTGCCGCCGTTCTGGCAGCGGCAGGTCAGGCTGCAGTTCCTCCCGAAAGTGCCGGGCGGGCAGGCTGGGGGAGAGAGAGGAGACGATGGTGGGGCGGCTGCTGCTGCCCCCCTCCCCGTGCCCCCGCAGCGGGGCGAGGGGAGCGCTCCAGCTGCCCCCCCCCCGGCATCACTCACTCTGGTTGCAGAGGAGGCCGGTCCAGCCGGCCGGGCAGTCGCAGGCGGTCTCGTCCGCGTTGCACGGGGCTCCGTTTCGGCAGTCCTCGCAGCTCAGGCTGCAGTCGGGGCCGAACGTGTGCTCCAGGCAGACTGCAACGAGAGGTGCAGCGGGTGAGCAGCCTTCCCCACGCCTGCCTCAGCAGCCCGGGGGGGCTGGGCAGGGACAACCCCCATGCAGGCTGCAGCAAAGCTAAACGCGGCCCTGTGGTCGCACAGGTTCTGAGTATGCAGAAAAGGTACTTGGCAAGTCTTGCGGGTACGCTCACCAAACAGAAATGAACCCAGCACGTGTGATTAATTCTGAAGATTTCCAAGCAAAGTATGCCATTTACCAGTGCTGCAAAATGCCCACCAAATTTCTCTGAAAGCGTATGCTCTCCTCTTGCTTCCATCTCTTCCTCCTCTTCTTCATAGTCATCATTAAAGAGCTGGGTAAATTCATCTCGCAGGATGGCAACGTGAGGGATTGGGCGGATAACGGGGCGCTGACCATCCAGAGCTTCCACGGTGTCCTCTATAGCTGGGGAAGCAGTCACGGAGATGACAATGTCAAAGTGGGAAAGGGGCAAGACCTCTAAGAGGTGAATAGTAGGACAGAACCTCTGTTATAAGAAAGGGAAAACAGAAATGTCTGTAGAGGGTTGGTGAATCTGACCTGGTGTGGTTTGCATCACTGAGCTCTCACTCTATATTTGACACCTCTAAAACTTTTGCAACTTGTTTGCTTGGTTGTTTTGGCTGAAATGGGCACAGCTAATTGACTTCAAAATCTATGGGAGAAGCTTTGATCTTAACCTTGACAGGCAGTTCTGGCTTCTCAGGTAACAGAGCTCACACTCACCCCATCATCCTTGCCCTGCTGTTTTCCTGACCAGAGCCACTCAGCTTCTTTTGAGTTTTCTGGTAAATTAGTTATTTTCTGGAAAATTAAACAAGACTGCCCATCTAACAAAATCAGGCAATGCGTTTCAGCTTGGTTCTCCTTTTGGAAAGATTATCTACCAGGTACAGCTACAAGTTTCCTTCCCTTGCAGGGAAGTGTTAAAATCCTGGCAATCAAGCTAAGCACAGGCACATGAGGTGCCAGGGCTGGGGCTACAAAGCCTATAAAAGCCACTGGTCGAGGGTGGATTAGGTGTTTTGTTGGGGTGGAGAGGCACTGAGTGCTGCTCTTCTGGGTCCTAGACCTCAGAAAGCCTTTGCTGAGAGTCACTGGATGAGGAGTGGGATGTTGGCCGCCCTGCTAAGCAAGTAAGTTGGATAATAGTGTGTTTGGTGGTGGGATAAAGACACTACCACTTAAAAAAGATAAATCCATTATTTGTTGTAGGGAAAAACTGTAGAAGCTGGTGACTGGGGAAAGGGTTGTGGTTTTTTGGTTTATGTGGAGTCACCACTGCAGACTATCATTGTGTAGCTGTGCCAAAATCCCCTATGCTTCTTTGGGAAGTGCTGTGTAATGTGGCTGAAATGGGACTGGCCCTGTCAGGGGAAATCTTCCACTGGTGGCGTGAACCATTTCCACTCTCGTAGCAATAAGTGCTGGGAAAAAGCCGGAGAAGGTGATGTGCAGGGCTAATGAGCTCTGGTGTGTGCTGGTCCCAGCTGGGCCAGGTTCTGTGTGGGGAGGCCATGCCGGGGCAAGCAGGGCTGAGGGGCTGGTAGCCTGCTCAGCCATCCCAAGCATGGGCCTTGCACTTACAGATGCAGCTCCTCCGGTCGCCTTCCAGTTTGTATCCAATCTCACAGCCACACTGGAAAGAGCCCAGCTGGTTCTGGCATGTGTGTTCACATCCACCGTTATTTGAAGAGCACTCATCCACATCTGAAAAACATGGGATACTCCAGTGTAACGGGAGCAGGCCCTCTGTATGGGACAGGGACAAGGATATATTTCTGTCCCCGCATCAGCAAGTAGGCTGATGGCATCTTCTCAGCTGGTTGTGTGAAGCCACATAATGTGAATTGAGAGTATTCAAGTGTTTCAGCGAGCTCTGGGTTTCAAAAAACCATGTCCTGGGTTTTGGTTCATGTCGGTCACTAATTGTGTAGAAACAGGGGGGTAAGCTTGGTTTTTCACCTGTGAAATGTTATTGGAGGGGTTTGGTAGTGAGAACAATTCATTAGGAGGAAAAACCCCTACATTTGTTATGCTAAGAAGGTGACTCATCACAGAGCTGATGGGAAAACTGGTATAAGCTGGGAGAAATTGGAAGAAAAGCCTGGCTGTTCACAACCAGGTAGGACAATTTCTTGTTCTCTTTATTAAAAGCTCATGTTGGTCACTCTTAGCTGTATTTTATACAGATGCTTTTATTTGTCTGTATCTCTTGGATGAAAATGATGGGCAATGTTGGCCTCTGGGCTTGAACATTAAATGACTTATGCGAACTAGTGGAGTCAGACCAGGGCCAACTCATTTTGAGTTATCCTGGTCTGAATTCAGTGTATAGTTGTGCTGGACTATTGTATGGGTTAGAAGAGCTGAGTTGCCTTAACACTAAGCAAACTTAGAAGGATGACAAAATACAGAAAACCAGAATTAGAGGAACTCAGTCCGTGTGTGTGCTGCAAGGCTGAGGACTGCACTGCTGCTGGTTTACTTGCAGGAGTCCAGCTAGATATTTCTGCTTACCATCACACCCACAGCCATCTGTGCTGAGCCGGTATCCAGCATAGCAGGCACACTCGTAGCCTCCAGGATAATTGTAACAGTCTTGCTGACAACAGTGAGAACCATTGTCACATTCACTGATATCTAAATAAAAAACAAAGGGCACTAGATGTTAATACACATCTAGCTTTGCAGTGGTGACAGTACTTGTTAAAACTGCTCCGTGACTAGTTCTGGTAAGCTTTTACTGATCTGTCTGCCAAATGCTGAGCTATTATTTGTGTTTTCCTCTTCAAATGAGTGAGCTTTATGTTAACAAATCATCCTCAGCCAAGGGAAGAGTCCTGACTCCTAGAGGCCTGTGGGAAGTTAACTGTGATTTTCAGTTTGAGATTGTTGCTAAAGTTTTCATGTGCTCACAAACAGGGGACAATTCCAACCGTAGTACTGGCTCTTGCTTTCCGATTTACCCTGTTACATACTGATGTTGTGTTCAGAGATGGTTGAGAACTGCACTGTCCCTTCAAACTGTCTGAGTGAAGTCTCTGAGGGATGGACCTAGATAACCTGGAGAAAGCAGAGCTCCTGCAGCTTTACATTTTTGAGCCCCTTGTACTTATGGGACTCCCTTTGTGCACTACAAAGTGGAATTACGGTGGTGCCCATGTAGTAGAGGGGTTTGGGAAACATCCCCCTGCCACCAGAGGAGGCTGGATCAAGGAGGTGCCTGCTTGGAAAACAAGTAGCACTGCTGGGCTACAGAAAGTGTACTGGGTTTTGTAGTATGCAAAGGAATAGTGTTTTCTCAGGGTAGACTTCAGGTCCTAGCTTTTTTGCTCCCGTGTTGTGATGTTGTATGGAGACAGCTCCTGCTTCCTCAGAGCCATGGAGGAAAGCAAATGTCTTGGGGATTTAGGGTCCCTCTCCTCTGGCAGAGGAATCACCCCCCTCTGCCCAAGCAACTGTGGGTACCTGTGGCAGCCTGCTAAAGGGTCTATCTGTTCCTAACATCTCCTGGACAGACATCTTCCTTAAACTGCAGGAAGGAGGTGGTACTGAACAAACAACACATTCAAGAATTATTTCCTGAGTAAGGTGAACTGCAACTCTACACTGCATGGAAATGTGCAAGTACTGTTTTGCATCACTAAACACTGTTACTCTTTCCAGTGTCTTCCTATTTGCTGTTTTTTATGGGAAGAGAAGTCTTTAGGTAGAACTGCCTCATTGCACTGTCTGAGGCACAGCCCCTTCAATTAACCTGCAGGAAGGGCACCAGGATCTCTTGCAGCTTTGGACAGCCTGAAGGCTGGAGATGCCCACCCAGCCTTGCTGTGAAGCCCGAGCCACAGCCCCTCGTCAGCACAGGAGCAAACCACGGCCAACACTGGTGCAGTAGATACCTGGCCAACAACCATGACCGTGGGTTTCTGACCAGGTTATTTGCTGCAAGCGGCTCAGAGTAATGCAATATAAGGAGCATGCCTCAACTTTATAGCATTTGCACAGCTCGAGGTGCATTTCACCCTTACCTCTGCATTAACACATACTTTCTAGAACCAGATGGGGCTGAACTACACTTGGCTTGCAGCCAGTGACTCCTCCACACCACTCATTAAGTCAAATTACACTGCTGCTTCCTTTGAGATAACAGGCAAGATGGTACATTTTGAGCATCATCCCTTCTAGATGTAGGCTTGTGGGTATCTGAGATGTGAGTCTGTGTCTGCCAATGCCACCTTAGATCGGTTTCAGCAGGGAACAACTAACTAGTTCTGAAGCCAATATTTGCTGTGCAAGTAGGTCTTGAGTGGAGATTTGAGAATGTCTTCAAGTAGAGCAATATCTCATCTCCTTTTTCTTTGCATCTGTTTCTGGCTTTGTTAAACTGTTTGTAGTGCATATACACATACATACAGAGATCCTCATTACTTGAGATGTGCTTGTAAAAACAAGGTATGTCCCTTTTCCCTTGCCTTACCAGTGCATGTCTTCTGGTCCTCTTCAAGCCGATAGCCAAAGTTACAGGTGCAGACTGGCCCAGAGCTGGTGTGGTGGCATGTATGGGAACAGCCACCATTGTTGGCTTCACAGCTGTTGACAATCTCCATTTCTATCCCTGGAAGAGGCACACAGGTTAGGATCCTGCTGTGTGAGCTGGTGGGCCCATGCCTGCCCTTGGTGCTGCACTCGAGTGGGTGCCCACACAGCAGCTCCCAGCCCCGCTCCTTGCACGTGCATTTTTGTGTGCACAGCCCTGCTGAGAAGGCAGAGCTGCAGTGGGGAAAGGATGAAAATAGTTCTGCACAGAGGCCACTGCTGGGCTGGGAAATGATGTGTAAAAATAAACTGATGGATCCCAGGCAACGCCCCAAGTAGCCTCTGAGGGACAGACTTGTGGAGCAAGCTCTGGACAATCTCTGAGATGAAGCAGACTGCAGACAAAACTGCTCCCATTCCTGACAAGCTGCAGTATGTGCTGCCAACCAAAAGTTGGCTCAGCCTTCATTAAGTACAGAGCTGCTTTGATGCCAGCTAGAAATGGGAGCAGCAGAATACAGCTAACTAAGGAAACATCCAGATGCCTACAGCAAGAAACGTTTGTTACTGACATGTCAAAAATGGTGGGCGCGAACATCAATAGCAGCCATATATCTTCTTAGCTTGGCAAAGTTTATGTAAACTTCAGTCTAGTTAATTAAGCTTTCTTAATCTAAAAGGAACTTGTACCATGGAGCTTTGACTCAGACCTGAACCTCAGGAAAATAATTTCTGCCTTCAAGAACATTTTCAAGTTTTTAGTGTGTTCAGACCCAAGGATGATGAAGGAAGGGGAGCTTGATGCTTCCCAATGGATCTGTGTGTGTCAAAAGCTGTGCCATGGTCGAAGACCATCTTCCAGATTTCACAACAAGAATATAATCCCTCAGTCTTTCCTTTTCTTATTAATGCAAGAACAACCAGGGTTTTGCATAAAAGAACCATGCTATAAGGGGCAAGGAGAAATACTTTTCATACAGGAAGGCTACTGAATGCTATAGTTGGCACCAAAATAGAGGTACTGTCAATGGTTATGGCAATGAGTCACCACAACTGCAGAAGCCATGTCAGAACATGAGTGGGGCTTGTGCTTCCACTGTTCCTGATGTCAAGTGTGACACCCCCCCCGCCCCCGGGCTGGCATCTCTTACCAGGGGCTTACTTGGAAAACCAAGACTTGAGCAACAATTAAACTAAGCTTTTTGTCACCCATGGGCCAGTTAGCTGAGCCACAAAGGGTGATCTTCCCTGCTGCGGAGTCACAGTGCTAGGTGAGGAGGTAGCTAAGATTTATTAGGCAAAGACCTGGTTTCTTAATCCAATCCTCTGTAGGCCTTGAGGGGGTCTCCTGCAGCTTCACCCTAACACCTGAAGGTAAATGTGCAATTGCTCATGAAACTGAGCTATGGGATATTTTTTTACAGAATATGCAGTGAGAGATAAACCATGTTCCTAGGAGGAAAGGTGTGTACGTGCTTAGGCTCTTAAATAGCATGCCGTCGTTCTAGTTCCTCACATCACGCTGGCTGATGCCTTTCAAGACCCATTTATGGTCTGCAAAGCCCCATACCCTTGGCAGGCTCCCAGTGAGAGCTGCAGCATCTGCACAGGTGGAGCATCACAGCTTCCAGTAACGCCAGCTGCCAGCACTGGGACTGCCCCAGTGGCTTTCATCTGTAAGAGGGCTGCTAGTGCTAAATGCTGATAGCTCCACTTTGGACTATCCCTGCTGATGTGTATTAGCTGAACAAAGACGTACGGACAATCAGGCTTATTCTTGCATAATAGTGTTTATTTCTTTTCCTGATGGGAGCAGATGCGATCAGTTCACTAGCTCAATTCCTTCTTCAGTTACACATCTGCAGCTGACTGAACTCGCCCAACTAAGTCCCCAAGAGCAGAACTTGGTCTGTTTGGAGCCAAACAGCTCCAAATAAATTGCCTGAAGCAGCAAATGTAGCTTCATGGTAACTTTAAAGATCAGACAAAGTTGTTTTATTGTGGCGGGAGAGTAAACAGCCCTGAACCCGCTTGTGAAATTCTTCAAAAAAAAGACTGCTTTAACTTGGCCCCACCGATTCACAGAGGGTAGTGCAGAAACATTTGCCTGCAGAAGCAAACCCGCTGCCCGGCGCTGCATGGTGGGGGTCTGCATGCTGTACTCACGGTAGCATCGCTTGCCATCTGCCCCCAGCTCGTAGCCCGGGTTGCAGGTACACTTAAAGGAGCCGTGAGTGTTGAGACACTGGTGGGCACACATGGCTAGTCCAGTCAGGCATTCATTCACGTCTGCAAGAGACGAGCAATCAATAAGCAAAGCAGGATGAGCCATAAAGACTCAAAGGTACAATTGTTACTGTCATCAAGTTTTTTCATTGGTTTCTTGTACCCTGATTTCTTGGTCCAGACCAACAAAGAAACAGAATTAAAAGTTCAGAATTACTCCTAGGAAATTGGATCACATGGAACTGAAGCGTTGTTCCAGCCAAATCGAGCAGGGGTCTGGGACGGGCATCAACTGAGCACTTCCATGCCACCCCCCTGGAGGGCTTGTGCCTCACTCCGTTAAATTCAGCGACTCTGATAGTTACTACAGGTGAGCAGTGCTTCACCCTGTGAGACAGTTGCTCCTCTCCGAGGAGGCTTTGCTGGCGGGAGCTCACCTTCGCAGGCCTTGCTGTCAGGCGCCAGCCGGTAGCCCGGGTGGCAGTCGCAGCGGGCTGTCCCACGGTGGCTGTGGCAGCGGTGCATGCAGCCCCCGTTCCTCTCGGCGCAGGGGTTCCTCACTGCAGGTCAAAGCAGAAGAGGCAGGCTTACTTCATACTAATCCTAGCTCCTGTTGGCGTTAGGCTTATGGGAGAACCGAGCCTTGAGCCGCTGCACCTAGCAAAAAAAGTCTGCAATCTGTGAAAGACCATTCTCCACCAGACAGAAAATCTCTGCTACTGCTCCAGCCAGGCAGGAGGATTTACATGGTGCGAGATCCCGCAAAAAGGCAGGCATTAACCCGAGTAAAACCTTTCCAGCAGAAGCTTGGCAGGGGCATGTCCCTCTACAGAGATTACTGAGCAAGTGGCAGACAGGTTTGCTTCAAGTGCTCCTACCAAGAGGCTTGCCAACCTCTGACCTGCTCCAGGACCTGGACAGATGCTACAAAACCCTACCGACTGCTGCATTTTTAATATCCCAGTTGTTCCCTTTCCCTTAGCAACTTCACAGCTAAAGACTTCCCTCCTCCCATTTCTTGAATGCCGACTGCTATGAATGAGAAGATTAACCTTCTGCTCTATATCCCCTTCAGCTTCTCTCCCTCCTGCAGCCGGGAGCAGGTCAGCCAGGAAGCTGTCTGCAAGCAGAGGGAGAAGATCCTGTCCCGCTGCGACAGGCTGCTGTTCCTTTCTCAGAAGTGCATGCCTTCATACAATTTCATTTTTGTTGGCTACGCTCCTGCAGCCCTTCCTAGCCTTTCAGAATAAGCTGCAGAATACGTCCACAACAACATAACATGCAGAGTTTTTACTGGAGAGAAACTTCCCACTGTGATCTATTTGACACCTGGGCGTTCAAGTGTGTGCTCCCTATCCCCCCCAAACCTCCTGAAAAAAAGGCCAAAGCAAAGCTCTGCGTCCCCAGCTTCCCGTGCATGCTCGAGGGGACTCACAGACGCAGCGTTTGCCGTCTTCCCGCAGCTGGTAATTGTGCCGGCACTGGCACCGGTGCTGTGCCAGGGTCACCTGCACGCAGTCGTGTTCGCAGCCGCCGTTGTTCAGGGCACACGTGTTCACAGCTACAGGGCAAAGGGACAGAACGTTCATCTCACAAATAACGGCACCTGGGTGAGTCCCTTGCAAGGGACCAGGGCAAACTGCACACACTTACACGGAGCACTGCTGGTGAGAATTTAAAATTGGGGCTTATTCAACCTGGGCTAAAGTGAGAAGTGTGCTAGATGTGAGCTGTTGCTACAAAACTGTGTCCTGCTTGCGGTGCACGAGAGAGGCCCCCCCACTGCTGTGCCAGAGAGGGACCGTGGGCAGACCCCCTCGGGACAGGGACCCTTTTCTTTAAAGGTAAGATTGGCTCAGCAGTGTCAGGCAGAAGCTTAAAGTCACTCTTTTCTACACCAAGAGTTCCCAGCATCTCGCCTGGGAGGGGAGATCAGGACATGGGGGGGCTGGACAGGTCCTCTGTGGTATTGCATGGAGGGAAGCTGACAACTGGGATGCTGCCTAGCGAGCACCAGTGCTCCCAGAAGGCTGCCCGTGGTGGCAGGCAGGCTTCTTGCGCTGCGTTACTGCTGAAATTGTCATGATTTTCTTCAAAGACAGGCACTGCAGGTGCAATGCTGCAGCTAGTTCAGCTTAATTACTGCTCAGAGCTGCACTCAGGTGTATTCAGGTTTTCCTGTAACAAAATTATATGGAAAACTAATTTTCTGGCGCCATGCGCCGCAAAAGACACCAATCACACAGGGCAAGGCTCAGCAGGAACCATGAGTTCTCCTGGGAAGATTTAAGGAAAATGTTTTAAGATGCAGTCTGCATTTTGATGGGGTGGAACAACCCCCAGTTCAGTGCTTTGACAAGGGGAGATCTCTGTGGAAGTTAGGACGCGTGTGCTTGTCTGCACTGCCAGTAACCGATGCTGGAACCGGCGGGGTCGCTGAGCTGGACACACGGAGATACGCTGGCAGGAACCGTGATTTCATGTGAAGTGCGGGCGGGACTGGGAATTGAGATTCCTGACGGGTGTTCCTGGCGTGCCACTGCGTTTCTGTGTGGCCTTGCGCAAGGCACTTTCCTGCCCAAAGGATTTCAGTCAGAAAACAGAAGGTTTTGCCTAGGCTACGGCAGAAAACAGATCTTATGACCAAACATGTGGACTATCTTCTCTTTACAAGCTTGCTATCATTAATCAGCCTTAAAATAGCCTTTTCCTCCCCCCCTCTGTTGTTATAATCTGGGACTTCTCCACAGGATAAGCAACAAAAGCATGATGTTTAACTGGAGATGTGGGCACCTTGTAACCAGCAAGTGGGTGGAGTTTGCCTGTTTATTTTTGCTGGGCTTGCAGCTATCTAGGACCACTGACCTTGTACCTGGTAGAAATTTGAGCTAGAAAAAGCAGGGAAGGACCTTCTGGAGCAGGATTCTCACAGACTCTGGTAGATAAGCCATCCTGGAGCAATTACAGGCTTCCAAAGTGATGAAAGTTTCTTCTTGGACCATTGAATGTCTCCTGAGTTAGCCTACCTACTCCTTAATCAGTGAGCATCTCAGAGGCTGCTCCAAAGGGAGATGTCCTTTATGGAATTGGGAAATTGGTCTCTTGTTTTTAGGAGACACGTGTGTGTGTGCGTGAACTGCACAACATGCTGCATGTCAAAGCTGTGTGGGTGCCACACGGCTAGAACCCGGCCACCGTCTGGGATGGAAATTCCATAAGCAGAATGGTGCGATGAGTTGTGGTCTCACACATTTCTGACCTATTTTTCAAACTCCGGAATAAACTAATGTGCTGACTCTGAGGGTTCTCAGAAGAAAACTAAAAATAACTCTAATGGAAAACACTGCTCCCCAAACTAACACTTCAGGTAATCGCAGTGCCCTCAACAACCTTGAGAGTTGGGCTAAGCAGGCAGCCTGGAAAGCATAAGCTACTGAACGTCCCGGCTTCTAATGAGGTCTCTGAACCCTGGGGGAAGCTGCCTTGGTCAGAGCCCCGGGCACGGAAGGGGTGCCAGCGGGGTGCTCTGCCAGCACCTCCTCCAAATACCCACCAAAGTCTTTTCTATAGACAAAGTACTGAAAGCAATTTGGTTAGGCCTCTTTTGCATATTAGCAACAACCAAGTATTTGGCACAGGAGGAAAATAACAGACAAAATTGTATATTTTTATTTTCTGCAAAGAGGTCTCCTGCAAAAAAATATGCCTTGTCTCAAAGCTGAGGAGCGCTCTCATTTCAAACTTTTGAAAACTAACCTTGTATGCATCTAATTAACTGAACAGCGTTTGAGGGAATAAAAGTGACTTAATAAGGTCGAAGTACTGCCATACATGACATAAGGCTGGAGCAAGAAGTACCAGTTTATGTTAGTTGTGCTGACATTGTTTCCTTTAATCCATTTGGAAGGAAACAACAGAAATACTTGACGTTCCTGAAAAGTTATGGGTCAGAGTTACAGTATTCAAGCTTTAGCAGAGATGGGTGGTCATTTTAAAATAGTCTGATATGTTGAAGTGTTTAATAACATGTATTTAAAAATACCCATAAATAATGTGCTTGTTGGAGTGTTTTTTTTTAAAAAAAGTAAATCAATACTAATGCCTGCCAAAACATTCCTTCATATGGGAAAAGTACTGGGCCAACGTATAACAAGCCAACGCATCGTATGTCTAAAATAACCTCCCAGTATGCAGTTATTTGTATGAATTTGCAGTCTAAATAACTGCCCTCCTTGCATACCTCTAAAAGACAACTTTTTTGAGTGGAAAAGCCTAAAGTCCAGGTTCTTCTTTATCATATAAAATGTAAGCAGATAGAAATCCTGTAAGGTTGGATACGGCAGGCTTTGCAAAAGCATTTTTCCTATGCACAAGACCACCAGCATGTGTCTGGGTGCACTGAGCAGCGCGCTGAGGCAAGGTACCTGCCCCGTACCCCGCGGGGGCGCGTAGAGACGGAGCTTTGCAACGGCAAAAACTGCTCCGGAGCAGCCCACGGGCCGTGGCAACGCTTGGCCACCCCGAGCAGCTCGAGTAGGGTATGGACACCAAGGAGAAGGACACATGTTCCTGTTCCAGCAAATCCTCCTTGGCCAAGGTGTTCAAGCGCAACCGAGAGCCAGAACCGTGCAAGCAGATTTTCACTGACACCGTTTGCAGATCACCGAGAGCACGTGAAAGGTGAAGCAGCGAGAGCGCAGGGGTCTCGCAGAGCATTTTCTTTTCTCTCGTGTTTCTTTGAGGATAGCTTACTTGCTAGCAAAAGCGCTCTTCCAGATTAATAACCCCATCTGAGCCTCCCTGTTCTGCGATTGCTCAGGATGACGAAGGGGCCAGTGTGCGCTGGTGTCTCAGCCATCATCACGGGTATGTTCCAGCCCGCTGTGGGTAATGGGAACCAGAAATGCTTCTCTGCCAAGAGGCTTCTGCGCGGGGAAGCAGCGGCTGGCACCGCTGGCTGCACGGGGCTCGTTAGCGACACAGCACTGGTGGCACACACGCGATGTCACGAGCGATCGCGACGTGCAGAGCCACCCACCGTGCTCCTGCAGCATCTCAGGTTTGCCAAGATATGTAATAATCCAATTTAAGAACCAGGAAGAATAAGACAAAACAAATGAAACATGTTAGCATTGGTTTGGGTGTCTTTCCCTCAAAGCAAGGGACTTCTAATTCTCCTTCTAATTCTGGGTCTCCTTAGCTGGCTTCTTGCAGAGTAACAGCCAGCAGACCTCACTGCTGGCCTTGTTTTAATTACTGCTCTTTTTTTTTTTTTTTTTCTGTTTACAGAACCACTCTAAAAATATTTCCATTCCCAGATGCTTTTCCTAGCTTAACATTTCTGTGACAATGTTGCCAAATCTAATGTCATCTTGTACATCACACAGATTTTTATAATTAAAGCTCAGACAGATTTTCCACAGATGATATTTCATCGTCTGCAAGAGGGATGTTACTTCCATCCCCTCTGTCTGAAGGGATTGCAGTGCTGCTGAGAGGTGCTGGTTCCTAGATTCTGACAATCTCAGGCCCGGAAAAATGGGTAAAAAGGTGTGAAAAGGACACTTTGCACTACTGGTTGCACGCGGGAAGCAGGTCTGCAAAGGAACAGCCTAACAGAGGAGCTGATTTAATACCCAAGGTACCCGAGCTCCGGGTACCGAGCCTCAGCCTGACCCTCCCCAACTGGGGGGAGCTGGACTGGGCCCCTCGGTGACCCGGCCTCCTCCGGGAAGGAGCAGGGCCCCTCGCTCAGCCCAGGGGCCGTTCGTGTCATCCGTGTTCGCTCCCTCCGTAGCCATGCATTTAGCTGCCCTGTGAACCCCCCGCGAGGTGGTGAGAATGTTTCCTGGGGCTTGACACGGTCTCCTCTGCTCTAACTTCTCCTCTTTCCCATCCCTATCATCTTCCCTTCAGATCCAGGTAATTTGCCACCAGAAACAGTGATCTAATATTTTAAAAGAAACTCTAAGCAGCTGTAACTAGAATTGAGCATGACATTCCCTTTTGCAAAGTCACACAAAACCATGGATTCTAAGAAATGGCTAAGAAACGTGCCACTGAACAAATAAAAGGTCAAATTTTCTAAATTGTGCAAGTTGTCTGTACAATACATGCAAACTGAAAACCTCTACAAAGTACGTATGGATGATTGCCCTCTGTGCACATAGTTCAAGCCCACACAAACTTTTACGCCATAGTCCTTCTGTTCACTTTATAAATCGCTGCTATATTTGAGATTTCTTCATTTGAAGTACTCTTAATATAAATAGGGATACATCGTGTAATCCCAAACTGATTTATTCTAACCTCAGACAATTTCCAGAAACATGTTGTGTGTTAATACAGACCATCTCTCTACTCTGCAGGCCAACAAAAGCAATTGGCTCAGATTAAATTCTTTGCCTTGGACTGGATTTCATCCCTCTGCTGAAACAGTGGAGAAGGACCTGAAGATGTCAGCTTCCTGCCTCCTGCCCATGTGGTTCTGATAAAGAAAGAGGTAATTTCAGGACGCCCAATGATTCTTTTTGTTCTGTTTCACTTTCAATAGAAATGTCTGATCTTTTTCCTCCCTCTCTTCTGTATTAAAATTATCAGTGACTTGCTGTATTTGACCAACAATGACACAACAAAAGAATCTTGCACAACTGAGCCGCAGATTACCCAAAGCACCAACAGTGGTGGAGGGACCCAGCGCAGGGGAAGGTGGCTTTCACCCCTTTTTTGTGCTCTCCCCAGCCACGGCTGTCCAAGCGGTTGCGGGTATGAGCCCACCCTGGGGAGCTGCCCCGGGCAGGCTCCGGCCACCCCGGGTTCCTCGGGCGGAGAGCTCGGCCATGGCCAAGAGCAGCTCTCCTTCCACTCCCGCACCACCGGAATCACTGCGAGGCTTTCGGAGCCCCTCACTCCAAAATGGTAAGGGCAGACACAGCTCTGCGGAAGGAGGGGATCACGAGGGGACACGGGCAGTCTGCTGTCCCCAACCACCCCTGATTCTCCAGGTGGTGTCACAGATGGGATTTAGGAATCTCCTGTTGGACTGTGCAGGGAGCCGAGCTCTGCTTAGGCTGTGAAAGGTATCAACACCCTTGAAGGAAAATGCTGTTAAAGGCAAAATGTTTCTTCCAATCCTACAAAACACAAGTGCTAATCTAAACAGCTATTTACATGGAACCGCAATACAGTTCATAGGAGATTGCTTTTAAAGATGCTTAAGTAACTTCTGAAAACTTTTGCTGATTTTTCACTGCATTGCGCCTGGCTTTATCATCTGCAATACTAAGTACAAAGGTGAGAACAACTACCAAGGGTGCAAAGCCATCAAAAGAAAGTAGCAAAAGATTTTAACAGTTTTCCAATTCTTCGATGTCTTCAGGAATAAAATAGGCTTTGGCTTTCCATCACAAGCTTGGAATAATAGTTCAGGCCAAGGGTTGGAAAGGGCCGATCGCCCTGAGAGCTGAGCTGCTCGCCCAGTACTGCCCGCCCGGGGTTAACAGCCCCCGGCTCCGCAGGGGAATTCTGCAGCTCCATGCTTCAGGCACTGCTGCCGATTAACTGAAGCCTTTGTGGGTTTTGTGGGGCTTGGAAAACATTTAAAGAATTAGATCTGTGGTTTTACAGACCTTAACTAGAAACTTCACAGCAATAGTCTTTCGTTGTTTCCGAAGTGCTTTCTGGCCTGCATTGCTGGAGCTGCCAGTGGCTTCCTAAAGCCCATCTCCATGCGCGACCCAGCTCGAAGCTGCAACCTCCTCGCAGCCCTGGCTCCCATCACCAGCAGCGACTTCCCCCACCTCCAAGGGCAGAGCAGTTCTGGAGCAGAGGGGAATGGACAGGTGATTCTCACCATCTCCAGTTCTCTTTATTCCTAGACTATTCCTTTTATTTAGTGGCATTTTGTTCTTCTGTTTTAGCAGCATTGAATCTTACCTGTCCAGCAAAAATAGAGTATATCCCAATTTGAAGAGAAATGCAGATTTTATCAGTTAACCTAATCCCTCAGAACCATACAGGGGAAAAAAAAAAATCTTTGTTGAAATCAAGTCAGTGCCTGGAACTTCACAGCAGAGAAGAAACTTTTTTTGCTCAGGTCCTCCTGAGCAAAAACCACCACCTCTGGCTACCTTCAGCCCCAGACACCCCGTTACGGGCCCCCAACACGCCCATGGCTTTGGCGAGTGCTCGTGCTGCTTCCCACTGCTCAGCCCTGTGGCTCTGCCTTCCCGTTACAGCTGGCCTTAAGCTCGGCATTTAGGGGGAGAAAATGCTTCCCTCTTCCCCAGTGGTGCTAGGAAGGAACTCCTGAAATGCGAAAATTGGAGTGTGAATGGAGGGTGTGTGGGGTGAGGCTCCTGCCTTTGCTGCTCCCACCCGCGCCCCACGGTCGCTGCCTGGTGACTCTTGACAAGAATGCTGGCTTAATAAAAACCGTGTGATTTCCAAGATCAAGTCGGAGCAAAGCCTCTGACTTCGCAGTGTAAATATTTATGTAGCCCGAGCACTAAAGGAAAGAGCCACTTGTGTGTACTTGTGAAAGCCCCACTGAAGGCGGGTGTGGGATTGCCACGCAGGGACCCACAGAAAGCTGCTGCCAGGCTCATGGGCCGTGAACCGGAGAGCACGTCCTGCTGCAAGGACCAAACCTGGGGTGAGAGCATCCCCTCGGTGGCTTCCCCGTTGTCACCAGCTGAGGTGCTTCCCCTGCCTGGGCTCCACGGTGAGGTGGGCTTGTTCCAAGGGCACAAATAGCCTGGATTTACACGAATTAGAGTTGCGTAAACTCTAAAGCTGGGCTGCTGCCGCAGAGCCAGCAGATGCGGGGAGGGGAGCTGCTGGGCACCAGCACCCAGAATCACCATACAGAATCCCCAGGGGCAGAAAGCTGTGCACCGGGGAGCAAGCCATGAATCAGGGCACCCATGGCACAAGGCAACCTTACGCTTTGGGTATGCAGAGGGCACCCAGCAGCACAAAGGAATAGCCTCTAAGTCTGTGCCCTGTTTTAAGCTTTTACAAAAAAAAAAAAAGGTTTACTTCCATCTCTCCACACAACTGGCTTAATAGGTTAGTATAGAGTTATTACAAAGGTGTGATATATACACATATACATACACATATATATGCACATTTCTGTCACAAAAGTGTAAAGAACAAAAGCCACCAGTCCCAAAGTGAGAAAGCCAGATTTTACGTTTGCTCTCATTATTTTAGAAACAGCGTTGGACAATTACGTAGCGAGAGTTTTTCCTCGCCCTGCCTGGTCTGCGTCTACTTTCCCGTGCATTTTGTGGATCACAGGGGTACAGGCACCACTGAACTAACAGCGGATCCTGCCAGCTTCGCTCCCCGGAGCCTCCAGAAACTGCCCGCGTTACTCCCGTAGTAGATCAGGTTTCATGAACAGAGACCCCTTAATTCTGGCAGATGAATTCCAACACTGTGCACATTATGGCAAATACTTGCTTAGAAGTTTAATGCAAAGCAGGTTTGCTGCGCTGAGCGCGAGCGGCGTGGAGCAGGGAAGCCCTGCCTGCCCGGCTCCCGGCAGAAACGCTCGGCACGTCACAGCCACACGAGCAGCTCAGCCTGAAGAAGGAAAGCAAAGGATGGAGATCGCTTTCAGACAAGAGATTCCTCCCTACAGTGATCCCTTTTGTACTTTCTCTGGGAATTGTTTCACCTTCTGGGGCTGACCCTGCTGGGAACACTCTTTATTTCAGTTTGTCTCATGTTTTATTCTGTGAGGCAGAGGCAGCAGAGTCACTGTATGCCACAGAGAACAACATATTCCGAAGACAATTATTAGATGACAGACCACATACACACTTACATGCAAACAGTAGCAGTGCAGAGCCATGAACACCAGTTTACATGCTCAGTGCTAGAGCAGTGGGCTGGGAACGACTGACGCCTTTCTTTATTTGCAAACCTTCCGCTTCTGGATTTTTCCAGCGAAATATGGGGCACGTGGTGACCTTGCGCCTTAAGCGCACGTCTCGCTGTGCTCGTTAGATTATCGTCACGTAGCGGGGGCAGTTGTGGAAAGACGTGCAGTTTGTGCTGCTCTGGGCATGGTGGGCACTGCTTCCGCAGGTGGCTTTTTTTCTGCTCACCTCACCCTTCCCAACTGGAACACCCAGGCTCTCACAGTTGTTTTCAGCAAACCCTGGAACGTGACTGTATTCTGAGGAAAACCAGCAAATGGCCTTTGTAATATCATCGCCCAGGAATTCTTTCCACTTGTATGAAAATATCCCTCAAAAAATGGAAAAATGTGTCAAATAAAGCTGTGAGGGAGAAGTGGTTTAATAAAAACAACAGCAGCAGCAGATGCTGGAAGGCAAACTCCAAGCTCCACGCCAGTGTCTCTGATTCCTTAGTGTGGCGCAGGCAAACAACAATATTTCAAGAAATTGGCCCAGAAATCAACTGCAAGCCAGACCTGGCATCTGAATTGTAATGTCTGGACACGCACTGTCCAAGCGGACACACAACCAACATCCCAGGGAAGAGAGTTTTGAGATTATTATGGCCACAGTTCCACACACAGCCCTGCTGATTTTCACTTGTCTGTCACACGTAGTGTCTACCACGTGAAGTAGGGAAATAGTGGAGGTAAAAATGAAGACTGACTCGAACCTTTTCATAAAGTTCTGAAAATGCCACATCTGATTGATATACCCTGTGTCAAAAGCAAAAGCACCAAAGCACTGTGAGTTACTTCTCCTGAACCACAATAAACTGAGGAACTCCAAGTAAGTCAAAATTGTACGTGTCCATACTGAAGAACAGCAAATGTTACAAATCCAGGAATAGAAACATGTTATGGAAGGCTACCAGGATCCCGAGGAACAAAGGAACACACAATCCATCACCACCATCACAAATTCCCTGCACAGAGGACGGCTGTGAGAGGGTAAGCCAATGTAAGCATTTTTTGCACAATGCCACGTATTTACAGGTAGGAAAAGGGCTATGAAGAATTAGAGATTTTCAAGAAATTTAAAACTGTGACTTACCAATGCAGGTCCTGCCATCTGTGTGCAGGCGAAAGCCTGGCTTGCATTCACAATAATAAGATCCAAGGGTGTTCACACATCTGTGCTGGCAGCCCCCATTGTGGACCTGGCACTCATCAACATCTGCAAAAGAAGAGGGGAAAAAAATTCAGAGTGGGCATGATGGTATCTGAAGTCAGGATTGTTTATCCTCTGTTGACTGACTCCAGATTTGAGGAATGAATGCAGAAGGAACAAGATTGCCATTCCATTATATTTGATCACTCAAGCTGTCTAAGACATTTCAAGGACAAGCATGCAATCATCGGGGGAAAAAAAAAAAAAAAAGCAAGAATCTGATTCGTCAATCACCATAAACCATCCTTCATCTTGTTACCCATGTGATGGTCACTTTTCTCATTCACTCTAGGGTTATGGATTAATTAATATTTTATACTTCCCCCAAGTTCAGCCACGTGCCAGAGGTGAGAGCTTCTACCGCCACGCTTCTCATCTCAGGACTTTGCAAAGCATTTAACACATTTCACGCAATTTATGCCTGGAACTCGCTCAACCTGCTGCTGAAATACAGCAAAATCTGGGTAAGCTATGCTCAGAATTGCTATGCGCTGCTGGAGGTGAGGAAAAAAAAAAAAAAAAAAAAAACAAAAACAAAAACAACCCACATTAATACCTGGAGAAAGTTATTACAATGGACTTGTCCATAATTATAAGACACTTCACAACATGATGAGGTCCAGCTGGACCCCCAAATACAAAGGGCAGAATTCAAAGCACAGGCCCCCAGCCCTTTCCTCCCAGCTCCATGACCAGAGCAAGCCTGGGAAAACTGCGGCAGCCGTTCCTGCACCGAGGAACCCGCTCGGCCAGCACAACTGGGCATGTCCATTCTATTGCTAAAACTACAAGCCCTTGAACAAAAGGCATTTTCTGAGCCAGAAAATTCTTCTGCCAAGTGCTGAGCAATCTTTCAAGAGCTGAAATGGGAACTAGCCCATGAGTTCTCAGTAAAAAATCCTGTTACATTTTATTATCAAAGCCTCAAAACCAGGGAGGTAGACGGCAGCGTGTTGCAGAAAGGGAGATTCATTCCTGTTTCACAGACCTTAAATTGCCTTTAAGTGTTGGGAATAATTCCAGAACTGAGAAGAAATGTAAAAATGCTTGGAGTGCCCAGTTACATGGTGCTAAGATGCATCTCCGAAGCCTGTCAAAGGTAATTTCAAGTTTCTGAGAAATAAGACTCCTTCACGTGGCTATAATTAGAAATAATAGAGATGTTTGTAGATATAGATGTACAGTTCCTTAATTCCTGACATTTGTGTGTGTTTACATGTATACCTTTCAGACTGGAAAGGATCCTTTCAGACTGGACGCTGCCTTTCAGACTGGAAAGGATCAAAGATCTCTAGTCAGATGAAGGAACCACATCCACGCTAACAGCAAGAAGGCCAACCAGCAATTCCTTTTCCCACAGAGAGAAAACTTCAGTAGCTTTGCATCTATTAGTGTTTCTATCCACCTTCTGCATTTTGTGAAGATGTCTTCAGCACACACAGCTATTTCCCGCTGGTGCAGCAAAATGGGTCCTGCAAGCAGCAGGGTGATACAGAGCCAAGCTAAGCAATGAACCAGCACCCTCTCATCAATGACTGTTACTAACAAGATAAAGAAACATTTCCTCAATGAATCACGGCAGGGCGTTGCCCCTTGACTGTTTCTTTGCAAACCAGGGGTGCAAAAACCTGCTCCAGCCTCACCTTCCACCAGTGCCTGCAGCACACTCCCCCACCCGAAGCATCGCCCGGCTCCCCCATTGCTCTCACTGGGCCAGCAAAGCGCATCGAAAACCACAGGAAAAGGAGAAATGCAACCCTGACTGAAGCCAGTGCTGAAATTTTACATTAATCAGATTAACTTTACAGTAATCAGATTAATTGCCAACAAAATCAGCTAGCAGCAAGCAAATGAAGCGAAGTGGGAAAGGTGATGCTTGACTCATCATTTCTGAGCTACACAGTAATAATAAAAAATTGTTTTCTCAGAATACTTTTCATTAGAAGGCTCCTCACTGCTTAAAAAGTTCAAACCTAAAGCTCAGAGCGCATGAAAATGGCCCTCTGCCCTTCCTGTCCTGGCGATGTCCAGTGAACTCACGATCTTGACTTCTGATGTCCTGCTGCAACAGCCACACAAGGCTCCTTCTGCAGAGCTCCCCACTGCAGCTGTGTTCTTCTTTAACACAACAGAAAATGGAAATTTCTGTAATGTCAGGGCTTTGCTCCTTCAGTGGACTGTAGATTCTTCCTTTGGGCATTTTAGAAGGTTTTGGTATTTTCTTCCTGTTTTTTTCCCAAGATGCTTAATTTTTAAAGAAAGAAAAATGAATACATTTTTGAGATGAAACATAAGCTTTAAGTAGTGCTTTCCGAAGCGTAACCCCAATCCAAACCAGCTTTTCAGGGGGAGAGGGGAAAAATGCTGTGCCATGAATCTGCAACGCCTGTCAAAGCAACCTAGCTCTAATTAAATCTTTTTCCTCTGCGAGGGCTTCAGGCAATGGGGATGCTCCAGACCCCCAGGGCCCCTGATGCCATCGGCAGGAGCAAGGCAGAGCCGTGAATTCTCCAAAGCCACAGCTCCCCAGCGTCCCCACAAAGCTCGAACTGGGACGACCAGGTCTGATACCTCCGCGAGGAGCTCGCCCGAGGCCCATCGCTCACTGGGGGGGGGACAGGGGACAGACCCTCCCGCCCTCGGCGCGGTGGCACGGGGCAAGGCAGTGGGGTGACGTCCCTGGCCTGTGTGACCGGAGCGTGGCCAGCCGCTGCGGGGACCAACGGACGCCGTGTCTCCAGAAGAGCTCGCCACATTTCATACTTGACATTTCTGCTGCTATTTTTCTTTTTTTTTTTTTAAACATCCCTATCAGCAGAATTAGCTGTTAATACGCAGAATTGGATCTACTCAGCTCAAGATCAGGAAAACTGATGTTTGGGAAGATTTTGTATAGGGTAAGAAAGTTTTTTGGACTGAATTTAAATGACTATTCCACTGTTTCCCTTCAACTCTAATCTGAAACCATAGAGAATTTACTGTCCAAAAAAGTTAGCGATGTGTTGAATAAACTTCTTTCTTTCACCCCATTACTCACACTCAGTAATTACACATCTCCTCTCTAAAAGTCTCTTCTTCCTGCTTTTTATTTTTCACCCTCTAAATCTCTGTAATTAGGGGGCTGTCCCCACCCCAGAGCCCCTCTCTGCCCCATCCCACCGTGGCAGGTCCTTCCTCGTGTCCCGGCCGTGGAGACACCCATCGCCTTCACCACTGCACACTCCCCCCGTAACCCACCATGTCCCATTTTTCCTTCTGGAGCCCCGCTTACCTCCTTCTGCAGTACCAGGGAGATTTTGGGACATATATGACACGAGGGTGTGACCAAAATAAAACCTCCCATCCTTCACACCCCTGATGGGAGGGCAGCAGTGTCATCCCCCAAGAAATCTTAGGTTTGTGTCTTTGGAAATAACACAACTGCGTGATTTGCCCAAACAAATTCAAACTTTGGTATTTGTGCACAGAGAGAAGAGGCACCCCTCCTGGGCGGGTGCTGTACGGAGAGTTTTCTTTTTCTGGTGGGGACAAGTCACTTTCAGTCCTCCGACTGCAGAGACGTGGGCGGAGGGGGAGAGGAGCACGGGCTTGCTCATGGCTGTGGGAAATAGCAGGGCTTTTTCTGGTTTGACCTGAAACACATTGCTAACAGCCACAAGGATGGAGTGGAGGGCCCGCTCTGGATCCGAGAGGATTGCTCGGGAAGGGGAATTGTTCCCACTCTGCCAGATACCCCGGGCAGCCCTTGCTTGGCTGTCCCCAAGCACGAGGGTCTGTCCTGCAGCCCAGGATGGCTCTCCCACACCCTGCAGCAGGCAACGGAGTACGGTGAGAGGAAAGAGGTGAGAGCTGCGTTTCCCAGTGGGAGCTGTGGTGGAGGAAAGGCGACGCACTGGCCCTGGGGACGGGGAGGGGGCAGGTCCAATGGCCACCCCCAGCAGCAACGGGCAGCATCTCTGACCAGCCCAGGCATGCACGAGGCTCGCCAGCGAGTGATTCACCCAGGAATATAAACCATAAAGCAGCAGGAGCCACCTCCCGTGGCCAGGACAGCGTCGCTGCGAAGGGTCACGTTGCCCTTGGTGCACGTCTTGGCAGCACAAGGACCCAAAAATCTGCGTGACGCTTTGCGAGATGCGGTTTGTGGCACGCTGAGGTTATTTTCCTAGTGGAGAGCTGACAAAATCTGGTTGAAATTAATATACCAAAGAAAGAAAATTAGAAGCATACAGACTTCTCTTCTGAGGAGGGTTGCTGACACCGAGCAACCCAGAGCCACGCCGGGATGGAGCGTGCCTAGCCCACGTGCCTGCATGCTCCGGCGTGGACAGATCAGCAGATACCGGCCGAAGCCTGCAAAAACAGGGGGTAATGCTGAAATTGAATGTAGGGAAGATGAGCGCAAGACCAAAAAAAAGAGGACGGTGTGATGAGCTGACTTTGGTTAAGTGCCCTGCCTAACCACAGACAGGTCCTTTGAGAAGAAATACTATGATTTATCTCCAACAAGAGCTCCGTGTCAGAGGAAAGAAAGTGGCAACAGCAACACTGCAAATTACTAAATGTTTGGTGCAGAGGCAGTTTATCTCCTCTGAAATGCTGAGGAGGAGGAGATGGATCCCAGCTGGAAGCTCAGGCAGTAGATATGCTGCTAAGGTTCGCCCTATCTGGCCAAAGGGAAGTTCCAGGCTTTAATCCCTGCAGCAATTAGCCTGGATTACAGAGCAGGGCTGCAGGGAAAAAGGTTAATTAAAATCCATCAAGATGAGCATGTGTGGGATTTAGTGACTTTATCTTTCCGGTACCAGTTTGTTGAAGCTAAATCAGCAATTTTAAGAAGTAAAGAGACCTGGAAGGAGATGAACTGACAGAGCAGCACGCTGGGCGGCTGAGGAGCTGCCTCGCACGAGAGACATGGGTCGGAAACTTGGGGTGCAGAGCGGTGACAAGACAGGCTGGAAGGAAATCCCCCCCACCATGTGTTACTTCATCCCTTGCAGGCATTG